CGATGATGATGAAGATCAGGTTTGAAAGTTTTCATAAAACCATTTATCAACGATATCTTCTTCTTTTCCATTTTTCTCTAATCAATCTCTAATGATGAATTTTTCATCATCATCATCATCATCATTATTTTCTGTCTCAATGTTCATTATTTTTTTTTTGCTTGCCATTTGATAGTTTAATTAATTAATTATCATCATCATCCATTTTTTTCCTGTTTTGTTTTTTTTGGAATTCTGATTATTTTTGGCTAATTTTTTTTATATCTGACGAAGCAACAAGAAGAAAAACTATCAAACAATTAACGGCAGTTCTAATATAAGAGTGAAAGAATATTTTCTTAATTTTTCTGATGATGATTTTGCAATAATTTTGCAGAAAAAAGCAAGAGAGGGGAAAAAATTTGATTTGATTTGTGATTACTTGTCATATTTCTGGTTATTCATCGTCGTTAATAGTCATCAAATTCATTACTACCACTACTATTACTGCTACTCTGTGTCTTATTCTCAGAATTTCTCTTTGGTTTCATGCAAACAAGTAAATAAAAATAAATGTCATGACATCAATATCATCATCATCATCATCATTCATTTGTTGTTGATGTTGTCATTTTCTATTTCTCAACATCCACTATTACCGGTGTTTTTTTTTTTTTGATGATGATGTTTCATGTGCATAAAAATGGAGCCCGGTAAAATGGAAAAACTTGGCAATATGAAATTGCTTTCAATTTTTGTTTTTGTTTTTTCTTTTTTTTTTTTGTTTTGTTTTTGTTTTTTTTTTGTTTTTCTTTTACTTCCATCAATTTATTTACCCAAGATTTCACTTGATGGATGGATGGATGTACTGTATGAATGAATGTAATGTAATGAAATCGATGATAATGTTTGAATGTGATCACTGCACACTTTTTTTTGTTTGAATGAAAGATATGGATCCATTTTCATACGAATTTGGTGTGTGTCAGTGTTTGTTGAAATAAATTGAGCACAAAAACCAGCAAAAAAATGTTAATATGATCAAAATAAACATTGGCAGTAAAAAAAATAACGATTTTTTGGAGTCATAATCAGATCGTGATAATATTCAGTTTCAACAAAAAAAAATTCATATCAATCGATTCTTGAAACATAATCATCATTTTTGATGATAACTTTGTTTGGATACAAATGAATCATAGTCTTTAATTGTAATTATAATGGTAGCTGCTGCTGCTGTTTCAAAAATCCATTTTTGTTTGGAATCTAAAATCCTCATACACATGTTTTTTTTCTGTTCCAAAAATGGTCATTGGCCTCAAATCTTGCAAAAAAAAATGCCGGCTGCTTCGATGTCGATGTTGTCGATGTTGTTGCTGTTGCTGTTTGTAACGAAAATGTAAAAAAAAAATAAACAAAAAGAAAAATTTCATCATCAATTTAGTAGTAGTTGACTTGTTGCATTATCATTTTTTGTTTTCTCCCAGACACACAAAAAAAAGAAAAGAAATAATGTGGTAGGCGTGTGTGTATGTCCAACCAATATATATATGTGTGTGTTTGATATGTTTCATCTTGTTTATTTATGGAACAACACACACACACACACACACACACACACACACACACACACAAACATCTGTCCCATTAACATAAATATTTTATTTGTCGATGAATCATTGAAAAATTATTAGATTTTCATCTTCATTTCATCATTTGTATTTCCAAATTGGCCACCATCACCATCACCATCACCATCACATCACCACCACCATTTCTACTAAATAATGTTGATTTGATTTGATTTTTTTTTAGATTTATGTTGATATAATATACGCGTGTCGTTACCATATATATATATATATATAATCGTTGTTTGTATTGGTGGTAATCATCATCATCATTATTATCAACAATTGATGATATATCGATTGATGTTATCAATCGTTACCATATGGTTCATCATATCATATCAAATCAAATACAATGCAATAATAAATCATCGATAATAATAATAATAATAATAAATGAATGTGTTCGTTGGTATTTGAATTTTATATTTTTTTTTTTATTTTGATCTCAATCTCTTTTTTTTTGATGTTGATGATCAAATGATTTGCATCTATTTGTGATAATCAAAACACGTATATATAAACAGTGTGTGTTTGCGTGTGTTGTTGTTTAAAGAGAGATAGTGAAAAAGAGAGAGAGAAAACGTGCATTTTAAAAAACTGAAAACATCATTCACAGTATTTGAATCTTTATATGGTTTATTCTCATTCATTCACTCATTCATCATCATCATAACTCATTATCCGCATCAAAATAAATTTGTGGACTTTTTTTCATTGTTCTTATTTGAAAACGAATGAATGAATGAATCATCAAAAGATTTGGAACCAAACAGGACCTTGTAGAATTTTCATTTGTGTGTTTTGTGTTTTTATTGTTGTTGTCCAGGTATTTCATTTCGATTCATTTGACAAATTTTAATTTGTTTTTTTCTTGTTATCCAAAAAACGAACATTCACGATTTTTTTTCTCTCTCTCATCATTATCATCATCATCTGTATTATTTGTGTACGTGAATATTATTATGATACAGGTTTAGGTTTTTTTTCATCCTGTATTTTGTTGTTGTTGTTGTTGTTGTTTTGATTCTAGTGGTTTTTTTTCTCTTTTCAATTGGATTCAATATAAAGATATTTCATGATCATGATCATCATCAAATGTCCTTCGAAAAATGTAATCCGAAAGAGTTTTTATCCTATCAATATTCATTCATTCGGAATCATCAATCGTTGATGTTTATCAAACGAATAGAAAAAAAAAATTCAAGCGAATTGAAGTGACTAATTCATTCATTCATCATCATTCATTTGATTGATATTGATTGCCATTATCATTGATATCATTAATCGACAAGATTAAAGTTTCATTCTTTTTTTTCATTGCTTTTTTTGCTGAATTCTGTTTTCATATTTTATTCAATTTCAATGTTCATTATGTGTGTGTGTGTGAAAAATGATTATATCTATTGTGAAAATCAAACATCTTGGTGTTTATTTTGATCATCATAGTCATCATCATCATCTTGATTTCAATCGTTTATCATTTAGTCACTTTTAATATTTTCACAGTTTTCCTTTTGTTTTAGCCAAAAACACACACACTAGGTAATTTGAGAATTTATCAATTTCATTTATAAATGAAAGAAAAAAAAGGTTCGTGTCAAATTGAGAATTTATCTCTTTTTTTTTTTTTGATGCTTGTCAGTGTCGATGCGTGTGTGTGTGTGTGTGTGTGTTCAAGTCAACAAATTCTTGCCGTTTGATGTCCTGATTTGATCGTCATTTTTTTCAGATTTCCTGGCTGTGGATTATACGAATCTTTTTTATGCTTTTTTTTATCCATAGAATCATATCATTCAGCAATGATCATGATATAATTCTTGTCGTGTTTTTTGCTTGTTTCGTTGTTAGTTTCGTTCTATTTCGATTTTTTTTTGTTTTGAAAAAAATGTCTTTTTTTTTCTTTCGGGTTGTTCACCCGTGCGCAAACAAAATGAATGAATGAATGTTAAGTAAAGTAAAAAAAAAAAAAACAAGAACAACAACCTTTTGTATGGTTATGTGTATAGAATATTCTGGATTTGTGGCCAAAATGGCAAAAAAAAAGAAAGAAAGAAAATGAAAGAGTCGTCGTCCCATTTATAGCCTATATGTCAGCTAAAATAATCTTTAGCCATCTTCATCATCATCATCGTCTTCTGTCTTTGTTTGATGATGTGTTATAGATCATCATCATCATCATTTCATTTCAAAGTTCACAAGTAGTGGTTGCCAGAGACTGTTGATTGTTGATTTTTTTTTTTGCTTTTTGGTCTTGACTATTTTGACTTTAGTCAAATGAATATTTTTTTCTGATTTAAACTCGAAAATTTTGATTGATTTTTTTGTTTAGTTTTTTTTTCTGAATTTTAATTTATCATAAAAAAAACTTGAAAATAAATCATCATTTTTGTATTGTCATTTTTTTTTGTCTTTTCACTTTTTTTCTGTTTGTCTTTGTGCGTGTGTTTGTGTGTGCTTGTTTGTTTGATAACGAAAAAAAATTCATAAAGATGGAACGTTCACCTAAATCAAATACGACCACAACACCACCACCACCAACAACAACAACAACAACAACCATGAATTCTAATGGTAAAAATTCTGTAAGTCTAAGAATATCATCATTCTTTAATTTCCATCATCATTAATATGTGAGAATAGTAATTTGATTAAAAAAAAATTTTTATTTTCAATTTTAAAACAAAAATGTATTGCTTGTTGCTTTTTAAAATGTTTTCCAAGACCCTGCATGATGATGATGATGATCATAATGATAGAATCATGAATTTGATGGAATCAACATCAAATGATGAACAACAACAACAACAACAGCTATATACAATGGTACAACAAATTGTTCAGGATTCTGTACATAATGCATGTATGGAATTATTATTGGAACAACAACAGCAACAACAATCATCAGATAGTGATGTTGATGATGATGATGATGATGCTGATGCTGTAAGTATACTTACAACATGAAATCTGTCGAATTCAAAAAATTCACTTGTTTACTTTCTTTACTTTGATTGATTGATTTTGATCTTGACTGAAATTTTTTTTCCAAACAATTTCATCAGCTCCACCTGTTGGTGTTTTCTTTCCTTGTTTTTTCGATTTTTTTCCTTTGCTATTTGCTTTTCATTGATTTTTCAGTAAAAAACAAATCATTGATTTTTCATCCTTTGATATCAAATTGAATTATTTATAGGCAAAGAAAAACAATAAAAAACGTAATAATCATAACCGTAAACAACGGCCAGCTACAGCCACAGCTACTTCAACGACGACGACGACAACAACAGCAACTAAAACTGATGCTACAAAAATATCTGAATCAACAACATCGAAAAAACAATCATCATCATTATCGAAATCAAAAAAATCAGCGGTCGTGGTTGATAATAAAATCAAACAAGAATCGATTGATGAACAACAACAACAACAATTGAAACAAGAATTTGAAAAAGAAAATATTGAATTAATCACCGAACCTGTTGTCAATGGACAATTGAATGTTGATGACAAAAATAACGGTGAAGAAAAACAAGATTCAGTAAGTGTTATCGACTATTTTATGACGAAATTACTGCCGTTTTATTTTTATTCAAAAAATCAAATTCAAATCTTTTCCTTATGGGAAAAACCGTCGTTTTATAAATTTCAAACGATCATGAATCTATTTTTAGGAATAATTTCATTTCTTCGCAATTCTAGTTAGCCACAAACATTTTTGATTCGATTTGATTTGGTTTACTTTAGTTTAGTTTAGTTTAGCTTTTGTTTATTTTATACAGAATCCATCTTTATAAGCGAAAACAAGATGTTAATCTTTTTTTTTTTGCTAAATGTTTACGATGATGGTTTATAATCATATCACATCATGTCTGTCGCATTTGATTTTTTTTTTGATTCATCATTTTATGGATGTGTGTGTGTGTGTCTGTGTGCGGTAGAATCCGATTCTTTATAAATTCACTAATTTTTTCCACATTTTGTTTTTTTTAACCCCTTGTTCCCAAAACTTTATATTGTCATTATTCTACATTCTATAGAATTTCGTTAAATGTTCATTGGATTCAAGTAGCGATAATACAAATAGTAACGATAATAAAATGAATGGTGTTAAATCATATGGTTCGGTAAGTGATTTATAAATGTGCATTATTATTGTTGGCAGAATGTTTTCATTTTCATTTTTTCTCTCTCTCTCACACACACAGAACCACATGAATGGTGTTTGTATTGGTGGTGAATCAACCATATGTAAAATATGTTCCAAACATGTTTATCATATGGAACAGATAAAAGCAGTGAAATCAATATTTCATAAATCCTGTTTTCGTTGCATTGAATGTAATAAACAATTGAAGTAAGTGTGATTCATTTATGCAAAAAAAAAAAAATGAAAAATTCAAATTAATCTGAATATTCTTTCTTTTTCTTTTTGATAACATATAATTTTTCAATTCAGTATGGATTCATATTCATCACATGAAGGCCAAATTTATTGTAAACCACATTTTAAACAATTATTTCAGCCAAAACCAAATTTCGATAATAATCATATGAATGGTAATCATAATAATCATAATGGTATCATCGATATCGATATTGTTGATCATTCATCAACACGTACAACAAATGATTATTGTAAGTGAATGAAATTTTTTTTTTCTCAAATTCTTTTTCATTCTTGTTTCATCTATATGCATCTATTCGATGATGATGATGAAAAATTCTATATATTGAAACATTTCAACATGTCAAACTTTATTCACTGGTTTAAGCCAGAAAAAAATACGGGTAGAAATCATGTGTGTGTGTGTGTGTGTGTGTAAATTACACACCCAAAAAATTGCCTGAATTTAAACATTGACGAGTAAGAGCAACAACAGAAAAAAAACTCCAGTTATGTGTGTTTATCATTGATGATGATGATATTTATAAATCTCATAATAATCCATCTTGTTTGAATTTCCATTCAAAGATGCAAAAAAAATCTGGCTGTCTGGCTATAAAGTTCTTCTTCTTCGACGTTTTTGTTGTCGTCATCATCATCAATAAGAATATATGGTTGCCACATAATTTTTTTTCTCTTTTGTTTTCATTTATAAAAACATTGCCAGAATAGTAATCTTGTCTTTTTTTTCAGCAGTAATTTTTTTCCTGTTGCCAAATAATAATCACAAATCATTATTTTTTTTGACAAAGTTTTGAAAGAGAAAAATTTTTTTTCCAAATTCAATTTTTCTAACTTCTGAAAACAGAAAAAAAATCTCATCTTTGTGTGTCCGCGTGTGTGTGTGTGTGTGTGGTTCATTCATTCATCCGTCCATCCATTAATAATGGATCATCATCGTGGTGAGTTCAAATCAAAAAAATTATGTATTCTTTTCAGATATATAATTCTTAATTCAGTTTTTTTTTCTTCCTCATTTCACACCATGTTTATTGTATGGGAATTTTTTTTTCTTCTTTTCTGTTTGGTCATTAATATATTACACATTACGAAACTGTTGTTGTTGTTTGCTTCATTTTTAATAGTGTTTTTGTTGTGTGTGTGTGTGAATGTGTGAAAATTATAAATGAAAAAAATTTTTACCAACCATCCAATCAATTAAAATTTAAAATGCAATGATTTTTATTGTGTGTGTGTGTGTGTTAGATCAGAACCCACCAATCATCCAAAATGACTATTTCCATTGGAATCGATTTTGTCAATTTTTGTTTCTGTGTGTGTGTGTGTGTTTCGTTTTCATTTTGTATTGATGAAAAAAATACTTGCAATAATATTGCATTTGATTGTTTTTGTTGTTGTTGTTGTCGGTTGTTGTTTGTTGTTGTTGTTGTTGTTGTTTCTCTCTCTCTCTTTCTGTATTTCGATACATATTTTTAGCTACAAAAAAATGAACATGTAATTTTCTTTTTATTATATGTTTTTTAAAGAGGATTTACTTTTATCATTATATTACCGTTATATATTATATTAATGTTATAATCTATCTTTTGTTTGTTTCGTTTAGCTTTTTGTCTGTTTTTTTTTTTGTTTTGTTTTGTAAACTAACCAAGTGTGTCAGAATAGCTCTTTTTTTTTTATTTTTAGTTTGTTTTTTTTATCAATTTTCTCTTCGCTACCATATATAATGAGGATGATAATGAATATGAATATGTAATTGGATATTTAAAAAAATAAATATAAATAAATGAAAATGCCAAATTGGTCAATTGACGATTTTTTTTTTTTTTTTTTGGTCTGTGATTACCAAAACCAAAATATAAATGGATCAGATTAAATTACAGTGAATAATTATAATTTTAGCCGATAATCATTAAATTGAATCAAAAACAATTTTTAAAAATGAAATGAAATGAAATGAAACCAGATAACCAGTAAAAAAAAAATTTGACAATAATTTTCCCAATTTTTTTCCCCTGATATCTCCCAGACACAATTGTAGACACAGACAAATATTTTTTTTTCTGTGTATAGAAATAGTAATCTACGACACCTTAATCTCTTTGATATTAATGGTCACTGTTTTTGATCATATCTACAATGATGATGATACAATCGAATGATCTCAAGATTTGTTAGTTGGTTGGCTGGCTGGCTGGCTGGCTGGCTAGGTGATAAAGGTGTCACTTTTTTTTCTTCTTGAATTTTTAATCTCTCCACCTGTAATCATCATCATTATCATAATAATAATCATACATACCTGGCCATATTGCTTTCAGTAATAGATTATATCGTGTAACATGAACAACAACAACAAAAAAAAAAAAAAATTATACATTTTATTATTGCAAGAAAAATTGAATATTTTCATTTTGGATCGTATTTTACAGGTATGCATGTGTGTGTGTGTGTGTGTGTGTGTGTCATTTTTTTTCACATGATTTTTAATGATTTATCGAATAAATCTCACACAAAAACACACACACCTGTTGCACACATATTTTCAATGTTTACAAAAAAAAGCCTGTTTCACCTGGATTAAAAAAAAAAAAAATATTATTATTTTGTATCACACCACCACCACCACCACCATTTGATTATCGCGTTCGTTTTGCCACGTTGCCATTATGATAAAATTTAAATTTTTCAAAAAAAAAAAAATCACAACCATTTTTTGAATCGTGTTTAAATAATTATCATCATCATTCAACAACAACAACAACAACAATAATAATGATGAGAACTGTATGAAAATCTGATCTGATCGACCCAGATCTGAATAATATGTATTTAGTGATTTGATACAATTTTTTTTCAGCCAGTTTAGATTATTATCATTTCAATCATTGTTGTTTAATTATTATCATTTTTTTCCTTTTGTTCAAGTGTACTCTGTGTTTGTATTATTATTTTATTTTTTTTTCGTTCATTATCGGCTATTAGTTTCGGTTTGTCGATTTCAATATCGATTCGTATTGATCCATTTTATTTTTGTATTGATTTGAATCGATCCATATTGTTGTTGTTTCATTTTAAATTGTAATGTTTTGACCTTTTTTTATCGTTCAATGTGTGTGTGTGTGTGTGTGTGTGTGTGTGTGGTTAATTTGCACGAAATCGGTTTTCAACAACAACAAAAATAAACTTTAAAATTTAAATTCCTAGCTCTTGATCTTTTGTTTGTTTGTGTGTGTGTGTCTGTCTGTGTTTATATAATAATATTTGCATGATGATAATTCATTCGGAATTCAAAACAAACACACACACACACAAGCTTTGTGTTGTCGCTGTTTTTTTTGAATTTATTGAGTATTAGCATCTAAATACCGGCCCGGCAACAACAACAACAACAGCCGATTACGCAATATTCGCTCACTCGAACACACACACATGTCAAAAGCAACAAAAAACCAGATTCTTTCCAGTTTTTTTTTTCGCTTTTCTCCCATATGTATATGAAGATTATGATCTACACTTGGTTGGTTGGTCGGTCGGTTGGTTGGTTGGTTAGTTGGTTCCCTTTTTTTTTAGTTTTGGCCAAATCTTTTTTTCCCCATGTATACATTTATATGATTCATCCATTAAATCTGTCTTTGTCTCTGTGTTTTCTTTTTTCATTCATTTATTACCATGATGATGGTGATGATGAGAAGAAGAAGAAGAGAGAAGTTTGACTAGATTTTTTTTCTTCTGATTTGAGGTAAAAAGCTTGCTTAATCATCATCATATATACATTTATATATGTGTGTCCATATATTCAAGGCATTGGATTCAAGTTTTTTTTTCTCCACTATTCGCTTGTTGATTATTATACTCAATTGTATTTGTGACTGTCAGTCTGTTTCATTTCAAACTCTATTCATCATCATTATATAATACGAGTGTTGTCTGTGAATTTGGTGTTTTTTTTTGATGTTATCAAATCGGATTGTGACCCATTCAATTCATTTCAAAAATAAAAAAACGAAACGAACACTTGAACCAACAAAAGTAATATAAGAATCGAATGAATTTTTGAAAAAAAAAAAAAAAATATCAATCTTGTATTGTGGTGATTGTGGTGGTGGTAGCTGTATCAAATGTTGTTACCCCGGTCATCATCCATATATAGTTTGGATCATTCGCTTCATATAATTCTGCTACTTTTGTTGTCGACTATGTCTTCAATATTGTATACGACGAAATGAACGATATGGGCAATTCATAGGTCCATATGTCTGTGTGTTTTGTGTGTGTGTGTGTGTGTGTGATATTGGAAAAATCTGATCTGGTTTTGGTGTGTTGTTTACATGTGCTAGGACCTTTTTTTTTATTATTTCTGTTCTATGTATTTTACATGCATTGTGGGTTTTTTTTTCTTGTTAATTTTGATATAATACACCATTGACACACACACACACAAGGGTGTTTGGCTCGAATTTTTTTTTTTGTTTTTATTTCGTTGAGCTTAAAATTATTGTTGTTGTTTTTTGTGTCCTGTTTTTTTTCATCTTTATCATCAAATTTTTTTTTTCTAATTCAATCACCATAAAAAAAAGGTAAAACAAACGAATCAATCGATGATAATAATGTTGTCGTTGTTGATGATGATGAAACAAATGTAAAAAATCAACAATCAACGAATGAAATTGATGTTGAAATTGGAAACAAATCAACAACGCCAAAAAAATATGAGGTGATTATCTGTGAAAATCAACCAATCGAATTACCACCGGATGTTGTTCGATGTGAGTATTTTGTTTGAAACAAAACAAAACAAAACAGATTGCCCAAGAATTTTATCCGCTTCCACACACATATATATAACAATAATAATTGCATCCATATAAAATGATATCATATGACTCATCATTGTCCATAATTAATGGCCGCATCATTATATTCATGGCTTTTTTCCATCTTTTTGCTTGCTTTTCATTGCTGATGATGACAACGCCTGTTTTGCTTTTTTTTTGTTGTTGGTGAATATATTGTTCATATGTGACCATAATCGTTATCATCAGATTTAATCATTGAATCCAAAGTCAAAAAAAAAGCTGTTAATGAAACCGACAAATGTTTATTCAATTGGCTACCATTAATTCAAATCTACATAGGAAATGCCATCCTATTAATCTGGTTTCTAGTTTGTTGTTGTTGTTGTTTTTTTAAACTTTGAAATCTAAAAATTTTGACAAAATTAGCTTTTGCTACTGCTGCTGCTGCTGCTGGTATCCATGGTTTTTTTTCTGATGCTTTTATTTTATGATTATGTGTAGCTGTAATTGTCGTTGTTGTTGTTGTCGTTGATGATGATGTGTCGGTATATTGATTCGAATTTCCTATGCAGGATGTTCGTTTGTTTGTTTGTGTTTTTTTTTTTGCTTTGAAATTTTAATATCATTTAGTTTGATTTTGGATTTTCTTTGTTTGTTTTTTTCGTTTCTCGCCATAAATATATTATAACGAAATTTTTTTTTTTTTGGTTTTTATTTTTTTTTTTGTGCAGATAATTCAAAACAGCAAGACGTATTTGAAAATCTTACTCTTGATTTAAGCAATATTCGTAATCGTTTTGAAACCGGATCAGTATCGAATAATAACAATAATAGAATTAATAATAGCAGTAATCATATAAATCATCATCATCATCATCATCATCATAACGATAAGCCGATAACACGTTCGGAAAGTATACATAAAATCATGCAAAAGTAAGTATATTAATATGGATATGGAAAAGCTTAAGTAATGCAAAAATTGTATTTTTCTATTCAATATATAATAATCAGATATCAAAGCCGTGTTGCTGGTGATAATTGTGTTAGTTTCATCATCGGATGATGAAGATAATAATAATCAACGACAACAACAACAACAAAATGTTAATGATGAAACAACAATGACATTAAATAATGAAAATGGTGATAATAATAATAATAATTTGAAAGAAAAAATGTCATTCACTGGTATGTCAACATTGAAATCACAATGGGAAACTGGTTCAATTGCAAATAAACAAGGCGATAATCGTAGTGTTGAAAATGAATTGGCTGAATTACGTCGTGTAAAGGGTAAAAATTCTGAACCATTAACAAAAATGTATGAACGTGCTATACAAGAAGCACAAAGTATGGAAAATTTATCAACACATAAATCGGAACCATTATTAGTGGATGGTTGTTCAATGCGTGCTGGTTCTATAAAAGAAAAATTTGAAAAAGGTGCCGTTGAATCCACCGAAACTGAAGAAGATCGTATGGAACGTTTACGTAAAGAACGTGAAGCTGAAATCATACAGATTGCCAATAATGATCGTGCATTGAAAGAAGCTCGTAATAAATTCAAACAAATTGAATTAGGTCAACAAATTGATAATGGTGGCAATAATAATACTGATAATAATAATGGTCATATCGAATCGATTGATTCCAAACAATTGCAACAACGTTTCAATTATTTTGAGAATCGTAATGATGCTGATATTATTGATGGTACTGTTGGTAGTAATGGTGATGATGGCCAGCCACAACAACAACATTCATCAGTAAAAATTGTCGATGATATACCAAAAGTGGATACAACGAAAAAAATGTTGAGTAAATTTAAAGCACTTGAAGCTGGACAAATCACTGGCAGTAGTAATGGTGATCAATCATCATCATCATCATCATCATTGATATCAAATGGTTCACCTAAAATGTTTAAATGTATTACACCACCACGTGAAACGATGAAAGTGTATGAAAATGAACCAATGGTTGAACATAATCCAAATATTGGTATGTTGTTGTTGTTTTGGTTATTTGCTTATTAAAATGTGTTTTTTTTCATATTCCAGTTAAATCGAGCTACAAAACCGAAGATGTGATTCAAGTTGAACCGGAAAAGGCAAAACATTTACGTGCTAAATTTGAAAATTGGCAAACCGAAATTGAAAGAGAAAATCGTAAACAAGATGATGAAAATGATTTCGTACCATTGGAACGTGATACTACTAAAAATCTACGAGCAATGTTTGAATCAATACAAAATGAAACAAATAAACCGATCGATAAACCACGACCACGTGTCAATCGTTTTGTGGTAAGTGAATTTTGTCAATATAACAGCTATTTGCATTTTTTTAGCCATTGATACTAGCATAGCTTTATGTTCATTGCACCACAAACCCCTTTCACCCCTTTTAAAATAAACAAACCATGACGCTATTAATTAAATGATGACACCTAAATGATCAGAATAACCCAAATAAATTGCCCGATACTAATCGAAATAGTGTTATTATTAGGATAAAAATAATTTGTCCATAGGTTCTTAACAAATGTTTTCTATTCCTGGAATTACATTTATTAATCGAATGAATTGAAAATCGATTATCAATTCAATTTTTTTTTGCTTTTGCTGTTTGCATCATCAATCAATTTTTTTTTTCATTTCATTTCTACACAAAATAGGATGACGGTTTTGATCATAATAATATTAATGATAATGATGATGGTTGTTGTAATAATAATAATAATAATGATGATGATCATCATCATGATAATAATAACGAAACTAATAACAATGACTTTAAATCATCATCATCATTGTTATTGTTCATGATGATGATGATGATGATAATCAAAATGAAAAAAAACATTTATTACAATAACAGCTTTGAAAATGACCAGATTCTATTGCCAATATCATCATCAAATGATACTAGATCAAATCATTGATGATGATGATTGATGATGATGATGATGATAATGCAATCGCTTCTTTTGGACACAATGATAACAAGAAAAAAGTATATAGGCTTTATATTCGTTTCCATAAGCACAAGCTAAAGCAGAAAAAAAACGCTGGCCATTAATTCTGTTTGTTTTGTTTTCATTGATTCAAACCTAATTGTTTATTAATTGTTTCTATATCTATCTTTTTTTTCTATTCCTTTTTTTCTACTTTCTGTTATTGTCAGTGAATACCAAGAGAGAGAGAGAGAGAGAGAGAAAAAACAAATGAGAAAATTTATTATAAATTTATCTGTTTTATTCAATCATTTTTAAAAAATGCCTTTTTTTCAATGTTTTCTTCTTTTTTTATAATCTGGATCTTTTATTGATTTGATTTGATTTGACACTTGAAATGGTAACAACAAATGAATATTAAAGATGATGATGATTATAAACAAAAAAAAATAAATAAACATGCGATTCTCATAGATTTGGGATATTTTTTTGGTGGTTATTTTGTGTGTCATTTTTTAAGGCGCTATTGGTTTGTGTAAAATAGTTAGTGTGTGAATATATATAATATTTGGTTTTCTTTGTTAGTTGATTGAGTTTTTTGTTTCAAATTTCATGATAATAATAATGTGTTATACTATATAATGATATATTTCATATTTGATAATCCATAAATCCATATAATCGATTACCATAATGCCAATATATATATATGTGTGTGTGTTTAGCAAGAGAAAACATATCAACAACAAACCGATTCCTGTTATGTTTGTTCAACACGAATATATCCAATGGAAAAGATGGAATTTTCGGGCATTAAATTACATAAAAATTGTTTCCGTTGTGCCAAGTGTCATATGCCAATGAGGTATGAATCAATGTTTTTTTTTCCACTTATTTTGAATTCATTTATTAATCATTTTTTTTTGTTTTGTTTTATCATTCAAGATTGGACAACTTTACTCAACATGCCGATAAATTATTCTGTATTCCACATTTTAAACAATTGTTTATGGAAAAAGGAAACTATGATGAAGGTTTCGGTCTTGAACAACATAAAGATAAATGGTCAAATAAAACTAATGGTGGTAAATCTTCTACAATAGCCACTACTGTAACTGTGGCCACCAATGGTAAATCAGCTAATGGTCATCATCATCATCAGGATCATGATAATGTATTAGATCAATTGGATGGCGAATTAAATGGCCATAATAATAATAAAACAAATGGCCATAATGGCAATAATTTAATCAATATCGATAGTGATGATCAATTGGATTCATCCATCGAATATGATTATCAGCAACAACAGCAACGACAACAACAGGATCATGCCGAATTGATTGAAGATTACTGAAGGAAAAAAATATCGCCGGCAACAACAAGTGTTTTTTTCACCGAACTTATCGACATCAGATGATTCGATTTTTTTTGAGCCTTCATTATCCATTCACACATACACACCTACATTTATAGACACATCCATTTTTTTGAATGAAATCCCATTTGATTTAACCAATGTTTCGTTTTGGATATCAACAAAATATTTTTCATTCATTCAATTTTAGCTTATAATTTATATGTATCGTTTGATGATTTTAAAATGAGTCTTTTTTCCATTTTTTTTTTATTATCATTAATCGACCATTGATCAGAATTTCTCCATTTTTTTTCATATATTTTTGACAATCAAATAGATTTTCTGTTTTTTTGTTTCTTTGCTCTTAATGTAAATATAATAGTTTTGATGACGAGAAGAAAAAAAAATATGTCATCATTTGATCATCACTGTTGTTTCCATTTATATATTATCAATAATAATAATCGAAACCAAAAAAAAGAAAAAAAACCAAATTTTAATATGTTTGTATTACAATGTTTGCTACAATAAAAAAAACAAAACAAAACAAATGTAATTGATTGCCGTAATTTTCTTTTTTTTTCTATCTCTTGTTAATCGATTCTTTGAAATCAGAAGAAAAAAATTTGATTTTTAATTAAATTACATCAATCAAAGAAAATTTCCTGTAATGAAATGGAGAAAAATAACCTTGAAATTCAATTATGATCTGGTTATCAGTTGATAATCGGGAAGGGGAAAAAATTTTTTATTTTTATTTTGTATTAATCTATTGTACATTTTTATTACACCCATATCCTAGAGTAAATCACATTGTTTATAAAGTTACCTGTTGACTATTATAATTCCAATTTAGATTTGAAATGTATACACAGATAACCGCGTAGCTTTCAATAGATCATTCGATTTGCAATACAATCATCATCATTGTTTTTATTCTCATACCATTTTGGTGGTAAGTTTTGATTATATTTTTTATCTCTATTTATTCATTTTTTTTGGATCAATTAGAACGTTTTAAACTGATTGACATTTTTTTTTTCGTAGTGATCATCATCAATCAACAAAATGGCCAATCATCTTTTAAGAAAAATTATAGTGTTCAATATTGATGAAGGTTTTACCGAGGAACAATATGTTAATATGATAAAAAAAGAAAACGCACAACTTGATATTTCAGATGAAGACATGAAAGTTTATTTTACTCATCGTACTAGTAACAAAAATGAAAAATTTATTGTCCTTGTTGTTTCTCCGAGAGTGTTTGATGCTTGCCTCCGAATGGACAGATTATTAGTTAATAAAAAGTATTGTACTGTGAAAGAATACCAACCACGCAATAATGATTCACAAAAACAATTGGACGCATCGAATATGAATCCACAACAATCAACATCTTCATCAGATATTCCATGTGAACAGCAACAAACAAACACGAACAATGAATCGCCTGATAATGATGATGATGATGATGATGATGAATCACGACCTTTTTCCAAATCACAAAGTGATACAGATAATTATTTAAAGTGCGATTTCCCTGGTTGTTTATATAAGGAGAAGAATTTGGAATTTTTTCTCCTTCATTACAAAGGACACTTTTTTTCCATACTGGCAAAATTCAATAGTTTTTCACAATAAACATGCAGATATATTTTTATGTTCTGCAGAATTTGAACCTGAAAACCTTTCAATAAATTTGATTTTTAATTTGCTTATGATATATGTTGTGAGCTAACTTGAAAAAAAAATTAATGATGAATTCAATTAAAATTCGCGCACAAACAAAATTGTAATCATCAGGTCTATATAGTCGCTTCGCTGTGTTTAAATAGCTCATGCGTGAATTTTTTTTCTTTTCTTTTCATTCCATGACTTTAATATGTAAAATTTGAGCTGATAAAATTCTTTATAAATCTTGATTATATAGATTATATACATGAACAAGAGTGCTCTATATTTTTTTTAATGTTTTGTTTTCATCATTTTGATTTCTGATTGATCAATGATTATGGTTGTTATATGTACAGAAACAACAAAACGATCAACATCGATCGATAATCAGCAACAATAACAACAACAACAAAAATATTCGAAAAATAGACAAAACAATGTGTTGAATTGAAAAAAAACCAATTTTCAACAATTAAAAAACAAATTTTAAAGTTTTATTTTTCGTTGTTTGTTGATTCGATTTATTCAATAACGACAACAATATTAATTATAAAAAATGCCATCTCGAGCAGAGAATATTCTTACTGGATTTAAATTGTAAGGAATGATTTTTTTTCTGTTTCATTTTATCAACATTGATGATGATTTTTTTTGGAAATTCTTTAGGAATTGGATGAATCTACGTGATGCCGATAGTGGTGATATATTCTGGGAAGGCAATACTGATTTGTATGAATTTTGTTTTGTTTTTCCATTATCTTTTTCATTTGATTCAAACTTGTTGATGTGTTTATTTTTTCAGATCGAAACCGGATAAAGAACATGAAGCTCGCGTACCGAAATCCATATTGAAATGTCGTGCTGTATCACGGGAAATAAATTTTACATCAGCTGAACCGATTGAAAAATTTCGTCTAGAACAACGTGTATTCTTTAAAGGACGATGTCTTGAAGGTGTGTGTGTGTGTTGAATTCATCAATAACTTATTCTAAATCGAAATTTCCAATGTATCCACAGAATGGTTTTTCGAATTTGGCTATGTAATGGCTAATTCAACGAATACATGGCAATCATTGATTGAAGCCGCACCTGAATCACAAATGATGCCCGCAAATGTTCTTAAGTAAGTTTGATGATCAATGATTCGTTGAATGAAAAAAAATCGTTTTAAATTTAAATTTTTTTTCAGTGGTAATGTAATAATTGAAACCAAATTCTATGATGATGATCTATTGGTATCGACTACACGTGTACGTTTATATTACATCTAATAATCTAAAAATAATTGACACAACCAGGACATCGTTATGAGCCACAAACAAATTGTTCTTCCTCTATTTATCGATCAAAACAATATCCGAATACTAATCCATTTTAAATTGTCATGTTACAAGAGCAATGAAATTTCCTTTATTGTTGAAAACAACATCCACATTCTCTTCCCTATCACTTACAAACACACACACACAAACACAGCCAGTCAGTATTAATCATTCATCGATTGTCATACTTTTAAATTACAAAATATTGAATATTGATTCTTTTGTTTGATTTAATCTTTTACCTTATTATTATAATTATTATATGAAATGAAAACAAAAACAAATTTACAAAAATCTACAAATCATTTTTTTGTTTTGCATATTTTGTTTCACTTTTATTCTTCCATTTTTGTTTGTTTAGAATTTTTGTTGAATAAATTAAAAAATTTAAGAAAAAAAAGAATAATTTTGTATCGAATTTCATAGATCCGAATATTCGGATCCAATACAGCACATGCGCTCATACTTTTTCAATATTTACCCGTTATATTTGGCGAGTTTTTTTCATCATCATCAATATATTGATGGCAAATGTTGTTGTTGTTGCCGTTGTTGGCAAAGGTCGAGGACTGTTTCTTTGTTCACATTAGTTATTTTTCTCTCTTCATTTTTTTTCTGGGATCTATCTATCTCGACACATAGATTACCATTTATGGATATTTTGAAATTTACTCGTTGATTTTTTTTTCTCATGTAAGTTTGTTTGTTTGTTCCAAATTTTTTATTTCTTGTCTTCTGTCCAATAGTTTTAATCAATTCGATAAATAAATGCCCATGATGCCATGATCATCATCATCATCGATGTAATCAAATTGTAATTAAAGTGGGCGTGTAAATTGTTGTGACATAAATATAGTTAACAAGTTTAAAGTCGGTGTCAAATTTTTTCAGTGTCTCTCCCACTATTCTTTGAATCAACTAGATTGCATTATGCATGATCTCAATGATTATGATTTAAAATCATCATCATCATCAACAACAACAACAAAAATATCAACGACAGCTATTTCAAAATCATCGATAATCATTAATAATGATAAATTAATTGACGGAATGGATCCAGATCCACGTGTTCAGGTTGAATTGGAAAATTTAAATACTTCGACTGAATTTATCAATAAATTGGAACTTGAATTGGAGGTAATCCATTGATCATGAATTCGGTTTTCTCACAGTATTTATTTTTTTTCTATAGAAAGCTCGTCTTGAATTCAATGATCTTCTAGCCGAATCAGCCGTTAAAATTGAATCATTATCGAAAAAATTGGGCACATCCATCCATAAAGCTCGGCCATATTATGAAGCACGTCAGACTGCTAATGAATTACATCAGAAAGCACAAAAAGAAGCATTACGTTATGAACAGGCAACAGTTGAACATAATAATGCCAAAGAAATTGTACAATTAGCCGAACAAACATTACGACAGAATGGTGATATTGAATTGGAACAATTATTAACAAAATCGGCGGAAAAAGTTAATCAATCTGAATTGGAACGACAAGCGGCCGAAAAACAACATCGTTTCACATCTAGAGAATATTCTCTTACCGAACAGAATTTATCGAAATTACATAATCAATTAAAACGTTCAATCGTTAAGGCCAGGTATTTTACGAAAAATTCTCCACATTTAGATTGATTTGCAAAAAAATTTTTTTCCCCATTTATTTTGATTTTTCTTTCGTTTTTTTTCTTTTGATTTTTATTTTCAATTCCATTAATTAAGTATGGAAACTAGACGTAATTTTCTTGAGCTTAATAATTATGCTAATCAACATCGTTTACAATTATTGTAAGTTTTTGTTTTCGTTCTGTTTTTGTTTTTAATTTTTTGATTTTTTTCCTATCTGTCAATCGTTTATTTGTAACCAAATCATTTTGAATATTTTTTCCCCCATAATAATCATTTATTGTTTCGCCTCTTGCCATATATAGACCATATTTCGAAATGAAAGCCCAATTCAATCAAATGCTAGAAGAACAGGTGAATAAAATTCGTTCATATGAAACACGTGTGAATAAAGCTAAACAAAATTATACAAAAGCATTACAACGATTAGAAGAATTGAATAATAAAATCTATGATCAACGATTACCACCAACGGATGGCGTACAAAATTTAGCCGATAATCATAATGATGATGATGGTGGTGGTGGTAATCACTACAACGAAATTGTTGAAGAAACAAAAACGAATATTGAAAAAAACATCAACAATGAAGATGAACAAAAATATCTAAAGCCATCGAACAAATCAAATCAGGAATATCATGATGAAACCATATTCGATAATGAAATACTTGATCAATTAATACTTGAAGATGATCTTGATGACAATTTGAATCGATTAAAAATTGAATGTCTTAATCTTGATCATCATCATCATCAACAACAACAACAACAAGTTGCTCAAAAATCCAAAGAAACATCATCATCTTCATTTTCAGAGTAGAAATTTTTTTTTATTCATTAATGATTTATATTCCTTATGATTGTTATTTGTTCATTTTTGTTTCTGTAAATACAGTACATAGTAAAAATCATTATTGTCAATGATAATAATAATAAGATTGACTGAGATTAATATATCACACATTTTTCATGTTTAAAAAAAATAGGTAAATATAGTAAAATAAATTCAAATTAAGTAGAAAAAAAAATACATAAATTGATGATCATTTTGATAATCTTTTCGATAATAATTGATGATGATGATTATGATAATCAATTTGTCCACTAATTGTATCGATATATCCATAATATGGTTGTTGTTGTTGTTGTTGTAATTGATCCAAAGAAATTTGTCTATTAATTTGTGATGATGATGATGATTGTTCTGATTGTTGATGACATTGGCCATATTGTTGTTGTTGTTGTTGTTGATTATCAACAAGACAATCATTAATTTCGGAATCATCATTGTTGTTACATAGAAATCGATGATTATCATTATTGATCATTGTGGTCAAACAATTGTTCATTGTAGATTCATCTTTGATTTTAGCATTACGTATGAATAATATGAAAAATGTTGAACATAAAATAAGAACAAATAGATAGATACAAGATATAATGGCATAGAATTGTGTTGTATTACGATCAGTAATTTCGATCAATATTTCTTTCAATCCAACATTCAATACATCTTTAGCTCTTAATAAATAAGCAACAACATCGGTAACAAATCTAGTATATTCACGGCCACTTAATCGATAATTTGATTGATTTGTAATCGATGATTGTAATGAACGATATTGTTTACTACGTATTAATTCCATATAACGATGATAAATACGTGAATCCCATGCGAATGCATTTTCAATTAATTCATGGCTACTATAAAAATAGTAAAAATAATTGGCAACTTCAGTTTCGGCATCCGATCGATTCAATAATTGTGGCCCAATATGATAAATGGTGCCATAGGCTAATTCAATAAAACGACGATCCATTCCTTTGATGAATAAAGCATATGGAGAATTTTGTATCTGTGAAAATGATTTAATTAGATGCCATTGGCTATCATGTTTCATTGGTGTTTGATATAATTTTCTTTCAATAGAATATTGTTCAGCAATATCGAATATTAATTTATATGAATTGATCATTGTCAATGGATGATCAGTAGCTAATGATAGATTTGATCGAATTGAATCCAATTTTGTTTCAAATGAATCAATCATTTTTGCCAAATCATCATTGTTGTTGTTGTTGTTTGAATTTTCATCAATTTGTGCTTTAACATCTTCAATATCATCATCGGTAAGATCCCAGGTAAAATTAACCGATTTCGATAGCTCTTGTGGATCAGATAGATTTAAATGAATCGATACTAATGAATCAACGGTGAACACTGTGTGTAATTAAAAAATAATTTTGTTTTCAGAAAACAGAATTTCAAAATCAAAGAACAAAAAAAAATCACTTACACATTTCTTGACCAACAGAAAACATAATTCGGCCAATTTGTTCTTGTTCAATGAAAATTTCCAATGGTTTTTGCATGAAACGTGTTTCATCAATTTTATTTGCAATGAATATCAATGAAATAACCGATGACCATATGAATAGAAAACCGAGGCACATTGAAATTAATGCTGTGTAGCAGAAATTTACTTCAATCACTTCGGATGATGATTTTTTTGATGATGATCGTTTTTCATTATCATTTTGAATTGATGAATTCATATCCATGACGTTTATTTTAGCCATTTTAGATGTCGGTACAATTAAACTTTGTCGACAACCAATAGTGGTTGCTGGTGATGAAAGTTTCATAATTCAAATAGCAAAAATAATGTAAAAAATTGATCAAATTTCACAAATATAAAAACCAGATAATCCACAAACAACACACACACACACACACACCAGAAAATAAAAACAACAACAAGTTGGCCAACGACTGAAGAAAACGCGCGAGAAAATGAAATGTGTGTGTGTGTGTGTGATCAATAACAACGACGATTGAATTGTATATTTTTTTTCAATATGAAATTCGTTATTTTGTTCGTTGATCGTCTTGCCAAGCAAGTTGTTTGAAACCCACACACACACACGTAGTTTTACAGACTACAATTTGGATTTAAACTGATGGTCCCAAGTTGCTGTTGGCATTCGAATGATGGTGTGTGTGTGTGTGGATTTTATTTTCTTCATTCATTTTGTATGAATGAATATCATTATATTATTTGTATAATGTTTGATGGTAAATAATTCAAAATGGTTGAATGATTGGATGATGTTTTAGCAGAAAAAAATTGTTGGTTTTTCGTTGTTGTAATGAAACATGAACCAACAAATGATGCGCGTTCGTCCGTGCAATTCACATCGACGACACGCATTCACAAATATACACAGGATAAACACAAATATACATAACAAGAGTAATTCAAGCTGATTATTGATGTCAAATGACGGTAAAATACAAATCATGAAATTAAGAAGAAAAAAATAATGACAATTTCCTGTTTCCGGTTGACAACAACAACAACAACGTAAACGAACCAGGTAAATTGCTTATTGTTTTACTTTATTTTTTTTTGTTTTATTTTCTTGATGAGTTGCTTATTTTATTCGAATGATAATGATCATATCTGAGTGAGAAAGAGAGATAGTTTTTCTTTTCGATAAATTATTCTAGGATACTATCATAATCATCATTAACGTTGTTGTTGTTGTTGTTGACGATGATGATGATGATTATCAACTAATCGGTTTTTTCGGTTTTATTGACGATATTGATCGTTGGCGTGTGTGTGTGTGTGTGTGTGTGTGCGTTTATGACTAACCATTTGAATTTGGCCAGCAAAAAGCAATAAAATGTATGAAAAAAAGGAACGTGTGTCTATATATAATGCATTTGAATGAGTTTTCTGGGCGTCTTTTATGGGTTTCTTTTTTTTCATAAATTGTAATGTCAAGCCATTTGTTGCTTTTTACTTTGATAATACTTTTCGAGGTCATAGGTCGTACGGCATAATGCACATATGTGCGAATAGACACACACATACACATACACATTTGACAAAATTTGGTCCTCGAAATATAATTATAGCCATAGAGAATGAAATGAAACAAATGTCTAAACATGAACAGATGTCTGATGATGATGATGATGAATAAAAAGAATAGGATGGTGCGATTGCTGGTGAGAGTTTTAATGTGTCCTCTCTCTCACTCTTCTTCTTCATCGGTTATAATAATTTTCATCGATGGTGGTGGTGGTGTTGGTGATGATGGTGATGGTGGCGGTAGTAATGTTGGTGGTGTATGTGAATTTCATGAAAATCAAATGTCGACATACATTGGATGAATGAATAAAAAAAAAGTGAAAAGATTTCATGACACACGGTTGGGTTTGGTTTTTTTGGTTCATCAAATCAAGTCAAGCGTATAAAAGTCTTCAGGTCGATTCAGGAAAACAACAACAACAACAAAAGGAAGACATTAAAAAAAAAAATACGAATGACCCAGCCTTGGCAATCGGCCATCATTAAGCAGCTGGCTGGTTGGCTGGTTGGCTGACTGACTGACTGATATCGTACATTATTTGACACTTATTTTCGGTACACATCTGTCCGTTCGATCAATATTGAATGGAAAATTATTTTTCTTCTTCTTTTTTTTCCATTTTTTTGCCTTTTATTATTTAGCCACGTTCCAATACACAAGCGACAAGCACGCGTCATTCAAATATTATGGCCTTGTCCTATTTTAAATTGTAAATTTTTTTTTTAAAAATGAATAAAAAAAACTTCAAAATATACCATTCATTGCATTCGATATAATCATTGAATTACCAACAACCCTAACGAGTGCCATCTCTTGATTATATGGAACGAATAAATTCATAGATAATCAGATTGTATGTTTTTCGCAAATTCAATAGATAGCCATTTATATAAGATGGGCGCCAAAGATTGTTGTTTGGTTTTATTTTTTTTCAGCGCATGCCGGTAATAGTGGTGGTTGGTTGCCAATTTTCAACAATACAACAACACAGTATCCAAATCATCTATTTCTGGTTAGATTTTTCTTCGTCGTCGTTGTTGTCGTCGTCGTTGAATGGATGCTGGTTAGGCGCCGAAAAAAATAATGTTATTGCTTCTAGCAAAAAAATACGAAAGAATGGCTCCTAACAAAGTATATATATAGTTCAAGTTTTTTTTCATAACACACATGCTACACATACATACATTGGAGTTCTGGAGTTTCTATGATTCAGTTTTATTATTGTAATATATCATCGAAATGGTCTACGGCGTCGTCGTCGTAATCATCGGCGACTAAAGTTATTCTTACTCCCACCGCGAGATTCGTTTTTTTTTCTTCATCAGGGTTTGCTCGCCTGCATTTTTTTTTCACATACCAGCTGCTACGGACAGCAGCATTATATATTTTATAAGTACAAGGAATCTATCTATTTTTTTGAAGAAAAAAAAGAGTTGTGTTAATTTGATTCGAATATATACAACAAGAAAGTGAAAAAAAAACAAAAACAAAAACAAATGAAGAAAATGTGAAAACAAAAATATCAAACCAAATTACACATTCTCGTCGTTGTTGTTGTTGTCGTTGTTTGTTGTTGTTGTTGTTGTTGTTTGTTTGTTTATTTGTTCATGTTGTTGACAATCGATGATGATGATGGTGGTGTTGATTTGAAGTTAACCAAACTAGCAAAGAAAACGAAATCAATATCGATATTTTTATTTGAAAATTTACGTTTTCATTATTACTGTCAATGTCGTCAACATTAACTTCTGTTATAATTAAACATGTCAAACAATTCAAAGAACAACATTCATCATCATCATCATCATCGAAAATATTTTCAAAATTAAATAGACAACATGTTGGCAATTATCGAAATTATCATTTTATCAAATATAAACGAATATTGTCCAAAGTTGTCGAAAATAATAATCAGAACATCAATAAAATGACGACTAAAAGAAATAATCATAACACTGTTGTTGATATAAATCGAAATCATCACCATCATCATCATCATCATCATCGTAAACAACAATCGGAACAGCCATCATCGATGATGATGATGATGACAAGATCTAGGCCAACAAAACGAAATATTAAATGTTTAACAACAATAAAAAAACATCGATGTCGTCGTGGCCATCGAATCGAAGCTGCCATCAATATTACCACCACAAATAGTATTAGTAAAAATTGTCATACAATCAATGATAAAAGTAATAATCATCAGTTTATCTATAATGATAATACAAACAAAACAATGAAGAATAAAAAACGTACCAGAAGAAAATGTCGAAGAAAAAATTTGTCTTTGAAAACCAAAAGAAAAATTCAAAGAATAAACACAGATGATTCGACGACGACTACGATAGTGATGGGCGAAAATATCGAAATGGTTTTGAATTCCGGTGTTGAATGCTCATCATCATCATCATCATCATTAACCTGTGATGAATCTTTTCCAAATGATTCAATTGAAGAAATTGAAAAAAATTCATTATCATCATTAAATGATTTATCATTACAAGAAACAATAGAATCTTCGAATACAAATTGTACAAATACGATGTCATCGAAAACTACGAATGGAACTTCGAAATCATCATCATCATCATCTTCATTCATTATACATTCATATGATCCAAAAACGCAAATGGCAACAATGATACCACATCCTAATTCATCATCATCATCATCATCATTGATGACAACTTCAACATCATCATCCTCATCATTAATGCAGAATGCTTCAACAACAACAACAACAACCACAACATTAATAACAAATGAAGAATTGGAACAATTTCTTGATCCATATTATTTTATTCGTAATCTACCGCCATTAACGCCGGAAATGCAATCACAACGTTGTCCGGTATTGCCTTTGAAAACACGTAGCTCACCTGAATTTACCTTGGTACTTGATCTCGATGAAACCCTTGTCCATTGTTCATTAACTAAATTAGATGATGCAACATTCTCATTCCCAGTTACATTTCAAGAATGTGAATACATGATCTATGTTCGTACACGGCCATTTTTTAAAGAATTTCTTGAACGTGTTTCACAAATGTTCGAAGTGATTTTATTTACTGCATCGAAAAAAGTATATGCCGATAAATTATTAAATCTATTGGATCCAAATCGTAAACTTGTCAAGTAAGTGTATCGATTCATTCATTGATAATAATCTGTTAATATCTTTCTATATCTATGTAGATATCGTTTATTCAGAGAACATTGTGTTTGTGTTTGTGGTAATTATATAAAAGATTTAACCATATTGGGCCGTGATTTATCCAAAACAATCATCATTGATAATTCACCACAGGCATTCGGTTATCAGGTATTTATTATTATATATTTCATATAAGAAAGCTATTTAATCGCTATATTTTTGATTTGAATAGTTGGAAAATGGAATACCAATTGAATCATGGTTTATGGATAAAAACGATAATGAATTATTGAAATTGTTACCATTCTTAGAGGATCTCATCACACAAGTGAGAATTTGTTTATTATCATTTTTTTGTTCTATTGACTAAATATTTTTTCGTTTTGTTAATTTTATCATTAGAATGAAGATGTACGGCCACAAATTTGTAATCGTTTTCATTCACATTATACTAGTCAACAACAACAACAACAACAACAACAACATCAACAACAATAACATCAACAGAAAATTCAACCATCATCTTACTCGTTATTTATTGAATTTATAAAAAAAAGAAAAAAAACATTGTCAGCTATCGAATCTATAGTCCCGTTATATTCTAATTATTCATTTTGTTATTATTGTTATTCCTTTACGTTCAGGATTAATTACCACTGTTATATCTATCTATTCATTTTTTTTTCTCCTTTCAAATCAGTAATTATGATTATACTAGTCAAATCAAATTTATTGTTTATAATATAATTGTTTTAATAACAATAATCTCAAATGATTGTTAATCAAATACATAAACCATTGTCCACTATCTGTTCATACAACAACAACAACAACAACAACAACGACAACATACGCCAAAAGTACAACAAGTGTTTTTTTTTGTTTCTTTTTGTTGTTTAGGAAATGTGCTTTGAATTTGGTTTTCTTCTTCGAATGAAAATTGAATTAAAAATTACAGAATTTCAAAACAAACGACAATGTCACCATCTACATCATGTCAGTTCATTTTGCATTTTGATTTTATATTTGAAAAAAAACTTATCAATCACACATAGCATAGTGACGCGGCGGTTATATCAATCAATCAAAACTAATCTTATCACGAAAAACCAGTCTCAATATTCTTTTTTTTTTCGTTATTTTTTTCGTTATCAAAACAACCACAACAAATTGGATTGAAAAAAAAGAATAGACTCTTTTGTCTATGTCTGTATCCAATTTGATTTTCTGTTTTTTTTTTTGTTTTGTTTTGTTTTATTTACAAACTAAGGTGAAAAAATGGCAACAACAACAACAACAACAACAGCATCAGCATGTCGAAATGTTGGAAAATTATTACCAAAACAAAGTGCATTATTCATTTGTGATTTGCAGGAAAAATTTCGACCCAACATACAATATTTTGATGCCGTTGTACAGATATCATCATGTCTTTTACAAGCAGCACGTTTATTAGATATTCCAATTATTGTTGCTGAACATTATCCAGAAGGATTAGGTGTAACAGTCAAAGAACTTGGATTAAATGAATATCCAGATATTCAACCGATAACTAAAACACAATTTTCAATGCTTACCAGCGATCTAATCGAAAGATTGAGACAAAAACATCCAGATGTAAAGAATATTATTCTTTGTGGTATTGAAACACATGTATGTGTTCAAGGAACAGCATTGGATGCAATTCAAGCCGGATATGATGTCCACGTTGTTGTCAATGCATGTAGTTCACGTTCAATGGTCGATAGAATGTTTGCATTTGAACGTATGAAACAAGCTGGTGTTTGGTTAACAACATCTGAATCGGTTATACTGTAAATATTATTACCATCAACGTTGAAATTTGATTTTATTTTTCCGTTTTTTTTTATCCTAATACAGTGGATTAGTATCAGATGGATCGAATCCAAAATTTCATGACGTACGAAAATTGATTATGGAAACGGCACCGGATTCTGGTCTTTTATCATTGTTGAAAATATGAAAGTGGAAAATGGTAAAAAGAATTCTTTGAATGAAAATTCCACTCAATAGAATTTATTAGATTTAGAAATAATTTTTTCATGTTTCTCAGATTAATAGACAATTTTAAAGCTATTGGAATTATAGTGTGAATCAAACATTAAACAAACAAACAAACAAACAAATAAACAGACAAACAAAAAAAATCAAATTTTTTTTCACTTGTGTGTTATTATTACTCGACTCGTGTGGAGTTAGTAGAGTATTATTTTGCTAATTTAAAATTCATTCAATTTTTGACGACAACAACAACAACAACGTTGTTGTTATAGATATGAATTTGTTTTTCTTCTTTGAATGAAAATTGAATTAAAAATTAAAGAATTTCAAAACAAACAACAATGTCGCCATCTGGTGGTTCTCGTAGTTTGTTTTCGATTCTGTCAATCGAACTCGTTTGTTGGTTTGTTTTTTGTTTTTCGGTTTCCAAGTCGAAAATTTCGCGCCATTATTTTAATGTTTGTTTGTTTTTTTTTGTTGTGAGAAAATATAACACTTAAAATCATGAAATTCCGTGCCATTACACGACGTTATGAAGCTATCAATGCGATTAATAGATCAATATTGGCTGCAGCAAAATTAACCGAATTTCTTGTGTTTCGAATCGATAGTGATACTATTAATTTGATTCCGGATACATCATCACCAACAAATCATGTATCGATACGTTTTGTATGGAATCGAACATTATTATTCGATGATTATTCATTCAAAGGACTAAACAATGATCATAATGTCATCTATTTTTATTTATATTCCAATTCAATTATCGACATAATCAATGCAATTCATACAAATGTTCAATTTTTGAAAATTAAACTTACAACAAATAATCAACAGAAACCAATTTTACAATTTACATCGGAAAAAATATGTCGTGCTGAATCCGAACAACAAACGATTAAAAATCAAGTACTTGTTGTCATTATCAATCAACAATCATGGTCATTATATGATGAATATACAATGAATTCGAAAGATATATCATTAAATCTACCATCATTTAATCAATTTGCATTCGATGTGGCTAAATTAGTTAATTGTTCACCATTCATACGAATATCAGCTAAATATTATTATGATGATGATGAAAATATGACAAAAGCAAAATTAAGTATGACTGGTTTTGTTGATTCATTACAATTAGGTTGTCGTTATGAAAAACTTCCAATTACAAATGAATCATCAATGATTGATGATGATCGTCGATCATTGAGGAATCAATCACCACAGACGAACAAAATCTATGTTGATATTCGAAAATTAAATCAATTCATTTCGGCCATTACAATGTTGCAACCAACTGATGGTATATGTGAAATTGAAAAAAATCATACCATCTTGTTTAAATTTTTTGCTCATTTTATTAATTTTAAAATTATTCTTACACATTTTGATATCGAATGAATTTTTAATTGTTAAAATAAAAACTATATAATAGATGGCGATACCGGTTCCCAGTACTAGTGTATATGAATGGATAATTTGTTCTCTTTTTATTCAACACACACACACACACATGAGTTTATGTTTTATGTCTTGCGCACACGTAGACACACACACACGTTGCTTTTTCATCTTCATTTCACTTCCTTTTCTATTTTTGTGTGTTGCTTGTTTTGGTGTTTTTCGTTTGTATTTTAGTCATTTATTTTCTTCTCTTAAAATGTCTAAAAGAGGTATGTTTTTTTTTGGATTCTACCTAGTATTCTGTCATGAATTCTTAATAATTTTTTTTTCTTTTTAATTTAATATACAGGTCGTGGTGGTACAGCCGGTGCCAAATTTCGTATTTCACTTGGTTTACCCGTTGGTGCTGTTATGAATTGTGCCGATAATACTGGAGCCAAGAATCTGTTTGTAATCGCTGTTAATGGTATAAAAGGTCGTTTGAATCGTTTACCTGCAGCTGGTGCTGGCGATATGTTTGTGGCAACAGTGAAAAAAGGTAAACCTGAACTACGTAAAAAGGTTATGCCGGCCGTTGTCATTCGTCAACGTAAACCATACCGTAGGAAGGATGGTGTATTCATCTATTTTGAAGATAATGCCGGCGTCATTGTCAACAATAAAGGTGAAATGAAAGGTTCTGCTATTACTGGACCAGTGGCTAAAGAATGTGCAGATTTATGGCCGAAGATTGCGTCAAATGCTTCGAGCATTCAATAATTGATAATTGATGGATGATAAATTTTTTTTTGTAATTGAAAACAACAAAAAAATGATTTTTTTTCTCATTTTTATTTCTTTTGTCAACAAAATTGAAAAACAAAAACATCAACAATTGTAATTTGACATTTGAACCAAACTTAAAAAAAATGGATTAAAATCATTTTTCAACAAAAAAATTCCCATTTAGCCAATATTCAGTGTTTGATATATGTGCGTTATTTATGGAAAAAATTTTCATCAAAACTGTCTATTTTTCTCCTTTGACACCAAAAAGGTCAAAGTTTATTCCAGAAAAAATATGTGAAACATAATTATGCTTTTTTTCACATCCATCAATCCATCATCATGATGATCATCATCATCATTTTCAAATCTAAATTATAGATTCGAATTTTTCATGCATTCATATGGTATGTGAATGCCATAATTGCGTCAACAAATTTTTTCTTTCTCTTCAAAAAGATTAAATCAGCTGCTGCTTAAATAATACCAAATGGATCCAATTTCAAAAATATCATCATCATCAATTACATGGCTTGTTTCAAATTTTTTTACATTTTTACTTATCAAAATGTGAAATATTTTGTTGTTGTTGTTGTTGTTGTTATTTTTTGATATGATTGGTGATGGGTGAAAAAATGGCTTCCGCCCTATTTTAGTGATTTTTGACTACATGCTTGTAATTGACTTTTGATTTATCGCGTATATTATATATACATGAATTAAATATCATCAATTATTACGGTATGTTGTGCATGTATACATTTGATTATTATTCACCGTGACCAATAAGAGATGTGTGCTTGTGGATGAATTTTTTTTTATCATCATCATTATCATCATACAAAACAAGAATCCTAATAATAACAACAACAACAACAACAAAAATTAAACGATTTGATTTCGATCCGAAATAATCGACCGACCAAGATGTTGAAGGATTTGTTGTTCAAAGTTCATGGACAAGTTTTGTATGCGTGTGTGTGTATGTCAATTGTGATATTTTGAAAAAAAAGAATTCAATAATGATAAAAATAACTGACACTAGAGTGCGCATCTAATCAAACATTTTTATTGAATATAACGAAAAAAAAGAAGAAAAAAAAGAAGAGAATACCATTGGTGTTTGTGTGTGTGTGTGTATGTGATGGTGGTACAACCCAAAAATATATTTATTTTTGGTTGGTGAGACTCATCAAGTTTTTTTTTCGATTTTCTTATTATCTTCTTGCATTTTTTTCTCTATCTATCTCTTTCTCTCTCTTTTTAAATCCGGAATGTTGTGATGATGACGATTTCAAATTGTTGTTGTTGTTCAACTTGATGATGTTGCCCGTTTTTGTTTCTCTCAATTTTCGTTGTTATTCATTCATTTTTTTTCCGTTGTGTATATGATTAATATATCCACCGTTGTTATTCATTCATTGCACTTTTTTTTGTGTGTGTGTGTCTGTGTTGAAAGTTTTTTTTTGTCGATCGGGAACGAATACTGTTTTTTTTATTTTAATATCTCGATTTTCATCGTCATCATCAACGTCTGGCCGTTTTCGTCGTCCAAAATATGATCATCAGCACATTTATTTATTTATTTGGAGAAAAAAAAGCACACACGTTTTTTTTACCGTAAAAAAAACCTGTCTAATCATAAATCATTGGATTTGATTTGATTTTCAATTTCCATCATTTCGTTTTTCCTTTATTTTGTTCGATTTTCTCTATCTCACTAAGTGAACGGAAATCAAATCATCATCATCATCATCATCAAAGATCATCATTAAAGATATCACACAAATCGAATCTACCTGTTGTTGTTGTTGTTTTTTTTGGCTGTTATTATTGATATAAAATATTGTATTGCATTGTTGAATAAGGAAAAAACAAAACATAAACATAAAAATAGTCAAACAAACCTGGAAACCTGATATTTTTTCTTTCGATAAACCATCGATTGATGAATGAAAAATTGTTTTTTTTCTGCCCTTCTCTTTCATCAACATCATCAACATTCAACTTTTTGATCATCATGATGATGAAATGTATTGAAATGAAATGAAATTATCCATTCATAATTCATCAGTGTGTTGTTGTTGATCATCATCATCATCATCATCCATAATCATCAAACATTTTAAATCAGTTTTTTTTACGGTTATCTACCATCTATCATCATTCATTGATTGTTGGTGGCCACTAGTCATATATGGATTGAAGTCGAAAAACAACGATAGAAAATTTTAAAATTTCACATTTGCCGTAGTAGAAGAATTCGTATTTACCATACATTGTTGATTTTCGGTCATTTAAAGTAATCATCTGAACATAATGACAAACAATAAAACCTGTGCACGTTGTCAAAAGACAGTTTATCCAATTGAAGAACTTAAATGTTTGGATAAGGTATTTATATTATATTTTGTTTATTGTTTATCATGGTTAATATGGTTATTGTTTTTTTTTAGATTTGGCATAAAACTTGTTTCAAATGTCATGAATGTGGTATGATATTGAATATGAAAACCTACAAAGGTTTCAATAAACTTCCATATTGTAATGCGTAAGTTTTTCATTGGATTTTTTTTTTTTTTTTTGGTCTTGTTGGTTTTAATCTTTTGATTCATTTCTCTTTTAAAACTAAAATCAATATTAGCCATTGTCCACAAGCACGTGCAACCACTGTTGCTGAAACACCGGAATCAAAACGTTTGGCAGAGAATACAAAAATTCAAAGTAATATAAAATATCATGAAGATTTTGAAAAACAAAAAGGTAAACTAACACAAGTGGCTGATGATCCAGAAACATTACGTATACGTAATACAACAAAAATCATTAGTAATGCTACCTATCATGGTGAATATGAGAAAAAGAAACAAATGGAAGAACGTCGTAATCTATTGAATGAACATGGTGATGGACAGATTACTTATAATAATAATAGTATTATTAATCAACCGACATCCATTTATCAGCAACAGCAGCCGCATCAACAACAACAACAACAACAGTATTCACCACCAATATCCGTTCATCATCAGAATAATAATAATAATAACAATCATCATATCCATCAACAGCAGCAAAACATTCAGAATAATAATCTTCCTCATCATCATATACAACAGCATCATCCGATTGTATCATCATCGAATGTCACACATAATAATAATAACAAGAATATACCACCACAACAACAGCAGCAGCAATATGTTCGAACACCATTGGCTAATCCATCCATTCAAATGGGTAAATATTAGAATTTTAGAATTTAAATTTTGATCATGATTCTATTTATTCATTTTTTCATATAGAGAATCATATGATTCAGCAAAAGAATCAATCACACATTAATAATAATAATCATCATCATCATCATCATCAACAACAACAGCAACAACAACAACGAAATCAAACGATGGCAACTGATTTAAACAGTAATAAAAATTATTATCCAACAACCACAGCGTCCAATAATAATAATAATAATATTGGTAATCAATTGCAGCCTGGTAAATTGCCCATCGGTTAGTTTACTTCCTCGATAATTAATAATAATAATGATCATATTCATTCATCATATTTTTAATCTTTTTCTTTAATAATTCGTTTGATTTGATATTTAATATTTAAAGGTTCTACTATGCAGCAACATAAACAGCTTAACCAAACACAATCAGCCGCTGGATATTATCAACAACAACAACAACCAATTTCGAATCCTATGATGATCCATCATGGTCCACCAATGCATACTAGTGGTTATATTCATCAGAATTATTCACCAATTAAACAACCACAACATCATCAACAATCAATTCATCCTAATGTTCAACAACAGCAACAGAAAATGTATTATCATCATCATCAAGGTGTGGCCGCTGCCGATCATCATCATCATCATCATCATCCATCACAAGTCATCTATCCAACAGCAGCAGCAGCAGGTATGTGTATCTGTATGAAGAGAATGAAATAAGAAATCAATTGATTGATTGATTTGTTTTTTTTCTGTTTATTTATGAAATTCATATAATAAAATTTAAATAAAGGAACTACTACTGCTACTTCTACCATAACTAATTACGATAATCATCAACAATACCGTCATCAACCTCAACCTCAGCAACAGCAACATCCGCAACATCAACAAATGCCGCCGCCTACACGTCAAAATCTTGGCCTATGTTTTCGTGCCATATATGATTATACTGCACAGGATGTTGATGAAGTTACATTTATGGATGGTGATCTTATTGTTAATTGTCAACCAATCGATGATGGTTGGATGACAGGTACAGTTCAACGTACAGGTGAAACTGGAATGTTACCATCAAATTATGTTGAAGCAGCATAAACAAAAAAAACAATGAAAACTTGAAATCTTTCTAATATATATTATTCACAAATTTCTATCAGCATTTCAATGACAATCATCTTTTTTTTCTACACAACTACCAATAATGATGGACCAGCGTTTGAATTCATCAGTCCTTTAATTCTAAATTTTTTACCTTATATTTCTACTAATCTTTCTCTCTCTCTCTTTCACATCTTAAGTGCCAGTTTTCTTTATTTATTCTATTTCATGTACTACATCTTTTTTTTTGTACTTTTGTATCAATAGTTAATATTAGCATTTTTCAAACATAAAAAATGGTTTTTTTTCAATAATGAATCGATTAAATGATTTATAGTAAAAAAAAAAAAACATTTCGTAATCATTATCGGGTGAATAATGCCAGATGCCCATTGGTGCCAATAGATGACGCCAAAAATAAAAGGTCAAATGTCCATAATATTCTGTATGATTCTTCATCATTATAAATGACGCGGGCACAATCGATTCTGTTATATACTCACAAAAATCAGAATCAAGATATCCACTAATTTTCGAGAAATGATTCATTTTTTCCATGGTCAAATGTAAAAAAACACAATGCCTTAAATTCTAGATTAAATTCTTGATTCTCCAAGAATTTCAAATTGGATTTAAGACAAAAAGATCTCCGATGCCGGGAATCGAACCCGGACCGCCTGGGAACTTTATCTATATCTTTTGGGTGAACACCATTTCCGGTTTTTTTTGAACACCATTTCCGGTTTCGGTGAACACCGTTTTCGGATTTAGTGAACACCGTTTTCGGATTTAGTGAACACAATTTCGGGTTTTTAGTGGGCGTGAAAGCCAGAAATCCTAACCATTAGACCACATCGGAACTTGGATATTTATTAAAAAACGATGCTCGCAGCTTTGAATGAAAACCTAACCTAACCCAAGTCTTGTATGACTTGCAGTCAAAAAAGATTTGCGAAGATTGTGGGTTAAAATAGCCAAATACTGAAAATAGCCACAAAAATAACAAAAACAGCGAAATAAATTGAAGCAAAAAGAGCGAAAAAAGAAAATATTTTTATCCATGTAATGAGCTCCGCTCGTGAGGTTTGGTTCGATGTCTTTACCTAACCTAACCTAGCCCTGCTAGGGAAGGAAGCATAGTCATAAGCAAAGTCAAATTGACTTAAACTTCCATTATGGCATTCCACTGGTGCTATTTTCTGCCTTTGCTATTTTCAGTTTGGCTATTTTAACCCACAACCATTTGCGAACAATCAGTTGGATGTTTTTTTGCCAATCAAAATACAAGAATTTTAATTGCAAGAATATTCGAATCAGCGCCGAGCCGTGGCTATAGGGCGCCCTTGTGCAAAAAAAAATTTACGCCCACCGTAAGAGGGGGTAAATTTTTTTCAAGTGTGTACAAATTAAGGCGCAGGTAAAAAAATTCTGGTACAATCTTTTTTACTGAAAAGTTCGCTTCAATTCATTCAATCGGTTGTTCATCAACAACAGATATCAAGTCCGGAACTTCAAGTTCTGGATGTTCACCTTCAGAACCAGCACCTACATTTGGTACTTTGGTTAGGAAATGGCTCATTGAGCCAGATAATTCTTTGGCGACTTTTTCTTTAGCCGATTTTCGCTTGCGATTAGCAGCGCCAGAAGGTTTTTTCGGTTTGAACATACAGTAATACCCCGCTTAACGCTGCCCCGTTTAGCGCTGATTCGATATAACGCTGTACAATTACCCTACATTACATTACATTGTTACATTGTATATGAAGGGTAAAAATGCATTATGTAAAAATAGTCCCGCTTAGCGCTGCTTCGCTTAACGCTCAGAATTTTTGTAACGTAACCCCCGCGTTAAGCGGGGTATTACTGTATTTGAGAATTTAAGAATTTGAGAATTCTTGAAATAATAGCACCTGTTATTATTATTAAATTATTCTTAATTCGACGATCAGGTAAAAAGGACAAAATATGACAACGATTACTTACTTTGTTTGTAAATCAATCAAAAATTGAAAACAAAAAATAAAATTAAAATTTTTTTTGCATTAGATCACAATAAGGAAAACGCGCATTAATTAATAGAGAACAGTTTAGAAAAAGTACATACATGTTCCGATACTCGACTTGTGAACAAATTCTACAAATTACAAACTTTCTATTGGAGCGCAATTGTCGCTATGTAGAGAGCATAGACTGTAATACTTTTAGCACCCCCGTTTGAGGGAACTTTCCTCATTGATATGTGTTGAAAGAAATGAAATGCCCGGTACTTTTTTCTCACAATTATAATTGCATCATCGTTCTTGTATCAACGTGCCTTTTCGTTTTATTGTAGTTTGAATCACTACTATTCAGGAAGCTATTTTTTTTATTGTTTTTTTCAATTTCATCTAATTCCGATGGCTGATCAACAACAACCCAAGCCACAAGATAGTCATACGTATCATCATAATCAACAACAACAAAAAATGTTACATTTATTCCAAATTCAACAACAGCAAATTCAGCAGCAGTATGCGGCTCAACAAGTGGAAGTCCCGTCATTACAGCAAATCCAACAACAATTAGAAACGCTACAAGCTCAGCAGCAAGAGCTCCAACAACAGATTGATTGGCAACAACACGAATTTAATCAGCAGCTCGATATACAAGAACAGGAATTCCAACAACGATTGGGAAATCAATCGCAACAAAACTGACACTGGCGCTACCAACAACCATATCGAAACCGAAGCCAGCGAAGTCGATCATATCGAAACCGAAGCCAGCGAAGTCGATTATATCGAAACCGAAGCCAGCGAAGTCGATCATATCTAAACCGAAGCCAGCGAAGTCGATTATATCGAAACCGAAGCCAGCGAAGTCGATCATATCTAAACCGTAGCCAGCGAAGCCGGCCACATCAAAATTGTGTGTCCATCACCCGATATTGATCACATTCAAATGGAATGCGACGTTCAACTTCAACAAATTCGTGGTGAATTTGATAATTTGCAAACTTCTCAACAAAATTTGATTGACAAATTGGAACAACATGTCCGACATAAACAACAACAAATTAAAGATTTGAATGAAGAATGCAAAATTTTGAAAAAATCAAATGTTGATAAGGAACAATTTCTCCATGAAGCTTGTGTGCAATTGAACTTGACGGAGAACGAGTTTACAAAACTCTTAGAAAAATATAAGACTTCTCAAGGTTTTATTTCTATTTTACAAAATAGACTTGATCATCACAAAGAATCCAGAAAAAAATTAATTAATGACCTTACCAGTATGATGGAAAAAATTGATTCAAACAAACAAGATTCAATCAAAAACAAGACAATTTTGGAAAATATGAATGAAAGGTAAAAGACAAACAGACAAATAGTATGACAATTTCTTTAATGTGATTTTATCGTTTTTTAGAATTTTGAATTTTTCAAAAGAAAACATTGATGATTGATAATAATAATAATGTGAAATAACGATTACTTTCCATTAATATTGGTGATGTCGATGTACATGAATTATTCCGTCGTAATATCATTGATTACAAAATTTGAAAATTTAAAAATTTTATTTATTCATTTTCATTTTCATTTCATTGATTGAAAATTTTTATGAATAGTACAACAACAACAATTACATCATATCATGTTGTTGTTAATTCAATTTTTTTAAACATTTTAATCTATTTTTTTTTATTTTTTATTATCTATTATCTATTATCTATTCTATCTCTTTAAGAGGCTAACGTTTGTGTGTAACTGCAACTTTTACACTCGCCAAGTGCTTGCACTGTGTACTAGCACTGTGTATTAACTTGGCATTTAATGCGGCGAAGCTGAGCCGGCCATTCCTGCTTATTTTCAGTACAAACATAACTATTTAGTATGAGCTACTCAGTGTGTGTTGTGTGTGTGTGTCTGAGCATGCGGGAAAACTTTTGAATGCCGCTGAACAGTTCGTCCAGCTCAGAAGTAGAAGTCACTTCTGTGGTATGTAGCTTTGACAAAGCTTTTTTTCATTGTTCTAGCTTCAGCACACGTTGCTGCAGCTTTTGCATCCAATAGATGGTGCAGTCATTCAATAGAACATAGAAAGAGTTCGAATTCGAATTTTAGATAGTGACACACGTGATTTTCATTTTGTGTGCATGTATGAATATGTGATGAGTATATGATGAGTATGAGTATTGAAAAGTGAGTATTGTTTTTATCAATTCTAATCTAATCTAATCACCATCATTTTATATTCCGAAATCGAATTTGAATTCGAATAATTTTCATTTCATTTTTTGTTCATGTTTGTTCACCATAATCATCATTAATTTTTTTAGTGTTTTCGTTTAATTGTTTGTTCACCATCATCATTCATTTTTTTAGTGTTTTCGTTTGAAGAAAAAATAAAGAAAAGAAAATGCTAAACGAACAAGAAAGAGCACGTAGGCGTGAGTATATGCTGTTTGATCGATAAGTTGATGTTGGATTTACGTAATATTTTCAAAGGTGTCAGGTACAATACACAAGTCATGGCTGACCCTGCGGTACCAAACCGAAAGCCGGAAGCAAAACGCCGTGCATAGAAATCCACCGTCAGGCACGAAGCGTTAAAATTGACACCTTTGGCTGGATGCCAAGCAGGGGGCGGCGCAGCCGTCCCCTCCTGCGGGTATCCAGTTATATTGACCGTCAAGGATTGATACCTTTGGCTGGGTACCAAGCAGGGGGGCGGCGCAGCCAAAGGCAAGTTTATTGACCGTCAAGGATAGACAGCCCCGCAGGGCCAGCCTGGGCAGGCGCGAAGCGCCTGTACCGGGCTGGTATATATTAAATCGTTGTGCATTCTCATAATGTTCACCACGTTTTTCAGCCACTAATAATATTGTATTTTTAAATATTGGTTTCGTTATCAAATCAGAATGACATTCACCACCATTTGATTCAATAATATTACTTATTTTATCACGTTCATTCAGACCAGAAAAAACAATATTTAAACCATGTAATATTGGTAGTCGATATTTGGATATGATCGATTCTTCATTAGCTAGTCTGTATTCATGTTGATATTTGGCCCAACATGATTCGATCCATTCTGTTGTCACGATAGATATGCGGTTTATCGCAGCTATACGTGCTTTTTTTTGTAAGCACAGAATCGGAAACAAGGACACTGGTATTGGTATTAAGATCTTCATGATAACATCCCGACATCAATTGAACACGTTTTTCGATAAATTGACGTTTATCGATTGGCATGTGGGGAAATGGTCACTTCCAAGCCACGCATACATAGGCTATAAATTGGCCATGTGCGTTTAGGTAATGAGCAATGTGAAAATGGACAGAATTCATCATCACAATATGTTATGACCAATGGACCGATGATATGACATTGATTTTTATTATGAAAACAATCAAATACTTTATCGTCGAAATGGTCAGTTACGATGATATGATTGTTGATTTGACAAATGCAATACATCAGAAGTGGATTTCATCATTTGAAAATTGATCAACCGTGATGTATAGTTACGTTTTTGTATTGATATAAATGCTTTTTGCATTATATCCGATGGTGACGTCGTTTGATTCGATGTTTTAAATGTAAGAAATAAAAATTTCATTTTAAATTAAATTCAGTGTTGCCAATTTTTTCAAAAATAAAAATGATGATTTAAATTCTGTAAACACAAAAAAAAGTTATTTTTTTGTTTAAATAGAAATACAAATTATTATTACACAGAAAACACACACACACATACAAATTCAAATCAAGTTATGATGATGAAATGTATTAGTGAAAATATCATCCACAGAACTGACGGATGAACAAGTAGCATAGAAAATAGTTATTTGCAATAAAAAATTTTGATTGTATTTAGTATTCACAAATCACGTGACTAACATGACAACCGATAGTATTCCGATTTTTTTTTTTGATTGTTTTATTGATTTTCGGAATGAATGCGGAAATTATAAAATTATATTATAAGATAAAATAAAAAATACAAATTCAAATTAAAAGCCACAAATTGATAAAACGGTCGAATTTTTGATGTTATAAAATGAAGCCAAAGAATTTAGATAATCCAATGTGGATGCCTGTGAATGGAAACGAAAACATGTCTAACAAAAGGAATGGTAATAATTAGAATATGATGAAAATTCAATCATTTACCATTAATCCAGAATGTTGTGATCATCTGTCCTTCGTATCCAACCATTCTAACAGACTTTAATCTAGCACCAAATTTGCTATCACGATACGATTCATCAAATAAGCTGAGCAATTGACGGCTTCGTCCCATAAAAAAAAGAGGTAAATCAGTTGAAGACGAGATAACGAGATAGCATGATCCATTAGCGTCCACATCGCTCGTTCACAACGACCATTTTGTTGAAGAGTATTAATAGTAGCCTTCTCATGAATAATTTCACAACTGCTTAAATAATTCTGAAACGACTCAGAACACAAATTATGATTCATTGATTGAACATTTCAAGACAGAGATGAACATTTTAAAAAGTCGATAGATGAAAAATCATTATTCCATGAGTTTTTTCTTCGTGCCAATCTCGTGGTATTTTAATAAGTGAATCTTGAGTCATAAAATCCTATTTTTCAAGTTTGGCAATCAATTTTCTGAAACTCAGTTGTTGATCAAAACGATTAAAAGTTGAATCCATCCTATTGATTGATTTTCATGATGACAATTTCTACGACAATGATTGCATTTGGTCTTCAGTCGATAATTTTAATTTTTTTTAGAATTTTCTTACGAAAATTATTGATGTTGCCTTTCAAAGTCTTTCGATAAAAATTCATGACAATTCAACATTGAAAGCCAGAATCCTAACCATTAGACCACATCGGAAATCGATACTTAGAAAATGCCGATGCTCGCAGTTTTCAATAAATTTCAATTGCAAGAATATTCAAAGACAAATCAAGACTTGTAGTCAAATCAGTTGGATCTTTTTTTTGAAGATTAATTTTGGTGACACAAAAATCATTAACCAAACGACGGATATTTTAATGCCATTTGATTTTACTTAAAATTACCAAATATTTATAATATATATAAATAATAAAATAAAACAAAATATTATAATGTATTTTGATTGGTGATTGTAGCAATTATGTTGATGTGGGTGTGGGGGATGTGAATAAGATGCGATAAATCTCATGTTATAAAAAAATGGGTAATAAAAAATTGGGCACTACAGCATCATATATATCCGGGTGCACAGTATACAAAACGGAGAAAAAAATGCTAAGAAAGAAAGGAGTAAAGGAGGTATGAAGCAAAATGGTGTAGATTTTTCAGATTCTTCATTGGATGCAATAATTTGGTTAAAATCAATATTTTCCTCTATGCCAATCATGTTCATTGCCGTTTCGTTTTGGACCACCACCACCACCACATCCACCACTTCCATTAAGGTTATTATTACGACGATCAGCACTTCGAGTGTACATATCGGAATCAGGACCAACATCACGGAATGCTTCATTAATCGATCCACCACCATTTGGTGATCGTTGTCGTGGTCCAACACCACCACCACCACCATGTAGATAGCCATGATGATGTTCATATGGAACATCAACACCACCACCAACACCGGCTAATCGGCTAGCCATATTAGCCGGTTTATATGAACCGGAATGTAATACAGCTGAACTTTGTAACTGTGACCATGCTGATGCATATTTATGATAGAAACCAGGATTATCACCATTACTTGAATCAAATGTCGATATTGTTTGTGCATCAAGCGAGCTATGTGAATGTTTGAATCTATAAAATATAATACGAATAAAATTAGATTAATATAATAAAATTCAAATTTAAAGATTTACCGTCTAACGATGATTACAATGATTGTGATGACAGCGGCTAAAAAGACAAATCCACCAAATATGCCTAGTGCAATGATACCGCCCATATTCAATCGTGCTGCAGCAATCTTGGATGGTTTACCGAGAAAATTTTTAGTTGGATTCAAAGGTCCATCAGGAATTTCATTATCCGCAATTCGATTATGTGTCATTGATGGTTTCTGTGTATTCGGACGTTGATGAATGGATGTATGATGTTGTTGATGATGAATGTGTTTATTACGGCTATTAATTGCTGTCGATAGTTGAACCAGTAGTAGTTGTGGATGATGGTGAACTAGCAATCGATATAGGTGAAGATGTAGTATGATGATGATGTGATGAAATCGGTATTGATGGTGTCGTCATCGGTGGTAAGGATTGTTCGGGTGTTCTTGAATTATATGGATTATTTGTATTTGTATAAATATTCGAATGTCCATTGTTATTATTTGAATGTTGTTGTTGTTGTTGTTGATTATTATTGACCACGGGTAATAATGCTATTTGTGGTGGTTTAACCGGTAAATTCTGGCCAGGATAACTAGCACGAATAGGATTTGAATCGAAAAATGTTGTTGGATATCCGGTCGTAGGTGGATTCGTAGGTAATGATGGAGGGTGTTGTTGTTGTTGATGTCGTGGTTGTCGTCGTAGTAGTTGTACTGGTTGATGCTATCGTAGTCGCTTTACTTGGTGGTGCAGATCGAATTTCTATGAAAAAAAAGGAAAGGAATTGAAATGATTCATTGATTGAAATTGTATGACAACTCACCAATACAATAACCGGGTTGTCCTTCCCAATAACCGGCACGATTACATTGAATTAATTTATCACCAACCAATTCGAAACCAGGATCACATTGATATTCAACAATCGAATCAAAACGTGTTGAATTCGAAACCAATGTACCGAAACCATTGGTTATCATTGGTGGATCAGGACACAATACCGGTTCACAACGTGGTGGTGGACCATTCCAAAGGCCATCCGGATCACAAACAAGATTACCACGGCCAACAAGTACATAGCCATCATTACATTGATATGATAATGATGACATATAAGCACGAGATTTATTATTAAGATTATAATTGCCATTTGAAATCGATTGTGGTGGACCACATTCAATATCTGTTTACAAATTTGAAAAAAAAAAAATTTAAAAATAAAACCAAAAATTCAATTCATTCAAAAATTTTCTGAATCAAATCTATCGTCCAAGTCTAATTATGTCCATGTCAAAGTATTATTATTTCAAACAAAGAAAAAACACACTACCACTACACAACACTATCACATTAAATCAAACCAAACATATATCCATTATGTGAGAATAGGTTTCGAGGTTAACCCATCATGATGATGATAATATGTCCATGACCATATTATCTCCTTGTTATATATATTGTTGTGTGTATATATAAAAAAAAACCAGCAAAAAAAAAATAAAATAAAATAAAAGAAACAGTAAAATCTAATCATGGCCAATTTGAAATTCATGTTGTTGTTGTTGTTGTTGTTGTTGTTATTGTCGTGCTTCAATGATCATTATTGTCGTTGAAAATCAAAAAAAAAAAAAAAAAAAATAGAAAACATCAACAACAGTAAAACATAACAATCGGTCATAGTAATTCAGGAGTTAAAATTAGAAAATGATATCATCAAATGATGATTTTAATTATCATCTTCATCATACTTTGTTTTTGACTGAAACATTGAAAGACAAATTTGTGTGTGTGTTTTTTGTTGTTTTTCTACATTATGACAAGTAATTATTATCATGAAAATGAATGATATATCTGATTAAGATGAAAAAAATTCACACAAAAAATATCCAAAACACTACTTACATTTACATTTAGGTGCATATTCACTGAAGAATCCATTCGACATACATGTACGTATATTTGGTCCCAATAATAATGATCCTTCATTACAATGATATTCAATTGTTTGACCAACATCAACTGAACGTATTGATACGGTTGAATTTGGTGGACGTTCCGGACGACCACAACTTAATGGACGATGTTGGCACATATAATTTAATTTTATCTGACAATTTGTATCGGACCAAAGCCATCCTTTTGTACCATCAAATCTTGAACAATTTTCTCTTGTCATCGGTAGATTCCAGAATGATATCGTTACATCTTTTCCATTGATCCATTTCCAATTCTGTTGATTACGTTGATCACGTATGGCACCAAGCCAATATTGACCATTTGGATCATTACGATGACGGCGATAAAGTTCCCATGAAAGGAAACCTTGTAATGCTGGTGATGTTTCATCCACCAATGTACCGCCACGAACTTCACAGAATTTTTTTGCACTTTCAAAATTCAATGGATGTTCATTGTAAAAAATATAACATTTTCCATCATAGGTGGATGTACCGCCTAATGGTTGATCTCGAAATGTTGGACATTGTTCAATGGATAAAGCTATAAATCAAACGACAAAAAAAAATTCATGAAACCAACTAATCAAATGAAAATTATCCGAAACACTCACCATGATCAGTGTATACAAATAATTCACAAATAGATAATGGTGAACTATTTCCATTCGATTCCAACTGTATCGATACGAATGCACCGGCCATTGGACGTGTACATGGTAAATATAATGGCCGTCCTTCTTCAATGAAACCGGTAAATTTTCTACATAATGGATTTGTACCTAAATCCGGTCGATTATTACCAACACGTACAGTAATTGTTGCTGGACGTCCTTGACAACATGAAGCACCAAAATCAATACGTACTAATTGTACAAGAACTGGTTCCAAAAGATTAACATAAAACCATGGTGTACGTTCTGCTTCGGTCATTGTACATGTGGATGGATTGAAAAATGAACTTGGACCTAATTAAATTAAATTAAATTATATATCAAAAGAAAAAAAAAAACAGATGAGTGAGTTGCAAAAAAAAATAGACTAAATCCAGGTTGATTAACCTTGAATTATATTATTCTACATTTTCTTTTTTTATTTTATATTATTATGTAATGTAATGTAATAAATACTTACTGCCATCGACAGCTTTTTGTGCATGACCTTGTCCAACAGTGGATGATTGCATGGCAGCTTTACCAATGGCAACGTCAATTACTAAAATTGAATAAATACAACAACAAAAAAAAACAAAAGAATAAATAATTAGATTGTTAGAAGTGAGAAAAACAACAACAACAACAACGACAACAACAACAACAAAAATCTAATGAATAATAACAACAAAAAAAAGATAAATATAAAACACAACAACGCAAAAAAAATAACAACAACAAAAAAACCATTAATTAATACTCTTTGTATTGTATAATTTGAATTAAATCATCATCATCATCGTTGTCGTTAGTTTGTGGCTGGTGTCTGATCATTATTCAATTGTAATTTGATCCATTTTTTTTTCATTCTTTTGAATTCAAATAAGAATTGTGTGTATCATTGTACACGCACATACATTCGTATAGTTGTTGTTGTATAATTATTCAATGGGGAAAAAAAATAGAAATAAAAATCACTTGTAGTGTGTACATACACCATTATTAAGTTAACCAGAAATAAATAATGAGATTCAAAATTTCTTTTCAAAGTTTTTGTTAGAAATGAATCTCTGGTACCATTGTTGTGTTATATATGGTTAATGTGATGATGATCTTGCAAATCAAAAAGAAGAAAAAATCAAATTGATCATGTGACCTAGAAAGGACCAAGGAAATAAAGAGAGAGAGAGATCATGATATAAATCGGATTCTATAGAATCATTATAAATTCTCATATTCGATTGATTGATTTGAAAGGAAAAAAAATTTTTAAAATTCTCCAATAAATCAATCATAATAATATATAATTGATCCGATTATGAACGTTGAACATTTTTTTCTTTCATCATCATCATCATATCTACATATCTAATTTGATAATTTCAATTGAAAAAATATGACAGAATATTATGTGTGAGAAATTAAATAGAATTAACCTTAATTTCATCATCATCATTATCAATGAGAAATTATAATGATGATGAAATTGATGATGCTCAATAGATCAACATCAGATTGTCATCATCATCATCATCATCTTTATTGTGTCCATCTAAAACAAAAAACTACAAATCTTTGAAATAAAAACGTGTTGAATAAAATTGGCCATACATATAATGATGATAATCATCATCATCATCATCATTTATCAAACATGATGAAAGTCATTGGGTCAGATATTGTTACATTTGTTGTTATTGTTGAAAACTTGAAATTCGCTGGATGAAAAACTACAAATCTTTGAAATAAAAACGTGTTGAATAAAATTGGCCATACATATAATGATGATAATCATCATCATCATCATCATTTATCAAACATGATGAAAGTCATTGGGTCAGATGACATTGTTCACATTTGTTGTTATTGTTCCAGAAAACTTGAAATTCGCTGGATCAACAACAACAACAACAACGACAGAAAGAAAAAAAAAGAACAAACGACATTCATGATGCGTGTGTAAAATGATAATTATACTTACACACACACACACAAACATAATTGGACATATAATGGTCATCTTATTCAGTTATAATGATCTTCATTCATCATCAATGATGAACACACACACACACGTGTGTATCATGTGATATGTGTGCATCGTGTGTTGACAATAATTATAATTTACACAATTATTAAACACCAAAAAAAAAATCAAAATATTTTCAAGTAGCAAATAAAATTTCTTTGTTTTTTCTTCATCATTCCACCATTTTATATATGATGATGATGATGATCGTCGAATGACCACCACATATATTGATGATTGATGTGTTTGAATGGAATTTGAATATAACATTATTATATACATGAAAAACAACAAGCTGTCAACACGTTGATTGTTGAAACACATACACCTGTTGTTGCACGTGTTGCTGCTATGGATGATGGAAAAATTCAAACGTGTGAAATTTTGAATTTCTATTTTTCAATGATTAATTTCAATTTTTTTTGTCTTTCTAAATAAACATTAACATTAACATTTGACATGGTTAGATGTTGTATGATGATCGATGTGTCAAAATTAAAGAAAAAAAAATTGTCAAAAGAGACAGAGGGATCAATGACATTCAAAGATGTGTGCGTGTGTGATGATGATGATGATGATGGGATAACCAAATCAATCTATTTATGGATGTCATTCATTCATTTATATTTTATGTGAATCATATGGCCATCATATAATTATTCATCAATGTCATAATTATTATTATCATCATCATCGTCATTATAGGGACAATTATGATTTTTCATTTTCATATTTGCCATTTTCATTTTTTTTTCATTTTTTCATTTTTCATTTTGTTTTCAAAACAAAACAAAAAAAAACGATAATGGAAATGAAATGAAATGATGATAAGCCTTTTGTCCATGGGCCCATTGTTTTATCGTCGATAACGATGACGACAATGATAGTAACATAAATGAAAAAAAAACAATTTATAAATGTTGATTGTTTTGAAGAAAATTCACTTAAACATTAAACAAAAGATAATGACAAAAAATGACAAAAATCAAAATTTAACATCACATTATTCGATTGATTGATTGATTGATCGATTATCAGTAGCAGTAAACACTTTCAATCTTTTGTATGTGTGTGTTCCAAAAAAAAAAAAAAAAATCATTGAAAGTTTTGGATTTTTTTTTCACTGAAATAAAAAAAGGAAATTAATCGATTGTTCCAATATTATTATTGTACATACACACAAAAAATTTTTTTGTTATTGGTGGTTCCAATAGATGGATCAATCAATACCATTATCGATAAAAATGTTTATTTTTTTTTATCAATCAATGAACAATCATCGTAAAAACAAAACATTCGAATAAAAAAAAAAAAAAAAAAAATATCGACTATCGATAGTGGCCAAAACAAATGAATTCGTCCATCAATCAACAACAAACATAAAAAATCACATTCGAAAATCAAGAATTAACCTGCCTGCTGCAGTTTTTTTTAAAAAAACCAGAAATCAGAAATAAATTCTATTCAAATTTATTTGAAACAAAACCAAAACGAAAAAAATGGCTACTTTGACCGAATTTGATTTTTTTTTTTTTGTTTTTTTGTTATATTCCGATCGTTTGACATGATAATTGATTCCAAAACGAATGTGAACAAAGTGTAATTATTACTATAAGAAAATATTTAAAGCCAAGTTCAATCGATTGTGTATTGGTGGTTAGTGGACAGTCCAATTATTTTTCCCTCCCCGTTGAAAGACAATTTCCGAACCACACATTTCTCATTTCAAAACAGGGAGGTGTCGAAAATTCCGGTTGGACACAGATGAGAAAAAACAGAAAACAGCAAAACAAGACTACCGATGGAAAAAAAACCGACAACGATCAATTGTTTGTGAAAAATAAATTTTTTTTCATTTCTTTTGTTCTTCTGTTCTGTTCTGTTTTTTTTCCTACTCGCCATACATGGTTGATTTGAAACAATTTGTCTATCGAAACCTAAATTATCTCAGAAATTTTCAGCATTTTTTTTTCTCTACTAAACGGACAAAAATGAATGAATGAACAACAACAACAACAACAACAACAGCAGCAACAACAACAACAAACAGTGACAAAACATCCTGTTAAAAGAAGAAAAATCAAAAAAAAAAGAAAAGAAACAAGTCAGCCCATCATTATTATCGAATTGAATGGAATGGATAAATTCCCGTTTCCGAGAAGTAAATATCAATCAAAAAAAAGGGAATGAAATTCCGTTATATTCGATTCGATTCGATTCGGTCTCAATATTCATTTTGTTTTGTTTTGTTTTCGTATCTGTCAACACAAAATGATGATTATAACAATAACAATGATGACTATACAAGACGTAAACAAATATTACTGTCCCTAAACGGTTCGTTGGGTTTGTCAAAATTTTTTTTTTTTGTTACTGTTTGGGGTGAATAACAACAACAACAACAACAAAAATTGAATGGGTTGCAATCACAAAACTAAGAAATTTTTTTTCTTTCGTTCTTCAACAGGAATTGAACAATTGACAACTATGTATGATGGTGGTGGTCACCCAAAATAAAAAGCAAACGAATGAATGAAAATTTCCGTTTTTGTTTACTTCATGTGAATGAATTTAAATTTTGTGAAAAAAAAGAACAAAAAACAAAAAACAATTACAGATAATTCAATTGTTGTCGATGATGATCAATGATCAAAATCAATTGATTGAAATAAAAATTGAAAAATTTATTTTCTCAATCATCATATATGAAGGTCAAGACACCTCATCGTCATGTCATCGATCATTATTTATTTGATTGCCATTTGTTCCAGCGCACTGTGTGTGTGTGTGTGTATGTCTGTGCAGATTCCATTATTAAAATTTACATATCAAGTTCACACTTGGACACAATCATTACACACACACACACATACATTACAAATGTGTATGTGCGATCCATTCGAATGGATTCGTGAGTCACGCAATCAAATTATTTATCAAGAAGAAAACAGAAAATCTCAATTGGACCATATTGTTATTGTATAAAATCAACCATAAAGGTCTCGATGATGATGATAATGATGATGATGATAGCTAATTTTCAATAATCAATAAAAAAGTAACAACTACAACTACAACTACAACTGCAACAACAACAACAATAATAATAAAAATAATAAATCAATCGATCGATTGATCCAGTCATCATCATCATCATCATAATCATTGTTTGTAACGAAAAAAAAGAGAGAGTCTGCGCCAAAAAAAACAGTAAAACATCAAAACAAAACAAGACAAAATAAAAAAATTAATTAGAGCAAATTTTTCACCTTTCATTCATTCATTCGTTCATCAAAAAAAAAAAAAAAAAAGGATTGAACTTTAACTTTCACGATCACACACTTGGTGATTATTATTATTGATGATGAGAATGATTTCGGTAGTTATTTTCATTTTTCTTATCTTTTTGAAAATTTGATTACAAACATTTTACACACACACACACACACACATTCAAGATTCGTGATTCATTATCATTATTATCGAATTATAATGACAAAGAAAGAAAAAAAATTTTAATTTTCTCTTTCTCTTTCTCTTTCCAACAGATTTTTTTTTGTCTTTGTTTCAACAAATTATTGGCTATGTGTAAAAAAACACACACACACACACACACACACACAGATATGGATCAAAAGATTATTATTGGTGGTCTATAATTAGATCATTAAATGAGTACATGGAAAGTGTTTATGTAAATGTTGCAATAATTAGTTTCTAATATATTTGGAATCAAAAGTCAAGTCAAGAAAAAAAATTTTTTTTCTTTCTACATGAAAATAAAGATGAATCGATTATACCGCCACCACCACCACCTGCTGCTGCTGCTGCTGGTTTTGGACCCAACATTGATCAGAAAAATATCGATCGATAATGGACAATCAACGTATTATTTATTGTCTAGCCAGTGATCAATGAGATTTTGATTATTTTGACAGAAAAAAAACATAAAAAAAAATTCTCATTTATTTTGCCAGCCAATATCAACATTGAATGACATTGAATTCAACAAAATCAATTCATCAATACAATTATTTTGCCATATTTCCTTATTATATATCGATTATTATTATTGATCAACATCAAAAGCAACAGCCCGATGATGATGATGATTTCAATCAGGTCGGATTAATACACAAAAAAAATTTTTTTTTCTTAAATTATAGCATGATTTATTGATTATTTATTAGTCGATAACAGAGCTTTATACAAACACATTACCGAAATAATTATCGATTTGATTGGATTTAATTGCTGTGGATCAAAGAACATTATTATTGGCTTAGTTTGATTTATATCGTATTTGGGTATTTGATCAATTTGATTGATACAATTGTCATGTGTATTCCATACATGTAGAAATGTATGGAATCTTGGATATTCGAAAATAACAAAAAAAAAAAAAAAAATACAGGATGAAGAAGACAATCAGCAATAAAAAATATTTAAAATTTATTATCATTTGTTATGGCATTGATGAGAATAAGGCGGAAACATTAATTTATCTTTTGATTGATATTGATTTCAAGTTTGTGGTACTTTGATCATGATAATTAAAACTGAAACTGATTATATGATTCAATAAAAAAAAATGATAATAATAAATTATAATTGATAAGTGCAATAAGTCTCATGTTTTCTCGATAATTTTTTCAATGTGAATCTCAAAAGTTATAAAATAAGTTTGTTTGTTGCTCGTTTAGCTGATCATTTTTGTTGTTGTTGTGGTTGTTGTAACATTCAAAAATGACTTCAAAATCGATTGATGATGAAGAAAAAAAACTTGAAAATGAACTATTCGACCAATTCAAAGACATAAATCCAAATGATCTAATACGTGGAAAAACACCGGATGATATAAATGAACGATGTTTTAAACTTGTACAAATTTATATGACAAATAATGACCAATGGAAACGATTATGTAAAACAACAAATGATTTGAATGTACGTCGAATAACCGGTGGTATGACCAATCAACTATATTATGTTGGTTTAAAAAATGGCATCAATGAAATTGATAACGATGCAATAACGATTAAATTCTATCAAAGTAAACATTTTAAAAAAGATATTATCAATGGTGATACAGATGATGAACGATTAAATGATACAATCATTTCAATCATCATCAGTGAACAAGGAATAGGACCAAAAGTGTTTGGCATATTATCGGATGGTATAATTCAATCATATCATGAGGTAATTATCTAAAAGTGTTAATTTTAAATTGATGACAATTTTTTTTTTGTTCTCTCCAAAAAAATATAGCATGAACAATTTCGTCCAAAACATCAACATAATGATCGATTGTTAAAAAAATTAGCATATCTTTTAGCAAAATTGAATAATTTAGATATTCCTATTGCAAAGGATAAATTCTATTTGATTGATATTCTAACCAGTTATATACATGAAGGATATCGACACCACGATGTTTTATCATTGGCTAAAGAATTTAATCTTAGATATTTACTTGAAAATGATTTCCTTGCCGAAATGGATTGGTTTGATTCATTCATTCGATACTATCTGGATCAATGTCCTATGGTTTTCAATCATAATGATTTTCGTGGCAACAATATAATGGTGTTGAAAGATAGTGATGAAATACTTCTTTGTGATTTTGAATATAGTTCATATGGATTTCGTGGATATGATTTAGCATCATTTCTTATGGAATGGGATCGAAACTTTCTTAATTTTGAAGATACTAGTCTTCCATCGGATGATGTTGTTGAAAAATTTATTCAATTTTATATTGAAGGTTGGGAACAAATTGATCCTGGTTATTCGACAAGAGAAGAAAATTCATGTCAAAAGATAATGAACGAAACAAAAATCGGTTATTTATTTGTTCTCATTCATATTATGGGTGTAACATTGCATCAAAAAGAAGAAATTATTGCAAGTTTACAATTTGATCCTAAAAAAATTTCAATAGGAGTGAATTTCATGTTCAAACGATATTTGGATTTTAAAAATTTATTAATTGAAGAAAAAATTATTGATTATTAATACTAAAATGATGATGAGACATGATGATGATGGACCTTGAATTCAAATATCAGTTCCATCATCATCATCATCATCATCATCGTTGATGTCATTTTTTTTTTGCTGGCCACACACACACACACTACACACAAAAATGCTACTGTCATTCATTTGAATACGATAAGAATAAAAAAAACAAACAAACAAACACTCCCACATATTATATATATATGAAACACCTACACATCTTTTATTCTTTGTTTTTTTTTTATCTGAAAAAACAAACAAAACAAACATTATGTGTGTGTATGTGCGTGCAAAAAAAATCACACAATGAAACAACAAACAATAATATGATTAAAGGTTTCCGTTATTTGAAACAAAAGACAAATAACAACAACAACAACAACAACAACAAATTTCTGTTTAACACTTTATTGTCACTATATGTGGTTATTTATTACTTGTTTCAATGTTGAAGGAATAGTGGAAAAAAAAGAAGGGCACGGATTTTGGAACAGCATATTTTTTTTTCCTCAAAAAGCAACAAGTGTAAAAGAAAAATTGTCAACAATGATGATGATGATGATGATGATGATGGAATAATTATCCATAGAATCATTAGACAGAGTTGATATATACACTTGAATTTTTTTTTTTCGTTTTGTTTCATTGTAACAATCAATGTTTAAATAGTCGGCACTATTATTATTTGACATTCGAATCTTTCATTCATAAACAGCAGAAGAAATAAAAATTGTTTTGGATCAAAAAATGGAAACAATGGATTGTATCATCATCATCATCATCGTCATTATGTTGATGAATCTTTGAATTCAATAGCTCGATTCATCATCATCATCATTATCATCATCACCATAATTATGGCTTCAAAGTGAATATTTTTTTTTTCTTTTTCTCTCTAATTCAATCATCATCATTTTTGTTTATGGTGAATGAATAAACAAATGAATGGAATGAATCGACTCAAACCTTAACGTATAACCTTGTTAAGCCATTTGTGTGTATTTGAATTTTTATTTTTTCTCTGATTGTGTGTGTGTGTGTGTGTGTGTGAATCTTGAAACAAAATATTTGGCCAAACTTTTGCATTGTTGAAACAATAGATCAAATGGAATGGTTTTGAATTTTTTTTTTTTTTTTTTGTTTATTCAATTCAATTCAAAAAAAAAAATCCAATCAATAATCAATTGATTGTTGTTGAATGGAGGCGAATGAAAAAATATAACCGAAAGTGTAGCAATAGTGATTGATTGATTGATCAAGATTTTTTTTGTTTATTCAACAACAACAACAAAAACTAATAATTCAATGTGGGTGGACAAACAATCGACATAATGATGAAATCTAGAGAGAGAGATAGAGAGATCTATAGAATTCAATTAATCAAATATATCATCGTTTTGTGACCATTCATATTCAGCTCATCACGCATGCTCGAATCGAATTTAAATGTGAATGAATTTGGAATTTGAACGACACAAAAATCGATTTTTTCATTGAATAGAATAAAATGGATCAAAGATTCGGTTGATTGATTCCTTTTTTTTCATCTCTTTCTTTATCTCTATTTTCATTATCATCATCACCATCACCATCATATAACAATCGATATGAAGCCGGTTAATTCACACATCTCATCATATGCTATATTCACAATTCTTTCTTCTTTCTACTTTTTTTTTCTATTTTACCAAATCAATACGAATTGTCAAACATACAAAATTTGAATACCGAACACACACGGTAATTGGCGTCAAAATCATCATCATCATCACCATTACCGACAACAACAGCAATCATCAATCAATTTAAATAAAGAAAATCTTTTCACAACCTCAATTTCAATCGTAAAGTCAACGAATGGAATACAAAAGGTAAAAAAAAATTTCAATAATTTTAAAAACGATAAATCGATTGTATCGAATCAATTTTTTTCATTTAGCCAACAATTTTGATGATGATAATTCATTCAATTGTCACTATGATGTTCATGACCGTGTGTGTGTGTGTGTGTGTGATTCGGAACAAATTTCCCTGAAAAAATGGTGAAAATAGCGGATCAATTAATGATGATGATGGATCGTATATCTGGATCATAGGATGATATTAAGAAATCTTTTCGGGTCAGGTTAATTGAATATTTCAAAAATTCATTCATTTCATTTCATTCATTAAATTCATCGATGTATTCATAGATGAACGACAATACGAACAAACAAACAACAACAGCAGAAGAAAAATTTTCATTTAAAATATTGTATTTCACCATCTTGAAATGAATAATGGAACAATAACGACGGATATCATCATCGGATCATCATCATCATCGGATCATCATCATCAATGTTGATTTGAACTTTAAAAAAGTGGAAAAAAAAGAAAATTCAATTTTCTTCTTTTTCTTCCGAAAAAACCATTGGATTACACTATATATCCGGGGGATTTTGATGAATGAATGAATTGTACAAACTAAATGTCATATAGCGTGTCATTATCATTATTATCGTCATCATTATCATCACTTTAACAACAACAACAAAAAAAAATCCAATCAATTCAATGTCTCGATATTGTGTCATATTATGAACGGAAAAAAAAATTTCCATTCCGATACTACTACTACTACTACTACCATTTAGGTGATGTGATTTTTTCATTCATTCATTCATTCATTCATTCTATTCGATTCTATTCTTTGGTATGAAATGAATGAAAACAAGAAGATGAAAAAAAAAAACAACGAAACAACAACAACAACATTGACAAACACACACACACACACACACACACATACATAAAAAAAGGGTCAAAAGAAAAATTTTGACCGAAAAAAAAAATACAAATTGAATTCATTGTGTGTGTGTGTGTGATTGAATTATTAAAATGAAAAAAAAAAATTTGTAAAGTTTTCGTTGTTATACTACTACTACTACTACTACTAACACAATGTTTTACATTCATATATTTTTTTTCTATCTTTCTTCAGGTTGATTGAATCTAATTTGTCTAAATTCAAAGTTTTCGATATATATATATATTGTATATGTGTATGTAATACATATTATTGTTTACCCTACATTTTTTGTAGTATAAAATCCTTATATTTATGAAAAATTCAAGTTCGAGGACACACACACACAACAGGACAGGAAGAAGAAGAAAAAAAAAGTAGGACAAATCGACGGTCGGTTTTGGGTTTTGGTTTTTTTTTTCTTTTGGATAGATAATGGTATGACCATTGTGTATATGGCCATTCAATATATATATATATATTCTACCTGATGATGACCTCGATTTTTTTTTTTTTGTTTTGTTTTTGTTTTCATTCATTCGATATATATAAATTAAAAGACCTAACTTGGCTTGATTTTGGATTATTTTTTTTTGTTTCTCACTGGTTGTAGGTAGTAGTAGTAGTTTATTATAGGAAAAACATTGGAATTCAAACAATTTATTATACCGGGAAATCATATCAGTATGTGTGTAAGTATGGCGCCCGATTCAATCAAAAAAAAAACAATCTGGAAATCATCCAATGTTTGTGTGTGTGTATATGTCTTTGATTTAATCAAAATAAAAATCTGATGATCATGGAAAAAATACCAAGAATGTACATTATTACATCATTTATGAATGTGAATGAAAAATTTCGAATGTTTTGATTATACGAAATTCGAGCATTGTCATTTGTCGTCGTCGTCGTCGTTGTTGTTGGTGGTAATTATTTACAATTTACAAATTAAAATTTGTAAAAAGAAATAGAAAAATTACTTGATAATTAATCCATTTAATAATAAATGTTCATCAATCAATCAATGATGTTAATGGGATTCACCGTAACGAAAATAAACAAACAGTTTGTCAATAATCTATGATTAAAGCATATATATACAATATAATCATCGTTGTCGTCATCATCATCATAAATCTATATAGAATCAAATCAAATACAGAACAAGATAATCTACTTGTTGTTGTTGTTGTTTTTTCTTCCATCATCATCAAATTGATCAACAAATAAGCAAAAAAAATCAAATCAAATCAAATCAATGATAATCAATTCAGGTTCAAATAAGAATCATCATCATCATCATCATCATCATCGAAGAGGTAAAACAATTTTTTTTTTCTTTCAAATATTTGGCTGAAGATTAATTGATCACATATATTTTTTTCTTTAGACTATGTCTTTAGGCTTCCGGGGGCTACTTGATAAATCTTGTTCTTGATATCTTTTTTGCTTTTGAAAGAAGTTTTTTAGTTACGATTGAATTAATTGTAAATTGTATGGTGATGGTGGTGGCCATATATATATGGAATAAACTGGTTCTCTTGTTGATTAATATATATTGATTTGATTAAATGAAACGAAACGAAAAGAATCATCATCATCATCAACACAATCAACAAGATTTTTGTTTTGCCATTGATGATGATGATGATGTCCATTAGCCACCAACACACACACACAGGTAACTTGATAGATGAGAATATAAATTTTCATCATAACGAACGTTTTTTTTCCTTCTTTACATTAATTCTCAGGTCAGCCGGTTTTTTTTCGTTTGGCATGTTGTACATACTTTCAAAAAAAATGGGATGGTGGTGAGAGAGAGAGAGGGTACTACATATATCAAACTGACCAGACAAGTCTTTTATTATATTACCGTTATATGTTTATGTGATGATGATGATGATGCTGATGATGATCATGATCATGATCATGACAATGACGACAATTTATTCGAAAAAAAAGAGAGGTTTCATTTTACACAATATTTCTCTCTCTTTTCGTGGATTAAATGTAAAAAAAAGCAACATGAATGTTCATCGTTCGATCACAACAACAACTACACAAACATGAATCAACCAGTCGGTTGATTTTTTTTTTTTGTTCTGTAAAACAACAACAACAACAACAACAAAAACAAAACGAGGTCAAGTATATGTCTATGGAATCCGGTCCGATCTCTTTTTTTTTTTTGTTTTTGTTTTGTTTCTCTCGGCATCAATCAACCAATCACCGAATCTTGCCATTCAACTCTATAAGATTTTCATCATTTATATCAATATTTCATTTAACCGGATATCATCATCATCGTCATCATCATCATTTTCCAGAATGGTTATTGATGATGATGATGATGATAATTATTAAGCCGATTATTTGTTTGCCTACAATATATTCAATAATTTTTTTTTTTTTTTGAAATCCAGTTTCACCTGATAAACATTATATATATATATGAGAAGAGAAAGAAACAACGCCCACGAATTAATTGAAATATATATGAATACAATAATAATTCATCATCATCAACAGCAGCAGCAGCAACAACAACAGAAATGAAAAAAAAAATAGTAGTAACAAGATAGGACCTTGCATCTTTGTTTGTTTGTTATCGTTATCGTAATTGTATGTATGTATGTATGTATGTTGTACACAACACAATACAATTAAGGGCGATGTTTTTTTTGTTTGCTGTTTCGTTTCATTATTTCGAAATAAATTTCGACATGATGATGATGATGATGATGATGTCTTGTCTTATTGTCAGCATGATATCTTGTCAGTTATTCAAATATAAAGAATCTATCACATTCATACATTCATTCATTCATTCACGAGGGGTAAATATTTGACTTCTGAATTTTTCACAGAAAAAAAAATTTTTGCCATTTTTGAAATGATCAAATTTCAGCTGTTTGATAATTAATTTATCCATTTGGTTTCATGAATTAATTTTTCTTTTTTTTTTTTTTTTTTTAGTGTTATGTAAATTCAAGAATTTCGACATATCGTTACAATGGTGGCCCATTGATTATTATTTTTTTTCCCATAATTTATTGCCAATTTGGCCATGATTGATATATGAAATCATATCATAAGCATCCAAGACTAATCTAATGAAAAAATTGAATTTCATCTTGAAAATATTTGCCTCTTTCTCTACATGATTTCTTACATCCACACTATAACCATAATGGTCATCTTGAATGATCATTATCACCACCACCACCACCAACATCATCATATGGATGGTACCAATTGGCACCTTGTTTGTTTAACAACAACAGCAACAAAAGCATATCTTATGACCATACCTAACCATCAACATCATCATTATGATCACTAGAATTATGGCAATGTGTAAATAAAAATGAACGGAGAAAAAAAAATCAAACAGAACGATGATGAAAAAAAAAATTATCAACACACACACACACACACACAAATTCAACAAACATCAATTTCATCATCATTCAAAAACTTGTTGACTGACAAGTCTTTTTTTTTTTTTTTGATTATTATTTCATTTCTTTGAAAACATTGAAAATTTCAACGAGGGGTTACTGACTTTGATCATCATCATCATCATCATCATCATCATCAATGCCATCAGCATTACAGATCCACGATGATGATGATCATCATCATCAAGGAAGAAAAAAAAGAAAGAAAATTCATTCACAAATGTATGGCATGTATATATTATATGAATATTTGTGCTATAAAGACAAGTTTACAATTTGATGTGGCGCGGTAAATTCATCCAGTATAATCGAATTGAGAGAATGAGAAATGTTTACTATAAAAAAAAAAAAACAGTACATTCGCGGTACATATCATAACGATCATCCTCATCTTGATGGTGGTGGTGGTGGTTGTGGATTTTTATCGACAACTTTTTTTTTCTTTTTGAATCAGTCATTCAATATTTGAACATCAAGAAAACATTTAATCAACCAACCAACAACAACAGCAACAAGTAGAATGAATATCTATGAATGTTGATGATGAAAAATCACGGAACTACATTATAAAACATCATCATCATCATCATCATGATGCAAAAATACAAATAGTAAAGATATGTCGTCGAAATGGCTTTTTGTTGTTGTTGTTGTTGTTGTTTATGATGTTTTTAAAACATCAACAATCAACAATGATGATGATAATGAATATTCAAATTCATATGTGAAATTTTTTTTTTCGTTGTCGTTGTATGTATGTATTTCTCTCACACATTCACCACATTTTAAATGAAATAATTTTTTTTTCTATATTTCACATCTAGAATATTCTGGTCAAACCAAAAAAACGAGAAAAAAAATATTCAATCACGAAAATAAGGAAATTGATCATCATGATTGTGTGTGTGTGGTGGTGGTCAAAGTTTGGTTCATTTCATGCCATGAATTCCTAGTTCATTAAAAAACATTAAATAAAATGGGCAAAAGAAAAAAAAATCTTTGTTTCTTATCACATCAACATCTATAGTAGTAAATCTTTCAACGTTTATCATTGATGTTTATCATCTATCCATCATTCATTCATTCAAGTATTTGTGTTGTATACACGATTGATGTGAATAATTTATTTTACCAAATCACAAATCACAAACATTATAATTATAATAATAATAATAATTTAACCAGGGAGAATAGAATCAGTTTCCTAAATCAGAAACGAGCTGATATGAATCATCATTTTTTTAAGTGAACAAGATGACGATAATGAGTATTGAATGATGATCTTGAAAGATAAAAACACATGAAATAAGGAAAATGATCATCATCATGATCATGATCATCATCGTTATCGTTATCAAAAACTTTTTCGATCAATCGATAAGTGATCAGTAACGTTGAGTACGGGAAATAAAAAAAGATTTTTTTTTTTTCTGCACACATATATCCCAATACCAAACGGTAACCGGTAATTCATTAGTAATACGAAAAAAAAAGGAGCAATAACAACGACGACGACTCATTATCATTGTGATGAAACTAGAAAATTTTCAAGTGCAAGCAGACTTTTTCGTTTTTTTTTCATCATCATCAAAATATAATTAGTTCAGGTAAATTATTCGAAATTTTTTTTCCAAAAAAAAGGAAAAAAAATTATCTAGAGAGATCATCTTCGAATGAATTAAAATTAAAAATTTTCATCATATCATTCGGGTTTGTTCATTTGTTGGTCATCATCATCATCATCGATATCTGTGGTATCGATTTAAATTGGGAGATGAAAAAAAAATCCCTTAGAGGGGCTTTCCATATCACCACTATATGGACAACAGGTCTATCATCATCGGCGGCGATGATGATTTAAATCCATACAAAATGTTAAGACTTTCTCTGAAACATTTTTTTTTTTTTTTTTTTTGGTTCATGTTCTGTGCTCTAATTTATTGCACATTCTTTTTTTTTCATTCTCATTCGTGTCATTATATTACCCTCACACACACACACACACACACACACACATAATACATGAGGCCACACATTCTTTGGTGTGTGTGTGTGTGTGTCCTTGAATATTTTCAGATATACCGGCAACACATGCACCAAATTTTTTTTTCTTTTAATGGACCTTTGGAGCTTGATTGCCGATGATGATGATGATGATGAAGCGCCGCTGACCTTATTATTAGTGAAGAATTTTTTTTTATTTTTCATTTACCAACCACACTTTGATTGGTCATTGGGCTCTCTACACAATCAACAATTCAAAAAAAAAAAAAAAAGTTTTTTTCTGGTGAATCATCAACAAGTTGGTTTTTTTTTGCTTTTGATGATTCAAGATATCCGTAATCATCATAATAATGATGATGATGATGGTGATCACCATAATGATGCCATTATGGTGATCATCTTGATCAATCCTTATGATGAATGATAGGTGCATAGGTCAGTACATCATTATGATCATTGGTTTATTTCAGGAATCAAAAGAGAGAGAAAGAAAGATGAAAAAAATCGAAATCTATCTATTTATCTCTGATTCTATTGTTTTTGGAAAAAAACACAAAACAAGACAAAAAAAAGAAATAAAATATTTTTGCATCCATTATAAAAAAAATTGGTTGGAAACAATCGAACAGCCAGTCAACCAATGGGCAACCATTGATGATGATGACCTTTGGCCTTTTTCAGTTTTTTTTCTATTTTCTTTTCTTTCTATGAAAATTATTTTGAAGAAAAAAAAGAATTTTTAGTGTGTGTGTGTGTGTGTGTGTGTGGTGATGCTAATCAAAATTTCAAAAAATCGAAAGTTTGAAAAAAAATCTTCGATCAAATGATGTGCATGTGTGTGTGTTGATCGTCATGAGGTTTGGTTAGGGGTCATTATTGAATGGAAAAATTTTTTTTTTTATCATGTCCAGGGTTTGGTTTGTTTGCCCATTATGTTCATATGTGTGTGTGCGTGTGTGTTTGTTTGTTTCATTCCCTTTCATGACTATGGTAAACTTTTATTCGAAAAAAAAAATTTTGAAAAAAATGACCAGAAAATTTGCAAAAAAAAATACACTTACCACAAAATGGAATGCCTTCTGGTGTCCAGGTGCCATTCTGATTACATGCACGTCTTGATGGTCCAAGCAATTCATAGCCATAATCGCATGTATATGTTACAATTGTACCAGCATTTAGACGTTCATTTGTGAATGTAACCGAACAATGTAATGGTGATCCTGGATAGCTACATGTTTGTTCTGTATTTAAATTCATCAATCAATGAATTTATTATTTTTTACAATCATCGATTCACGTATATTTATGCTCAAAGAAAACGTACCTGCAGCAATGAAACTTTGTTTCGGATCAATAGTGATCATTATAATCATTGTAATAATCACTTATGATTGGATTTGAATGATGATGAAAAAATAATGGTGATGATGATGTGAATTTGGTTGATGAAAAATTTGATCGCCTATTTTTTGATGATAATAATTTTGTTGTTTTGATGATGATGATGATGATGATTGTGATGGGCGACAATATCGATTATTATTATTGAACATTATTGTTGATTTAATTGACTTGATTAATAACATTATTAATTCATTAAACGGATATGATGATGAAGATGATGATGATAATGATAATGGCATCGATTGTTTCGATGATGATGGTGATGAGCAAAATTCTTGATTTGAAAATGGCATTGATGATGAAAATTGTTTCATGAAAGATGACTTAGATGATGATGATGACCAATATGGTTGTTGTGACGATGTAAATGATGATATGACAAAATTATTTCGATCATTTTGATCATCATACAGTAATGATGAACAAATCATATCATCATCACAATCATCATTTTGATTACGTGGATCATCAATCATTTTTGTTGTTGTTGTGGGCATATTTTTTCAATTTATAAACAATTTAAAGATTCAATGTTTTTTTTTCATTCAAACATTCCAAATGATTTTTTTTTTTTTTTTGATCAAATCACATCACACTTGGTTTTAAGAATATAAAAAAAAAAAAAACACACACACACACACACACACACTGCCACTACTGTGTGGATATAGATACACAATCAAACACCGAATAACCGTTTTGGATTAAGAATCGAAATTCGCATTACACCGAGATTTTTTTTTTTTTTTGTTGTTGTTGTTGTTGTTGTTGTTATTAGTTTCAATACTTGGCTTTAACTGACTTTTGCCGCCACTTGTTCATCATTTTCATCATTATCATTTTCGTTTTGTTCATCTTGGTCTTCGTAGTCGTCGTCGTCGTCTTTGTAAGTTTCTTTTTTATCTTTGTAGCCAGAAAAACGAAATATTCACGAATGCACGAAACACACACATGCACACACAAACAAGGCACAATCATCTGACAGCAGCAATTTTCAACAAAAACGAATGAAAAATAAATTTTGTTCTCTCTCTTCATCTTTCTTAGGTCGTTCTCTCTCTATCTCTCTTTCACAGTTCCTCTGTATGTGTGCATGCTATTTGCTCTCTTTTTTGTTTCCTTCATTCAAATTCACCTGGCTTGTCTTGTTGTCATGTGTGTGAAAAAAAAATTTTTGAAAGAAAAAAGAAAAAATCTTACCTGTTCTACCTGTATGAATGAATGAATGGAATGAATGAAACAGGTACGTTGGGTTAAATTTTTTTTTTTTTTTTTTTTTTTTTATTTTGTAGCGGTTGAATGGACACAAACACTGTGTATATATTGGATGGATGGTTGGAATATATGGATAAAAAATCAATGATGGTAAATATTGTAGTTGTTATTATTATCTAACTAAAACGATGACTCCCGATGTTCGATGGTTTATGAATAATAATAAATAATCCATCCATTACGGTCAAAGGTTAAAAATCATGATCATGATGGTGATTGGTTGTTGGTTGGTTGATCCATGTAAATTATCATATGGATCATCATTGAATTTCACAAATGATGATCAGATAAAAAACAATTTTTTTTTCTTTCACATCTTCCATTCATTGGTGATAAATCTTTTCTATCGGTCGGTCGGTAGGTAGGCAGATGAAGAAAATTTAGTCAAAAAAAAAAAATTGATAATCTTTCAATTAATTGCATACGAGGAAAAAAACCAGCCGACAACAACATCAAAAAGGATAAAATTTTGAAATTTTAAAAAATTTTTTCCATATTCACAGGGTTTTTTTTCTTCCAAAAAAAATGGATCATTGACGAAAAATCTTGCACCTTACCTGTTGTGTGGTATTTTGTCTCGGTCGGCGGCGGTGGTGGTGGTGGTGGTGGTGATCACATTAATTATAAGTCAAAAATTGGTTTTTTTCTGACCATTTTGTCCAGTGTGTGTGTGTGTGTGTGTGTATTTGTTTGTGTGAAAATGACGATTGCCGACACACACACACACACACGCAGTGATAATGATTCCAAAATCAAAAAAAAGGCAAACAAGGGGTTATATTTTTTTTCACCAATATCAGTTTGAAATGTCATTTTGAATGAATGCCGCAGAAAAAAAACCTGCTCCACAACAACAATAACAAAAAATAAAAATAAAAAAGGTGGTAATAAATTAGCTCTGGACAAAACAACACTGGACACCAGTGGTGTGATGATGATGATGATGATCAACCAAGAAAAAAAAACTCGAATTAGAAGAGTCAATATAAAAAAAAATGAATGTCAAACCCTCACATACCGGCTATCATTATGTATGGTATGTGTTGTCATTCATATGTGGAATTCCAAATCCATCAACAATCTGTAATCTCACCATCATCATCATCATCATCATCATCGAGGTCATATATGATTTTAAATTCTTTAAAAGTTTTTCTGTTTTTGTTGTTGTTGTTACTTTGATTCTACACATTCGATAATCGATAATGAATTTATGCATATATACACATGTGTCACTATATGACCGACCATGACCTGTAAACATAAAAAAAAATTGAAAACCTAGAATTGAAATCAATCAATAGAGATCAATTGATTATTATGGCTCATGATGATAAATTGGATGACCTTTTTTTCAGTTGTCCATTTTTTTCAGGGTTTATTACTCTCTCCCCAAAAAAAATGTGTTCAATTAACTTGTCGAATAATGAAAAAAAAGAAATTCTTTGACCTTTGGACCCAGGTGAGAGTCAGAGACAGCGAGAGAGAGAGTGAAGGCTACCCGATTAGTTGAAAAAAAAATCAGATACAACCATAGAATATTTGACCTTTGTTTTTTATTACAGAAAAGATGACTTCATGACCGTTATGTATGTATGTATGTATGTGAAAGGTCATCACGTGTCATCGCTAAAATAGATAGTTTCATTATAAATATTTAACTATAGTATTTATCTGGTCATTTAGGTCATTGACCAGTGATTGATATGAAAAAAATGGGTTTTTGTTGTGTGGGTTGCAGATGATGAATACATTACAATTTATAATGTTATATTATACCAGCAGAAATTGAAATTTTCAAATAAAAACAAAAACTAACAAAAAAAAATGAAAAATTCGACGAAATGAAATGGCCAACCAAACAAACTTGGCCATCAAAAATTAAACTAAACCAAAAAAAAAAAAAAAAATAGAACCTTATTATCACCAAAATAGTATTCATATTTACATGCCAGTGGACCACCACCATCATGATGATGATGATATTGACGATTTGACCATTGACCACCATTGATGAATGCCATATAATAATGATGATGATAATGACCAAACAGGTCATTGATGATCATCATCATCATAATGATAATAATAATAATAATAACGATGATTGAAGTCCATGAAACAAAAGAATAATTTTTTTTTTGTTTGTTTACTCTCTAAATCCAAAAATGGTTTGATCAAAAAAAAAAACTGAACCAAAAAAAAAAAAAAAATGAAGCAAAATGAAAAATGAAATCGAAATAAAAAAAAAAAGAAAAGAAAATAAAGATAAATCCAGCAGCCTAAAATAAATGGCATCTTTTTCGTTCCCATTTTTTTTTCTATTTATGTGTTGTTGGTCCATCATCATCATCATCATCATTACCATTCTTGTATTTAAAATTTCAAACAAACAAACAAACAAACGATGAAGATGATGATATAAATGGTGGTGGTGGTATATATTCAAAACATTCTAAAATAGCGCTATTTTTCCATCTAAACAACAACAACAAGAATTGAATGGACAATAGAAAACAAAAAAAAAAGAATTGAAATGGAAAGCTCTCTCCCAATATGGAGCAATAATAAAATGGCGATGATTTGTATACAACAACAACAACAACAACAACAACAACAACAACAGCAATCGACAACAACAATCGAAAAGCAGACAAATGAAAATTGAACCAGAAAAGAAGAAAATGAAAATTTTTTTTTTTTTTTGTTGAAACTGAAATTATTTCGTATTTGGACAGCGTAATGATTATCAATGTAAATAGAATAAACGTTTTTTTTTTCGTTGTTGCCAAACTTGGATAACAATAGATTGTATGATGATTTGTATTTTTGTTTTCTATTAATCAAGCTTTCATTTAATTCTTGACATATGATGGATGGATCGGATTTCGGATATCATTTTGGATTACATCATCATTTAGAAAAAAAAAGATTCATCGATGATGATGATGATGATGATGATTTGCACCGAATCGATCAAGCAAACGATCATCAATTGTTCAACAAAAAATAAAACCAAAGAAAGAAAAAACACTTTCTCTGCTGTTTTTTTTAGGACAAAAAAACCACCCACAATGTTGAAAGAGCAACGAAAAAAAAAATAATCTGACCAGGATTCAATGCACTTTTGACTGGTCAAAAACAAAACAAAACAAAACAACATCACCAACAACGTTACATTATCATTAATGTGTGAAAAAAAATGTGAATTTTTTTTTTGGGTAAAAGAAAAATTTTTTTTGTTGTTGTTGTTGACACATGTTCAACATTGGGTGCCAAAAAATATATACGTGCATGCTAATTATTTCGGCACTACATTTGTGTGTGTGTGACAATAATTTTAACTAAAAATAACTTTAGCAAAAAAAAAATCACAAATTGTCACCAAAAAAACGACGACGACGACGACAACTAATCATTGGTAATTGACGACCAACAACAGCATTGTGTTTGAATATCCAGGATCCAGGATTATTGACTATTGTTGTTGTTGTTGACCAGAAAAAATTTGACAATTTTTTTTTTTGGAAGGAAAAAAAATGAAATTCAATCATGTTTTATTTTAACCCGGTTATTAAACGGTTATTCTAGAAAAAAAAAATCTGACCACCATTCTGTGTCAGTAGCACCCTCAATATTTGGTTCAAATTGTATTCGCTCTCTCTCTCTTGCTTTCTGATCTGTGATCCATCCAGATGAATCAGAGCACATCCGTCATATAGGTAAGATGATGACCATCACCACCGCCATACTCACATATCTATCATTCATTTTTCTTCCTTTATGGTCAGACGAGAGTAACGAAAAACAAAAAAAAAATAAAAGAAAACATTCATTCATTTCCCGTACATATAAGATTTTTTCGGTAGACACATATATATTCAACAGGTGTAACTAGGTGTACCAATGACCATTCGACCATCAAAAAAAAAAAAAAAAATGAAACAAATTCAGATCATCATCAGATTGACCAGCCATTTTCTTGTTATTTCATTTTTTTTCTTTGGTTTGATTTGATTTTCTTTCATTCAGAAAATTATTCACAAAAAAATGATCCAAAAATAACTTGTTGTTGTTGTTGTCATAGTAGTAGTTGTTGTTGTTGTTATTGATATTTTTTTTTTTTCATTGGACAATAACAATTGCTATGTGTCGTTTTAACGAGAAAAAAGAAATAAAATTTCAATCATCATCATCATCATCACAAATGAAACGGTCGATCGATTTATATTTATTTAAAATTTTCATTTTTTTCCACTGTATTTACAACCAAAACAGAAACGAATAAATCTCACACGAAAGAAAAAAAATTTCACTACATATGGAAATGGGTGTATATTTTTTTCATCAAAATTTGACTATTAAATAGAAAAAAAAACAAGAAAAGAAAAGCAAAGAAAAAATCGAAAAAAAAGTGTCTATCATCAACGACAATTGACAATCTTATATAGATGATATAAATCATTTGAAGCGATTAATTCAAAATATTTGAAAACGTCTTCTTCTTGACCATTATTATTTGGCCGTCCAATCAATAGATGACATAATCGATGGCCATCTGGTTTATGTTTATCTGGTTGTCCATGTTGTTGTCCGTGTTGTTGTTGCCAATAATTGATACGTTCATCATCATGTCTCCATATATCAATCATACGACAATGTTGTTTTTGTTGTTGTCCAAAATGTCCATAACAATAGATTGTTTCGATAATTATATATTGTAATTGTAATCCACATAGATCTTTATGTATGGCTCGAAATGGTCGTTCACTATAATATTTAGTTAGAATGAGAAGAAAAAAAATGAGAAAAAATTATGAAAAAAAATAATTTCTAATCAATCAATCAATCAATCAATCGATTGAAGATAATTATGATTAAAATGAACAAAAATTAAGGATTTATTAGAATTAGAATCAAATTTCTAATGACCGGAAAAAAAATGGAAACAGAGAAACAAAAAAACCAGCATGCCAAACCCATTCTTACAGAAAAGATCCCGGAAGATTAATTCGATGGAATTATCAAACGGGTAAATTCATTCATTCATCCATTCATTATCATTATAATTATTATCAACAACAATTTCAATGATGATAAATGGTCATCATTATCATTTTATCGGATATTTAAAAATATCCGATAACAACCTCTGACAACAAGATTTATATATATCACTCATGTGTAAGTGTGTGTGTGTGGGCGTTAAGATTAACAATCTGATTATCATCAAGAGCTCTCTACACCTACATTCAAATTACCATTAAAAAAAAAAAAAAAAACACAAATAATAAGACATCTTTGTTGTTGACATTGACACCAAAAACAAACTATTATAATGATGGACACACACACACACACCCATCACTTCATCAAATCCTTTAGTCATTATCATTTTTTTTGGACAAAATGAAAAATTTTTTAAAAAAAATCATATATTAATTTTTCATTTAGTAGAAAAAAAAGGGACAAAATAATAATAATTGATGATGGCCATGCTCTATATGTGGCTATAATGAATTTTTGTTTTTTTTGTAGTGAATGAAAGAAAAAAAAACACAAACCATATATATATAAATAAATAAATAAATAAAGGTATCTTGATCATAGTGATACCTGATCATGATTATTGTATAATAACTTTTGGAGTTTTCAAGCAAATGAAAACCAAACCAAACTAAACTAAACAAAAAAAATAAATAATTTCTCAGCCATCTAAATGGTCATTATATTCATATCCATCACAAACACAATATATATAAGAGATTATTATTATTATATATGAGAATCTTGTTAATTATGATCAAGTTCAGCAACAGTAGTGGCTTCAGCAGCAGCAGCAGAAGAAGAAAAAAAATCCTCAAAAAAAAGAAGAAAATTTTAAGGTCACTCATCAGTCATTAGACGAAAGGAACAGCAGTAGCAGCAACCGCGTAAGCGTTTAATAATCAAAAAAAAAAAACAAAAACAAACGGGACTATCTTTTGGGTAAATTTTTTTTTTTTGCTGCTTCTTGAAAAAAAAAATTATGACCAAAAGAAAAATGACCAGTATTTTTTTTGTTTTGTTTTCTTAATGATAACCCAAATATATAAATATTTTGTCTTTGTCTTTTGAAATTAAGGTAAAGTAAACCCCCCACCACCACCGCCTACTCCGAAAATAAAACCATTTTCCACAACAAAAACATACCTGTATATTTGATAGATACGATAAGTACGATGACGTATCGATGAAGATTCATAGAATGGATTATTTGCTAATAGCAACAAAGAAAGAAAAATAGAGAAAAAAAACAAATTAGAAAAATGGAAAAATTTTTTTTTTTTCATTAAAATTTAAATTTAGAAATTACCAATTTTTCTGCCAGTCGAAAGCATTACTGTAGCCATTGTTGACATTGATCCTTTTGATGATGATAATTTGGTAAAATTTGTAGGGAAATGCGAAAAGAAAAAACAAAACAAAACAAAAAAAATTAGATTCAAATACAGCCACAACAAACAACCGCCACCATCACCGCTGACCACACAATCACATTAATTGATTTATTATGCTGAGAAAAAAAAATTGAATTTTTCTTTTCACAATTCGTTTCATTTGGTAAATCTCACATACAGCCGGTAATTATATACACACACACACACACACAGACAAAGATAGATAAGATTATAAGTAATGTTTTCTGTTTACATTTCGTACACAAAAAAAAACATTATTTGAAAACAATAAAATAAAATAAAAATTGAGGACAAACAAAATTGTAGAAAAAACAAAATTTATTGGGACAAATTTGATGATGACGAATGATGTTGTCTCATCATCAAATCATTGGTCATTATTGTCAAAAATGTTTGTGATGTCCGAAAAAAAACGGACATCACATATACAATAAATTAATTTAATTTTTTTTTGTTTGTTTGTTCTGTCTGGTAAAATTTAAAATTTTGTTTGAATCTTCATCATCATCATCATCAAGAAAAATGATCATTTTCTTCATTTTTATTACCGAACACACACACACACACACATCCGACAGAAAGATCGTCGTGATCATTTCACAAACCAAGGATGATGATGACTTCATTTGAAAATGAAAGAAAAAATAAAATCTAGAACAATGATTAAATCAATCAAAAACAAACAATAAAAAAATTTTTTGTTTTCTCTTTTAACACATCCGGTCAATGTGTTTAATATTAAAACACGAACACACACACACACACACACACATATATATGCAGTGGACATTAGCTTTTAATCATTAATCATCATCATCATCATCATTATTCTAAAAATCCGTTTTTCACACGTGTGTGTACATATTCAACACACACATATATATTGAATGATGATAATATTAACTTTATTCATCCAACTATCAATCGAAGATAAAAAAAAAATTCCCAGATGACAACAACAAAATTGAATTGACAATCCCGGATGGAAACACACAATGCAGGTTTTATATATAATCCAAAGATCACATATGCATGTGTGTGTGTGTGTGTGTGTGTGTGATAATATGATAATCTGATTTGATACAGATTCAATTGAATCATCAAATCAAATCAAATAAATTTTCGGGTAAAATGAAATGAAATGAAATTTATAATACCTGATTATCATCATTTTTTTTGCAACTAATAAAGTCATAACGTTTTTTTTCAATTGAATTCATCTTCAATGATTTAGTGAAATTGAAAAATGAAAAGTTTTGCTGTCAGTTTTCAAACATTTTTGGAAAAATGTTTGGTTTTTTTTTTCTTCGGGAAGAAAATTTTTTGATATTAAAGATTGAATGTTGTTTATGATGTGAAGAAAGTTCTCAAGATGAGATGAGTTATACACAACAACAACAACAACAGCTGATAAATCTGTGTGTTAGTGTTTCTGGTCCCTTGGGAACATTATTATTATATTGTATCAACAATATATTGCAAACGATATCGGGTTGTTTTTTTTTTTATTTCTCCGGAAAAGATCCCTATACCGGGAAATAAAAAACAGGAAAATTTACAAGAAAAAAAAATCGAATCATTAATCAGAATTGGATGCAAATGAAAAAAAAAAAAAATTTGATGATGAGAAAAAAAACAACAACATTATCCTTGGTGACAAAATAAAACGTTCACACATGTGAAACAACATTATTTGATTATCAATTTTGAGGAAATGAATTTTGAAAAATTCATTTGGAAAATAAAAAATTTGATAAAATTCCACAACGAAAAAATCACCAAAACAAGAACACAATGACCATTATCACAGCAATAATAATCGGTTAATTGTATTGTAAAATGAAAAGAAAATCAAACCGTATCCAAAAAATCATTTGGATATGCCAACACCTTCAAACAAATAACAACAACACACTAATAAGCCAAGAGAACATCAACAAAAAAAAAAAAAAAAAAACAAAAACAATAGAAAATCACATAATCAAAAAAAAAAAAATTGGTAAATATAGCCATAGGGTAGGCCGAAATAGCCATATAGATAAATAAATGGTCACTTGGTTCGCCTGAATGATGATTTACATAAGATGTTGTTGTTGTTGTTGTTGTAAGACAAGAAAAAAATTCACCATCATTATTCAAAATCAAATCGAGATCATCATTATGCACATTTGTAACGGTTATTATATTTCAAAAAAAAAAAAATGTTTACATGCATCTTATTTGCATGTAGTTGTTGTTGTTGTTGTTGTTGTTCATCATCGATTATTATCACTCAAATAATAAAAAATTGTAATGATAAATTTAAATTGACCATCATCATCATCATTCTAATCATCACTAAATGATGGACAAAGAAAAAAAAACTGGGGTGGAGGTCATGACCAAATGAACAATTGATAATGATGATGATGGGTTTGAAAAGCATTGATAATGACAACAAAAAATTGAAAAGAAAGGGTTTTTCATCAGTAAAATGGATGAATGGACGATGGTCGATGTTTTTAGTAAACTAAATTTAGATACCATTCATCATAAATGCCATAGCAAAATAATGGAAATGGAAAAATTACTTTTTTTGTTTGTGTTTGAAAATTTAAAAATTCAATTCAAGTAGCATCAATCAATCAAACAATTTAATTTATGAGATGAGATTGATATATAGAATAATCGATTTGTATAACGGACAAAAAAAAATTTCATTCAATTCTTCAATTGATGAAGAATGAAATTTCTTTTGCCCATTATCAATTGATCAAATCAAATATATGTCAATAATGTAAACAGAGAATGTGGAAAAAACCATATCAATCAATCGAATTAACCGTAAGGAAAAAAAATCCAAGTGGTCAAATCGATTATAGACTGATTCATCATCATTAATGATCAAGATTTATAAGATTTTCACGAAAAAGCAAAAAAAAAACAAAAAATCACACTTTTTTGTTGAAAAAAAAATAAATGTAAAATTCCTTAACACTTACCACCTATGATACTATCAGATGGTGTTCGTTGCTGTACGGCATTCAATATATTTTCAAATGATTCATTGGAAAATTGTTGCTGCTGTTCCAGATATTCACGCATCATGGGATATGATTTTATCGATACTAGGCCAATGATTATACTGAGTATTAGCCAATCAAACCATCCATTGTATTTATATTTCATTGATGATGATGATGATGATGATGATTTTTTCAATCGATTTTCTTGATCCAATTTTTTATTATTATAATGATTAGTAAAAATTAATCCAACCGAAATGGCCAATTGTGGCATCATTAATAATTTTAATCTCATAATCATTATTGCCATTGCTGTGAAACATCCAGTCATTATACAATGATATATGAATGGTAATGATTTTGTTGATAATCGATTTTGTTGATTATTTTTCTTTAAAATCCAACGAAATCTTAATAATAATGCCAATATGGTTAATGGTCCAATAAATGTACCATTACAGGTTATTTTCAACATATCTTGCCAATCAATCCAATCATATTCTTTGGAACAAGTATACATAAAGTTATGAAAATTTTCAAATCCACGTAAATTGAATTTCGTTGCTAATATTGACCATATATGTGATGAATCATCATCATCATCTAGTTTAATTTGTAGATGTAAATATTTTGAAACAATAATATTCCATACGATTATAATCATAATGGATATGAATTTTATGATTGTTTGTTTTCTTTTTGTCATTGTTATTGATGAAAAATTATTTTTAATAATTATTGGCAGCAATAATGATGATGATATATATGAAGAAATGAATAAAAATATGGTGATCGTAAAACAAATACATTGCCTAATTGTAGCAATGATTGTAGAATAGTGGCAGCTATATTGATTAGAAAATATTTTTGAATAAATTTTTCATTATTATCTGAATGATGATTATGATGATAATTGATAATATTCGGTAATAATTCAATACTTGTATATAGTGAAAATGTTTGAATCAACAAAATGAATGATGAAAATTGCCAACAAAGTAATTGTGTTAATATCAATAATATTAACCAACAATATGATGATGATGATGATAATAATGTTGATTGTTGATTATTTTTATTCAAAGATTTTCGATTTGAATACAAATATTTGATGAGATATAATTGATGGAAAAGAAATAGTGGATAGCCAAAATTTTCACGTAATGGTACTGCCCATTGTACACGTGATGATTGTGTTTGATTCAATGTAAACATTATTATTGCCATTATCATTGAACAAATGGAATGATTACCAATATAATAGGCTATCCAACCAATTAGAATGGGTACAAAACCATTGATAGCGAATATGGAATAAATGTAGAAATAGAATGGTTCACCAATACCTTCACAAGTGGATATTATTGAATTTGGTTGATTATTATTTTGATCATGATCATTTTCATCAATAATATTTTCAACCAAATAACAACGGCGCCAATCTTGATCAAAATCTACACGAAAATATTGGATTAATATCGTACGCATTGTACGATATGATATGGCCAATAGAATTTCTGGTAAAATTGTTAAAACTTTGAATGCATTTACAATGTTTGGTGCTTGTGATCGATCATCATTGAATATTTTTTCCACTAATAATTCGGTAAAATTCTTGGGAACAAAATCATCATTATTATTATTATTATTTGCATCATCATTGATTAATACTTTATAATAATAATAATATAATGATTGTTCCGATGTTAATGACATTTCACGTTCAATTTCCGTAAGATATTGATATGAACGATCATTTTCAAACATACGATTAAGATACCAAAAATAGAGAATATAAACAAATGATGAGATCAATAATTTTTGGCTCAACATGATTTTTTCTTTCTTTCTTTCTTCAATTCGTAATTCGTAATTTTAATTCAAATGATATTAATGATTTAATCGTCGTCGTGGTCTACGATAAGTAGTAAATCGATGAAATAGATTGACATCAGATAATTTCAATCCAGGTTAAGTAGATTTTTCTTCTTCTTTGATGGATTTAGAAATATAAACACATTTAGAATAACAATCATAATCCCATCTGGAACTTTTATGTCTACGCATTAAAAATTTCATACACACACACACACACACACACACACACACAGAAAAGATTCGAAACCCACGGAGAATTTCGGACTGTAAACAAATCGATTTGAATGCCATCTTTTGGTCAAAATGTTGGGAATTTTTTCGATTTTTTTTTTTCTTTCATTCATCAATCTATTTTTTTTTTAATTAATTAAACCAAAAATTAAATCTCATCGTGTCTGGATATCCTTGACGACGACGACGGTGACCACAACAAACGAACATTATATTTGCTTTTTAATTAGAATTCATTGTTGAAATGTTTTAGATATTCAATAATTGCATGTTTTTGACAATTTCTCTTTGGTTCATTCTCAATTTTTGCATATTTATGGATTTATCGATTTTTTTTTTTGGTTCGTGAAGACAAAAACAACACCGAATAACAGCGACAACAACAACATTAAAAAACATCGATCCATTTTGGAACGTATTCACATTGAAAAAGACGGCCAAACAAAACAAAAAAAAAAAACGAAACAATAAATTTGGAACAATTGTTCTGAAATGTTATTATATGCATTCTGTTTTGTTTCCCATCAATTTTTTTTTTATTTTTATGTTCCAAATTCTAAAATGATAATAACGACATTCTCTTTTCTTTTTGGCTGAAATTTTTTTTTTATTGAATTACCGCGTTGGTGTGTGTTTGTGTGTGTGTGTGGGCGTATGTGACGTATATATATAAGTTTGGACAAGTAGCAGCCAATCGATTGAAATACAGACATGGTCATTTTTCATAAAGATAATCAAAATTTTACACATTCTTTAGTGATGACATTGACCTCAACCTCGCCTTAATGGTGATCGAGATAGATCGTCATAATATATCATCATCATATATGATCATCATAATGTTAATATATAATAACCGACGATGAAAATGATAATCAATTCAATTCAATCCAAGCCCAAAATGAAAATACGACAAGAATATTGAGGAAAATTTTTTTTCCCCCACACATACTTGAATCCACTGGTGGTGGTACTACCAATGTGGTAGTAGCATAAACATATGCATTATGGCAACACATTTAATATGTGATGAATTCTTACCTGTATTTTGGATTTTTAACAACCAAAAAAAAATAGAAGAAAGAATTTACTGCTCGAAAAATTGTAGCAGCATTAGTATATTATTATACTACTACAAAAATTTGTGTAAGAAAAAAATAGTGGTAAATATGGTGTAGCTGAATTTCTGGTAAAATATTTGCCACACAAACATATACACACCCCATTTTTTTTTCTCATAATTTTTGTTTGCTACTACTTTTTTTTTACTGGTTTGTTCAAATCAAAAACTATGGATGACGTGTTATACGTACATTATTTATATGGACACTGGATATATATTCACATATATACAGTTAATATAATAATAATCAGATTTTGGTACAATTTTTTTTTCATTCAAAATCAAAAAAAAAAATTATTTTATTTGGATCGATCAATTGTGTTGTTTGAAACATTTTTTTCCATCGATAATAGAACCAAAGAAAAACATCCTATTATTATCGCATTGGAAAACAAACAAAATCTAGCCAGGATTACCGGAAATGGAAAATGAAAAATAATAGAAAGTTTTTCAAGGTATTAGAATTTTTAATCAAAAACAAAATAAAACACAACAAAAAACTTTTCACTTTTACATCCCAATCAATCAATTATTAATGAAAAATGGAACCCATCAAGAAAAAGAATCCTTTTTTTGAGAAAAAAATGTTGATAAATTTTTATAAAAATTTAATGTCCAAATATTTCTGGTATTTCTGATTTTGCTGTTCCAATTTCCAACTGCAAATTCCAAATATAATTCCAATCATTTATCATTTATATTTGTTTATTGATCATCGCTATCGCTATTATTATAATTTAAAATAATCATCATCAAAGTTGAATTTTCAAAATGAATTCTTTGAATTGAATCATCAATGTCGGTGTCCATTTATTTTTTGCATAATAATGATGATGGTATGATATATATGGAATGTACACATATACACACAATATATACCTATATTTTTTTGTTTTCGTTCACGATAATGAAGCTCAACCGTCAACCGTGTATGTGTATGTGATGATAATAATAATGCAAACGGCCTATGCCACCGTTGCTGAATATTTCGGCTAAATAATAATTTCATTCATTGATTCATCACAAAAATTCTTTTTTTTTTGTATCAAGATTCTAATTTTCAATAAAAAGAATATTATCATCAAAACAAAAAAACTACCAGTGTTATTGTGTACGTGTGTGTGTGTGTTGAATCATCAGTTTTTTTTTAAACTATAGATTTAAATGTAAATAAAAAAAAGAACAAGAATATTCCAACGAATTTATCCGATTCATCAATCAATCAATCAATCATTTTCGATTCATTTCTTCATATCGATCGATCGATTCTTTTTTTTTGTTTTCCTTTCTGGTGTTTGAATTATTTATCTATTTGTTTGTGAATTATTCAATAATAAACCAGTTTTTTTTCATCTCAACCAAATCGTAAAAAAGTAAGAAAAAAATTTTTTTTTTTTTATTCTCAACAATTCATTCTTTGTTTTTTTTCCTACACAACAGATTTTGATTTTCATCATTCATTTAAAATCATCGACCAAAATTAATTGTTAATTAATTGATCAATCAATCAACTATAAGGTGTTGATCGATATTGTCATACAAATGATTCGAATGTTTTTTTAATATATATCAAACACACACAGTGTTTTATGGATGCTGTACAGCATTGAATGACATTGCTTGATTTTTGTTGTTGTTGTTGTTGTTGTGGTTGTTTTTTTTCATCTTTTTTCCTGTTATAAATACTTGTTGTTTTTTGTGAATTTTTTTTTCAAAAAAAAAGTAGTGACAAGATAAACTCCCACCACAAATAAAAAACTGAACAATTGTAAATTTGTCATCATCATCATCATCGTCATCAAATACGGGATTTGTTGTTGACAAAGGGGAAAAAAAAGTCGAATTTTTTTTTGTTTTGCCGTGAAAACCACCACCACTATTATATCGTTGTTTTTGTCATCATCATATTTCAAAATTTGAGCTTTTTTTCATTTAGCTCATTTTCAGTGGTAAGAAGAAAACGAAAACAGAAAAATTTTTGATCATTTTTCTTCTTCTTTTTGTTTTTTAATCCACCCTGGATCAAATTTTAGATTTTATTCAATAAACAACAATAACAACACCGACGACGACGAAGACAATAACAAATAAAATTTGATCACCATCATTATAATCATAATCAATAACAATAAATTTGAAACATTAAGAATTTCCCCCTACTATTGATATATAATTTTTATTTTCGGTGATTAATCGTTTGATGAACAGTGATGCGTATTCGTCGCGAGGAGGCACATCGAGCGTTGGAGCTCCTCGAAGATTATCATCGCCGTTTACAGCAACAACAACAAAATTCATCACCATTATCATCGACAACTACAACAACAATACAACAACAAGAAGAACTTCGTCAAGCAATTGAACGTATTATAAAAATATTTCGTTCGAAATTATTTCAAGCATTATTAGATATACAAGAATTTTATGAAGTAACATTACAAGACGATCATAAAGCAATTGAAACAAAAACACGTGAAACATTAAGAGATTGGCAATATAAAGAACAACAACAACAACAACAACAGCAGCAGCAGCAGAAACGATCAAACACATTGTCATCATCAGCATCAACATCAGCATATGATACAAGTTCATTGACAACAACGGATTTAACATCAAATTCATATACATTATCAACAAATCATATACATCATCCAACACGAATAAATAACATAATATCGACAAACGGTGGTTATAATAATAATAATAATAATCGCCATCATCAACAGTATTCAAATTCAAAAACAAATAATAATCATAATAATGATAATGTTGATGATGATTATGTAAATAATCATAATAATAATAATGATGATGATGATGATGATGATGTAAATAATCAGCCAATATTAGCATCTGATGTACAAGATTTATTATCTGGCCGTTTAAATGAAATACTTGGTGCCGTATTGAAACATCAACAACAAAAAGAACAGGATCAACAACAATTGAATCGACGAAAAGAACAACATCATCATCAAACATTATCATCATTGAATCCATTGGAACGAATAGATAATTTAACATCATCAACAGCCAGACCAGTAATAGTATCAACGACCAATACAAATCAATCGATAAAAAATCATTCCCAATTATTAGATAATAATAATCGAATCAATTCAAATATAGAACCATATCATCAACAACAACAACAACAACAATCTCGTGTTATAAATAATAATAATACACAACATTCAATCATTACAAACGGAATAAATACTAATAATCGTGAAATTGTTCAAGTTGAACAGGTACATCTTGAAGACAACGACGACGACGACGACGACAACGAAGAAGAACAAGAACAACAAAATACAATCGTATATAACGGATTGAATAATAATAACGAACAACGTTATCATCATAATATTGAAAATTCAATAATGACTACAGGAGCAGAAGGTGCATGGGAATTTGAAGAGATTATATTGGAACGTGGTAATCAAGGTCTTGGATTTTCAATCGCTGGTGGTATCGATAATCCACATATTGCTGATGATTGTTCTATATATATAACTAAATTGATACCAGGTGGTTCGGCAGCCGCCGATGGCCGATTACAGATTGAAGATATTATTTTAAAGGTATTTATATTTGTTTAATTTTCTAAACAAATCAATTATTTATTTTTTTTTTTTTTGATTATTTAAACAATAAGGTAAACGAAACATCATTGATTGATGTAGCACATAAAATTGCCGTTAATGCATTACAACATGCTGGAAATCGTGTACATTTATTGGTTAAACGTCGTCGTAACCATATGCCAAAAGCAACAACAACAACACCAATAACATTACATCAATCACAATCACAATTTCAACAGCTACAACAACAACAACAACAACAATCAATGATACCACCTTCAGCATCAGCACCGGCAAATATTCAAAATCAATCCATTATGGCATCATCATCATTATCATCATTAACAATGTCCGATTTAGTTCGTATTGAATTATTTAAAGCAACATCCAAAGGATTAGGTTTTTCAATTGCCGGTGGTGTTGGTAATGAACATCTGCCTGGAGATAATAATATTTATGTGACGAAAATTATGGATAAAGGTGCAGCTGCATTAGATGGCCGTTTAGAATGTGGTGATCGTTTAGTAGCTGTAAATGATATTTTATTGGAAAATGTTACACATGAAGATGCTGTAGCCGTATTGAAATCCACTTCTGATCATGTGATATTAACAGTACGTAAACCACAACAACAATCATCAACATATTCAATGAATCAAATGGGTAATAACAACAATTCAATAACAGTAGCGGTAACAGCGACAACAACAACAACAACAACAGCAAAAACAACAAATGGTTCTACACGACCACCACCTACATCATTATCATCGACCAATTTTTCATCAAATGTTAATAATAATAATAATCATACATTTAATAATCAACGTATGATAATGCCTACAAGAAATTCAATTCATTCATTATCATCATCATCAGCAGTAGCAGCAGCAGCAACAACAACAACTACAAATACCGGACAGATAAATCCAGTGCAATCATTTAGAAGTGAAGATAATCTTTATAATAATAATAATAATAATCAAAGACGTACACGAACAGCAAGTGGTTCAACAAATCTAACTAATACAAACGCTGCTGCTACTATATTGGCGGAAGATTCGGATGAATTAGATCGAACAGATATTGATCGTGAACCACGTCGTTTAATACTTTCAAAAGGACAATCAACTGGACTTGGTTTCAATATTGTTGGTGGTGAAGATGGTCAAGGAATATTTGTTTCATTTATACTGGCTGGTGGACCAGCTGATTCAAGTGGACAATTATATCGTGGTGATCAAATATTGGCTGTTAATGGTATGGATTTAAGACGTGCTACACATGAAGAAGCTGCAGCTGCATTAAAAGGTGCTGGTCAAACGGTTAATCTTTTAGTTGCTTATCGACCAGAAGAATATCGACGATTCGAAGCTCGTATTCAAGATCTTAGAGAACAACATTTACAAGCAACAAGTTCATTACCATTATCAGGTGTTTCAACCGGTACGTTACGTACATCACAAAAACGTACCCTTTATGTACGAGCTTTATTCGATTATGAACCTATACGTGATTCTGGTCTACCATCACGTGGCCTTCCATTCCGATTTGGTGATATATTGCATGTAACGAATGCTTCCGATGATGAATGGTGGCAAGCACGTCGTGTATTACTTGATGGTACTGATGATATTCTACTTGGTATTATACCATCAAAACGACGTGTTGAAAGACGTGAACGTGCACGATTAAAATCTGTAAAATTTCATGGTTCCGATCATTATTCAGATGGCCGTTCATCATCATCAACATTGGATAGAAAGAAAAAGAATTTTTCATTTTCAAGAAAATTTCCATTTATGAAATCAAGAGAATCTTCAACAGAAGATATTTCTGGTAGTTATGATCATCTTAGTGAACAAGGTGGTGATGAACATTTATCAATGACAAGACATAGTTATAATCATCATGATCGTAGTTCAATATCTGGTTCAAATTCAGCATTAGAAGATATACGTGAAGATCGTCAACAACAACAACAACAATCGGATAATAATAACCATATATTAAGCTATGAAGCTGTTATACAGACTGAAATTGATTATATGCGTCCAGTTATTATACTTGGACCATTAAAAGAACGTATAAATGATGATCTTATATCAGAATATCCGGATCGTTTTGGTTCCTGTGTACCACATACAACACGGCCACCAAAAGAAGGTGAAATACATGGACGTGATTATTATTTTGTTACAACACGTGAAGAAATGGAACGAGATATTGAATCACATTTATTTATTGAAGCTGGACAATATCGTGATAATCTTTATGGAACAAAAATTTCCGCTGTACGTGAATTATCATATGATCAACAGAAACATTGTATATTGGATGTTAGTGCAGCAGCTATACGACGATTACAAGCAGCAAATTTAATGCCAATTACAATATTAATACGGCCACGTTCAATTGAATTATTAAAAGAATGGGATAAACGTATAACGGATGATGAATGTCGGCGACAATATGAACGTTCTATTCGTACTGAACAAGAATATGGTCAATATTTTTTGGCAATCATTTCATGTGATACACCGGAAGAAATTTATGCTAAAGTTAAATTAGTAATACATGATAATTCTGGCCCATATATTTGGATATCGGCAAAAAATCAGAAAATCTAAAATCAAACAATCTAACCAATTATTTGATGATTACATCAACAACAACAACAACAACAACAAAAAATTGGCTATTTTTTCATCACCACCAACATTATCATATCTCATTATCATCATCATCATCATCATCATCATCATTATATCACTGTCAAATTATTTGCGTTTTATTTATCAGATAAAAAAAATATGTTTGTGTTGTTTGCTGTATCTCTCTAACTTTCTCTTTTTATCCGCGTGTTTGTCATATTTTTTTTTATTCTTACGAATTGAAAACAAAACCACAACCACAACAACAACAACAACAACAAAAACAAAAAATTCTTGGCAATACATAAATCATCAAATTCAGAATTGAAATGAAATGAAAAATTACAATTGTGAAATATTTTTTTTCTTAATTAATTAATTAATTAATCAATTATTCATCCACCACCACCACCACCACCAACACTACAACCATGTGTGCACACATTTTTTTTCCCCCAATTCGAATGTTTCAACTTTTTTTTTATTTATTTATAAATACACACCTACATGAAAAACAGTGCGACCTAGTGGTGAAAAACAGAAAAAAAATCAGAAATTTGAATTTTTCTTTCTGTAGTTTTTTTTTAAATTCTCTCTTGCTCTTATATATCCACTTATTATTTTTACTTAAAATTATAATGTACGATTTTTATTTTATATTTATGTGTTTTATCTGGAAAAAAAACTATCATTGATTGCATTTTATCACCAAACACACACACACACACATCATCAACAACAATCATCAACAACTTGGTTACATTGCTATTGAAATCAATGTTTTAAACACATACACACACACACACACACACATAGTGAATAAATGTGCTTGAAAATATAAATTTGAAAAATTATTGCATATGTTGTTTATGCATATATGTGAATAAAATAGATAAATATAAATTTAAATTAAAACCTAAAAAAAACATTGCAACAGGTGCGCAGAAAAAAAAATGAAAAATTGAATTCCGTTTTCCCATTTGGAATCAAATCAACAATTGTTTGTCCATTATTATGTTTTTGATTTTATCGATAAACCTATGTGTGACCATGGCAAAATTTTTTTTGCAAATCAAATTTTAAATATATTATTGTTGATCAATAAATTGATATGGATTCCATTATTTGTTATGAAAATTTGATCAATTTCAATGCATGAAATCAACATCAAAATCATTGTGGGAAATAAAACTGTGAAAATCATCTTGGAAATTTTTACTCTATTATAAAAATTTAAAAAAAACGCGATTTAATTTGATTTTTTTTTAAATAGAGGGAATAATTACAAAATGGTTTCCATGGTGATTATCATTTTTGATTTGATAATGACAATCTGATTTTGAGCATTTATGTGTGTGTGTGTGTGACAATCAACAATCAAACAAATGGCTATATAAAAACACACACACACACATTACATTTTCAATTTGTGACACAATCATCAAATATAATCATCTTTAACGATGGCGCAATTCAATCCTAAGAACGAACGTTCAATTTTTGACGTTAATCAAAGTCCCATTATTTTCCTAAATGAGACAAAATACGCTACAACACTGGCTGAGAAGAATTTCAATCTTCCTGATTCATGTGTGTTGTAGCCAAATCATTTTTATCGATCCTAATCTAGAATGGAACGTTTGAAATTTCACATCAACGACAAAATAAATAAATTACGATACCATTGCCTATAGCATGATCCACAACTACGATATTTAAAATATGAATCAATAACGATATGCATAGAAAAGTTAATATAATGATGATGATTGATGATGAATGATGATCGTCGATGATGATTTATCATCATTGTCAATCACAGTTAAAACAAGATTGTTTTATCATATATTACACCTAATATATCCAGATTATAATCGCAAGTTTCTTAGTAGTAAATAGTAACGTGATTCAAACATTTAAAAGAAAAACCAACAAAAGTACGAAATTTTAAGAAATGAAATGAAAAAACAGATTTACAAAATCACATTTCCTGGGAATATTGAAATGATTAAAGCGAGAAAAAAAAATCTTTTCTTGATATATTTATTTATTCGTTTATCATCATCATCATCATGATATTTAAAACAAAAATTTGGTTTGATTTTTCAAAAATAACTATTGTATTTGTAAGGTTTAATTAAATGTTCATTACGATAATGTTCAATTCGTTCGGCACGTTCATGGCGATTGATTAATGGATTGTACTTGATACAGAAAACAATCAATGCAATTGTGTGATAAAATATGGCCAATAAAACAAGTTTCACTATGCATTCATAGAAATATTCATTATTCGTTGGCACGTTCAACATATATAACAATGATTGTATTTCATATGGACGACAACGATCACCACCATATATAAGCAATAATGTTGATGGAAATTGATAACGATAAAATGAAAAATTTGATAGAAAACGTACAAAAAAATTCTTATCTTCAATTACATTGCATACATCGGATAATAATAGAAAAAAACCTTGTGATGATCCTATCAGAATAAATAAGAGGATGATTGATTTGCGCAATAACACTATGATTATATTAACTATGGCCACAAAAGAAAATGATGATAAATATAAATTCAACACTTGCCAGACGAAATAATTATTTGGCGAAACCGATGAATAGATATCGGTTATATAAACAAACATTATGGCCATTGGTAGAATAGTAATAGCATCGAACAACAATTTCGACAGATAATATGCGCCACAAGTGTACCAACCTTCAAATTAAAATAAATTAGAATAAGAAAAAAACAAAAAATACAAACCATTTAAATGTTGAGTTGAAAAAAATTTCAATTCTGACGTGAACAAGTTGATCATTTGTATGTTCATTATTAAAAAGAATGTGACGCTGGAAAAGAGGGCATAATTTACATTATTGACAAGTCGTAAATCTTCTATAAATTTTTGATTTGTAACATTAGAACAAATAGCGAGGAAATCATCATCCATTGATATACAACCATCAGTTTCAGCTATTTTTTCATCAAAAAGATCGCGAAATGAAGCAGATATAAAAATATACATGATTGTATAGGCTAGCCATATTGGCCATTGATATCCGAATGAAAAATGAACTAAACGACGGAATAAAATGGCTACCGATCGCAATGAGAATCGAATTTGATGAAATTGTACACCATCCTTGATATGAACAGTATCCTGTAACAGCGACGGTGTGATTTTATGGATTTGATTATCGGTTTCTTCAGCTAATCGTTGCACGATGGGATTCGAGTGACCAGTGCAAGAATATCGAATGAGAGATTCGATTGGAAATCGTTTATCATTGTCAATGGAAGATGCCTCTGTGAGAAAGCTTTTGATTCCGGATGGAGGTCCCGAGTAGATACCCAGACCATCGAATGCAAGCACATAGCACAGGTCAAACATGTCCAACTGCTCGGTACTAGGTTGGTGAATGCTGACCACCATAGTGATATCCGGATGTCGAGCAATGAATCGTCGAAGACATTGAAGGACCAACCGTGCTGAATTGGAATCCAGCCCACTGACTGGTTCATCGATACAGATCAGATTGGGCATTCGAACTGATGTCAGTTCCATCGCCAGAGCCAGTCGCTTCCTTTCTCCACCGGAGCAATTCTGCACCATGGTGTTGGCCGTGTTGGCCATGTCTAATTCATCGAGAAGTTTGGTTGCCACTTGTTCGTGGTCAATTGTTTGTCCTTGGTGACAATTTTTCAATTTAGAAGCATAAACCAAGCTTTGTTTGCTCGTCAAACCAGGTATCAGGTGATTTGACACTTCTTGGTTTATATAGCAAGTTCGAATTGGTACGAAACGACTGAGATAGAATTGTGTCGAACCGGTCAGTTTGGTTTTCATTTTGCCATTGAAAACCTTCAATAGTGACGTTTTGCCCGAACCGGAGCTGCCCATGATTGCATTCAATGTTCCAAACTGAAATTGTCCACTGAGATTCCGCAGTATTAACTTATCTCCAAAATCATCCAGTGATTCAGGTGTCGGACGCACCTCATAGATGGTTTCGGTAGCAAACAATGTCAAGTGACGCCATCCGATAATATAGCGGCCATTACAAAATTGTTGAAATTCGTTTTCGTTGGGCAAATTAACTTCAAAGTTATTATTACTGTCGATCATCTGGACAGAAGTAGGCTTTTCATAGAAATCAATTTCAATTGAAGGTGTTAGCATTTTCGTCAAGATTTCCATTTTCTTTTTTGATACGATTTTCCCATTGTTCACAATTCTAAATGTCCAACGCATCACAACGACAGATATGATTCGAATCACTATTATAATATATATAGGGTACATTATGTTCCCTATTAATCTGAATCGGATTATGTAGAGAAAAAGACAGATCACCTTGCGATGATGATGGATCACGATGATTAGTGGAAGTTGCACCAGAACCAGCCTCGTCGTCGAATTCAGCAGATAACTCAACATCATCTAAAGTAATAGATGCCAGTTGATTTTTCGTACGTTCCAATGCGATTAAAGCTTGAATTTTCTGTTTGTATAGATCATCTTTTGACTTTTGCTCGTCGAAATCATGCGGATTCTCCAATAAACACAATTCACTGACGATATCGTATTCATTTTGTAGACATAATAATTGTTCCAACGATAAAACAATCATTTGCTTCGATGCTTTAGTGATCTTAACGCGAAGAGTTTGACGTTTGGATTTATCTTCCGACATCATAGAACGAAAAAATATTAACACAATTCAAAAATAAAAAAGATGTAGAAATACGAATAACGAAAGAACAGAAAAACGAATATTTATTTCAAACTAGGTTTTTATTTTTGATAGTATTAATCGTATGAGAACAAGAAAACGAATAAAAAGATCACGTTTTTTCATTTTCTTTTTGATACGATTTTCCCATTGTTCACAATTCTAAATGTCCAACGCATCACAACGACAGATATGATTCGAATCACTATTATAATATATATAGGGTACATTATGTTCCAATAGACATTGTCTGGGTCGATAAAAAATTGTTTCAAAATCTTTGAATATTCTGTTTGAGGATCACAACGATCAATACCGAAGAATACATAAATAAATCCATCCATTAAATATCGAGTACCAATTATATCTGAAATGGCCAAATAAAATGGTTTGTCCATTATATCAATCGATACCACTAATCCATTAGTCATAGTAGATATGGTAATTATCACTTGACATAGTAGTAAAAGTAATTCTAGTTGATCAATACAAGTTGCCAGAACAAAATAACCAAATGATTGACCGTACGAAAATATGAGGTAATAAAATAAAATTAAAATCGCCAAACGATGCCAATTAATTTGATATTCATCAACATAGATGATACCGCAAGTTAAAAAGAAAAATATGGCGGTCATTAAAACAATGAAAAACGAGGTGATCACGTCATTCAGATGAACTGGATAAATCAATGAAGCATAACTGTACCAACCTAGAAGTAAATAATTAAAATTAGCAAATATTTTTTTCAATGATTGTTTGATGACACATTCCCTTACCATTGCGATATTCATGACGAAGAACTTTCATAAAATTGAGGGCAACCAAAGAATTCATTCCTATACTGATTGTTAAAAAAGCAAGCGTAGTGAACGTTAAAAACATGAAAAATGTCATATTTAATCGATCATTTTCCAATTTATTCTGACAAGTTTGATTGTAATGCTCTATATCGAATGGCAGACATCCTTCAGGCATCAACATATCTTTATTGGTGATTAATGCAAACAGTATCAAGTTGATAGTGATATTGGCCAAAACACCAATCAGGATTCGAACATCGGCAATAAATGCTAAACACAGAAGACGTTTGAATTGTGTCCAAAGATCGAAGAAACGGAATTTTTTTGAATAATGAGGAATGCCCTTTGGAATCGATTCGAATGGGCATTCGTTTTCGTTTAATTTGTTGATATGAGATGTCAGTCCTCGATGGTGTTGTTGGACACTCTCTTGAGTCAATTTCCTCACTTGTTCATCATCAATGCCGTTGCTAGCGATACGAAGATATTCTTGAATTGGCGATTCATCCTCATTCAATGCGATTCCTGTGATTCGATTCAAATGTGGCCGTAATCGATCCGGATGGTCAGAATAAATGCAAACACCTCCCTTGGCTATGATGTACAGTTGATCGAACATATTCAATATGTCCGAACTAGGAGCGTGGATTGAGACAATGACTGTGATGCCATTCTGCTTGGACAATCGCTGTAGACACTTCATTACCACTAATGCTGACTCACTGTCCAAACCGGTGGTCGGTTCGTCGACAAACAAAAATGGTGGCTTCGATTCGATCGACATTAGCTCATGAGCGATGGCCACTCGACGTTGTTCGCCACCAGAACAATTTTCGAAACGTGTTTGCAACACTTTCGGATTCAACATCAATTCCTGGATTGTTGACTGGATGTGTTGATACGCTCGACCGTGATTGTGAGCAGGATTCTTGAAGCAGAATGCATAATACAAAGTCTCGAGAACTGTGAACCGTCCCAAAATGATCTCATGGACGAATTGTGGCACAAAACTGACCAATGAATTCGATGACTTTGCGATTATCTCACTGTTGATATAAATTTCTGTGTCGGATGAAATATTCTTGGCTGGAACATTGCCGATGAGACAATTGATCAGCGAAGTTTTGCCGGCACCAGAAGGTCCGAGCAATGCATTCAGACTGTTCAACCTTACTGAACCATTAAGACGGTTGAGGATTACTTTTCGTTTGCGACTTGCTTTCCAACCGTCGACCATACACCATTCATCGACTTCATAGCGTAAATTTTTCCAACAAAGAGAAATTGGCTGATCACAACGTTGTTCGTTCGACATCGTTTGGTTAAATAATTTTATGGTCACACTTCATTTTCACAAATATAACAAACCCAGTAAAAATGTTCAATAATGAATTTATACTTTGAATTGAGCATGCGATCAGGAGTTTATCATGTTTATATATCAGATTCATTGGAATTTATAAAAAAAAAATTCAATGTCAAATACATTCATATAACCATCAAATCAGAAATAAAATCAGCGTAATCAAAAAAAATATTCCTGGAAATTTTTTTTTATCAATGCATTATGTTGATTTTGAATTGATGGTGATGCGCATTCTTATTTTAACATTATCTTTTTTTTCTTTTGTGAATGCAGACATTATCCTATATCGTTTGGATGATGTAGTAAAACAAATTATCATCATATTAATTAATATTCACATTTATCAAATGGCATTATTTTTCCGTTTTATTGAACAACAATTTATTCGCTTAAACGTTTGAATGAACTGATGATGATAAATTTTGATGATAAGCTGTTCATCATAATTTCATTTTCAAACAAAAAAATCATATATAAATCAAACATAGATACTGAATATTTATTGACTTAATTGTGGTGTTCTTGGTCCAATACTGGATGAACCTGTCGTTGATGGCGTTGATGTTGATGATGATGGTTGTATATCACTTTGTTGTCTAGGATTATTATCAATATTAAAACCAATAATATCGATAAAGTAGTTATCATCATGTTTTTCATCTTCAAACCAAATTATTTAATAATTTTTAATCTATATTATCTTTATTTTGTAATATAGTAATGATGTGGTTAATATACGTGGTACATTTGTCGATGATGATCGTCGTTTTTTCGTCATATTTTGACAATGATTTTGTTGTAATATTGTGGATAAGAAGCTTTGTTAAAATATCGGCCAACATTGTTCTTATGGCTGGATATATTTTATGTCCATTTTTTCAACTAGCGAAAACCGAAAAAGCATTTCTCCAGCACGTCATTTTTGAAAGAGATCTTTTTTCCCGGCAACCCAATGCTATTATTTCCATGGTGAATATTATCATCATTGTTGATGATGATGCATAATATTGTTATAAGGAATCTTATTTTTCTCGTTTTACAAAGAAAAAGCAATCGATTTGATCATGCCAACCTGATTTTGAGCACTTATTATTTATATATGTGTGAGTACTTAATTCTTCAATTTTGATCTTTATTTTAAATGTTGTTTTTTTTAGGTGTGCGTTTGTGCGTTTCCAATAGAATACAGATATTCGATATTCGATTTTCGATAATCGCAACACTACAATACGATGGGTAATCAATCAGTTGTACGAAATAATAATAATGAACATCATGAATCATCATCGAACGAATTAATTGATTTAATGATTGAATTTCATTCAAATCGTTCGAAAGCTGACGATGAATTTCATTCAAAACGTTCGAAACTTGATGATGAATTTCATTCAAAACGTTCGAAACTTGATGACGAATTTCATTCAAAACGTTCGAAAATTGATGATGAATTTCTGAACGAATTACTTAAAATTCAGATGAAAAACAATTACAGTATCAATGAGATGAAAAATGATCAACAATCATCAAACGCAGCAATGTCATCACCGAATAAAACGATTCCAACAACAACGTATGAAAAAAACGAATCAAGACAATCAAAATTAACAACATCGATAGATCGAAATTCAACGGCAAATAATAATCCAATTGAAAATGTTCAATCACAAACAAACCGGAGGCAGCAACAGCAAAAACAACAACAAACGAATTCTATTGTTCGCCAAACAACAACACAAAAACAATCCAATCAAACAGCAATTCCGAATAATAATGGTTTAAAACGAAAATCTGGTCATCATTATGTAGTATCCAATGATAATAATGATTTCAGATTGAAAAAGACACCGAAAATTTCAGCACAACAGACAATAGTCATAGCAAATAATTTAAACATGAATGATAAAAACGATTCTATTGTTGTTGATGATGATGATGATGATGATGATGACTACGAAAATTCTCGTTCATCCGCTCATATACCGTTATATCGTTTTCCATGTTCACACAATGGATGTCAATATGTAACGAATAATAATAAATATATGAATAATCATGTGAAACATCATGACGGTGTAAAAATTTTTCAATGTACAAAATGTTCTGCAAATTTTCCTACCGAACCTGGTCTACATGGTCATTTTTTTCGTAAACATCAATGATTTGATTTTTTGTTTTGTTTTATTTATTTTTTTTTTGTTGTGAAATATCAAGGTTGTTTGTGAAACTTTGGTGATAAGATAATATATTTTTTCTATATCAAAAAAAAAAAAAAAAAAAATTACTATTATCGATTTTTAATCAATAATTGTCATTGGCAACATCCACACGCACACATACACACCAACACATTTATCATTCACATTGGCAATTTTATTGTATTAAGATTCCTTTTTTTACCCAATTTCCAAAGTAGAATTTGAATAAATAAAATTTAAAGCATTGAATGTTTTTTTTGCAACCATTTTTTTTCGTTTTTGTGTGTGTGTGTGTGTGTTTTATTCCTTTTCTACCATCCTCATCTCGTGCAATGGAAACACTAGGAGATGCTTCAGGATCTCTGCTTGTGTGTGTGTGTGTGTGTAACTTGTGTAATAAAATGGGTAATATTGATAATGATAATGATATGTATTGTGTAACAAGTAAAAGTAAAAGTAAAACAATTAGATTCGTGTTGTGTGATTTTCTTATTTGTTGATGTATGTCTTATGTTGGGTGTGTGTTAGTGCGTGGGTGTTTTTTTTTTAAAAAATTTTAACGGAGCATGACTCCTAGCTTTATTTAAAATTATTAAATAATGAAAAATATAAATACAAGAAAAAAAACGAGAATAAAAGTCATAATACAATGTTGATAATCATGTAAATAAAAGATAAAAGATTGAGAAAAGAGCTTTAAATGATAAATTTTAGGCATTTATTCATATCCCTTAAACGTTGGTGGATGAGATGAGAGAAATCGGATAATTTGTTGTTATTTAACAATTTTCCAATTGTGGAAATCAAGTGTTCATTGCCGTTAATTTCGAAAATGTTCATAATATCTTCGAACATGGGACATGTGATGATATGGTTATAATTAGTGCGTGTGTGTGTGTGTGTGTGTGTGTGTGATTCGTATCTGGTGAGTGTGTGTGATGGCTTCGGTTGATTAATCGACAACGTATTTAACAATTGTAGCTGATCCATATTTTAATTCACAAAAGAAAAGAAAAAAAAATCAAAACCACGCTCTGCTACCATGAAGAAAATAACAATGAACTTTATTTGAATATAATAGTGTTTTTATATACAGTGGCTATGTGCCATACAAAAAGCACGTATGCTTAGCCAATATCATTTAACAATTAACTATTGAATTTTGCTATCCCATCTATGGTTGTTGTGATAAAGTCCTGCCAATCTCTCGTTAATTCGTTGGACGCCAGAATTCTTTTTATGTCCAGTAAATCTCTCGGTTGAATTCCGTGTTTAGTCGTTAAGAGGTGCCTCTCTCGGGTCCATCCGTCGCAGAATTGAATTGCATGTTCCAGGTGAGTGACCATCGCATGGACATTTATCATCGTTTATGAGTTTGAATCGGTGTAGATAATGTTTTGTTGGTCCGTGGCCAGTCAGGAATTGGGTAATTTGTTTAGTTGTTGTAGTTTCTATCTTTTTCTCAAATTCTCCGATGATTTCGGTGTTTGGCAACAATCGGTTTGTCCATCTTCCGGTGCTCGACGTAGCTGTTCTGATCATCCGTTTTGGTTCGATTCTTGCCGGCACAAATATTTGAATGACGATACTGGTATTTTTTCGTAGATGGCATTGGTTTGGTTTAATTATGCTGTCGCTCCTTTGGCTAGATTGTCTGCCATCTCATTCCATCTGTAATTGCTGAGTGCTTTGATCGTTGTACAGCTTTGTTGTGACGTTTTTGCCTCTTAATATGTCAATTTGATTGTTTATTTCAAAGACAATTGGATGGCAGTTCGCTCGATTGGCTATTGACTCAAGGGCTGATCTTGAATCAGAGAAGATGCTGATCGAACTGTAATTCATCTGTTTGCATCTACTGATTGATTCTTTTATTGCAATAAGTTCAGCTTGAAATACTGCAACAACCATCTGCCAGTTTCCATTGGTGTTGCTCTATTAATTGCCCGTTTGCTGTGAACACGCTTGCGGCTCCTGTGCGATTATTTAGTTTGCTGCCGTCGGTGAATATATATAGACACCATCCCCCAATATTTTTTCATCTATCTGGTTATGGTTCAACATTTGCGTGTATCCAGTTTTGAACCATTTGCCTGGGTGCGGTAATTCTGTTGTCGGCACCGGCGTTTCTAACTTCCCGTTGCATAGGTGTAGTTCAATACCGGTGAGTAATTTTGTTTTTTTCATGGCTGCCCTTTCCATGATTTTAATATCGATAGGTATCACATTGTTGCCTAGGAAGACCGAGGTAGTATATGAGATCGTATATACGATTACCACCTACAAGCATTGACCAAGATTCTCCTTTGGATTTTTACGATTTTAAACGATTTTTGTGCATTTGTAAAAAATCGTCTAAATTCCTGTTGTCAAAATTGGAATTTGCCATGTTGACAAATGTCCAAACTAACACGACCAGTTCAGAATCAAGAAAAATGACAAATGTCCCAACTAACACGACCTGTTGAGAATCGAGAAAATGACAAATGTCCAAACTAACACGACCAGTTCAGAATCGTGAATCGAGAAAATAACATGTCCAACCTAACACGACCTGTTCAGAATCGAGAAAATAACATGTCCAACCTAACACGACCTGTTCAGAATTGGGGAAAGTAATCAATAAAGCATTGTCAACCAATTCTGAACTGGTCGTGCCAGAATGATTTTACCATTTCTCGATTCTGAACTGGTCGTCGTTAGTTTGGACATTTGTCATTTTCTCGATTCTAATAAATCTTTGAAAGAACAACTCTTTTGCTATGCACTGGTGAAATATGTGTGTATGTATTTTTGATTTAAATGAAATAAAAAGATTAAATGTACGTATACGTATTTAACCCATTCACGACCAAGCGTCACACATGTGTGAGGCTCAAATTTTCCACCATGTATGGATATTTATCTTGCAATGGATGAAAAATTTGTAAAAATTGATATATATGGAAAAAAATGATTCTTATACGATGAAATTGAATTTTAAATATGATAAAATAACTGTAAATTTATTTCTGTGAACAATCTGAGAAAATTATTGCTGAAATTTGTAATAATATAAAAATATTGTTTCTTTAATTGATTTTTTTTTTTATATATAAATGAAAAAAAATGATTCAATAGTGAATGAAACTTTGTAATCTTATTTTTATTCATTTTTAAAACCCAAAAAAAAAAAATAACACGTGTGATTTTTTTTCTCCAGCACGTCATTTTTGAAAGAGATTTTTTTTTCACAGCAACTCAATATATGATATTATTTCCATGGTGATTATAATCATCATTGATGATGCATGATTGTAATATAAGGAATAATAATAAGGAATTTTATTTTTCTCGTTTTACAAAGCAAAATGCAATTGATTTGATTGAACCTGATTTTGAGCACTTATATTATTAATTATATAATATATGTGTATATGTGTGAGTACTTAATTCTTCAATTTTGATTATTTATTTTGAAATGTTGTTTTTTTTATGTGCGTTTGTGCGTTTCCAATAGAATACAGATATTCGATTTTCGATAATCGCTACACTACAATACGATGGGTAATCAATCAGTTGTACGAAATAATAATAATAATGAACATAAGGAAGAATCATCATCATCAAACGAATTGATTGATTTAATGATTGAATTTCATTCAAATCGTTCGAAAGCTGATGAGTGTTTGAATGAATACTTTAAATTTCTTAAAAAAACGAATGATGAATTTTTGGAAAAATTACGTAATATTCAAATGAAAAACAACAACAATAACAATGAGATGATTGATGGTCGAATTTTGAACAATCAACAATCATCATACGCAGCAATGTCATCATCGAATAAAACGATTCCAACAACAATGTATGAAAAAAACGAATCAAGACAATCAAAATCAACAACATCGATATATCGACACATGGATCGAAATTCAACGGCAAATAATAATAATCCAATTGAAAATGTTCGATCACAATCAAACCAGCAGAAAAGCAAGCAGCAACAACAACAACAACAAACGCATTCATTTGTTCGCCAAACAACAACAACAAAAACATCGTCCAATCAAACAGCAATCCCGAATAATGATGATAATAATAATAATGGTTTAAAACGAAAATCTGGTCATCAAAATGTAGTATCCAATGATAATAATGATATCAGATTAAAAAAGACATGTCCACCGAAAATTCCAACACAACAGACAATAGTGATTGCAAATAATTTAAAAATGAACGATAAAAACGATTCTATTGTTGTTGTTGATGATGATGATGATGATGATGATGTCTACGAAAATTCTCGTTCAACCGCTCATATACCGTTATATCGTTTTCGATGTTCACACAATGGATGTCAATATGTAACGAATAGTAATAAATATTGGCAAAATCATCAAAGACATCATGATGGTGAAAAAATGTATCAATGTCCAAAATGTTCTGCAAATTTTCTTAGCGAACCTGGTCTACATGGTCATTTTTTTCGTAATCATCCATGATGATTTGCTTTATTTTGTTTTTTCTAACTTTTGACTTATTTTTTTATTGTAAAATATCAACGTTGTTTGTGAAACTTTGGTGACAATATAATATATTTTTTCTATATCAAAAAAAAAAAAAAAATTTACTATTATCGATTTTTAATTAATAAATAGTCATTGGCAACATCCACACACACCCACTCACTTATCACATAAATATATCCAATAAATATATTTTTAAGATTAACAAAGATTTGCCAAACTTGAACAGCATTTTATTTGCAACAAATATTGATTCACATTGATTGATTATATTAAGCCTTTAAAAACCTGAACACACTGTTGTTGAAATCATTCGATCGATTTAATCATAAGTTTAATCAAACGTTTAAACGAAGAAAAATTTTTTTTCAATAAAACAAAAAAAATATTGCCATACGATAAATGTGAATAATTGTGATAATGATAATTTGTTTTACTACAGCGTCCAAACGAGAAAGGGTTATTGCCTTCATCCACAAATGGAAAAAAATACTATTGATAAAAAATGAATTTCCTGGTATTTTTTTTTTATTTTTATTTCTGACTTGATGGTCTGATTTGAATGTATTTGGCATTGAATTTTTTTTTTTTTTGAAATCCAATTAATCTAATATATAAACATGATATTACTGATTGCATGCGCAATTTAAATTGCGAATTCATTATTGAAACATATTATGGGCCTTGTTATATTTGTGAAAATGAAATGTGACTTTCAAATTATTCAGTTGAATGATGTCGAACGAACAACGTTGTGATCAGCCAATTTCTCTTTGTTGGAAAAATTTACGCTATGAAGTCGACGAATGGTGTATGATCGACGGTTGGAAAGCAAGTCGCAAACGAAAAGTAATCCTCAACCGTCTTAATGGTTCAGTGCGGTTGAACAGTCTGAATGCATTGCTCGGACCATCTGGTGCCGGTAAAACTTCGCTGATCAATTGTCTCACCGGCAATGTTCCAGCCAAGAATATTTCATCAGAAACTGAAATTTATATCAACAAAGAGATAATCGCAAAGTCATCGAATTCATTGGTCAGTTTTGTGCCGCAATTAGTTCATGAGATAATCCTAGGACGGTTCACAGTGCTCGAGAGTTTGTATTATGCATTCTGCTTCAAGAATCCTGCTCACAATCAGGGTCGAGCGTATCAACACATCCATTCAACGATCCAAGAATTGATGTTGAACCCAAAAGTGTTGCAAACACGTTTCGAAAATTGCTCTGGTGGCGAACAACGTCGAGTGGCCATCGCTCAAGAACTGATGTCAATCGAATCGAAACCACCGTTTTTGTTCATCGATGAACCGACCACCGGTTTGGACAGTGAGTCAGCATTGGTTGTAATGAAATGCCTACAGCGATTGTCCGAGCAGAATGGCATCACAGTCATTGTCTCAATCCACGCTCCTAGTTCGGACATATTGAATATGTTCGATCAACTGTACATCATAGCCAAGGGAGGTGTTTGCATTTATTCTGACCATCCGGATCGATTACGGCCACATCTGAATCAAATCACTGGAATCTCATTGAATGAGGAAGATTCTCCGATCCAGGAATATCTTCGTATCGCTAGCAACGGCATTGATGATGAACAAGTGAGGAAATTGACTCAAGAGAGTGTTCAACAAAGCCATCTACGACTGACATCTCATATCAACAAATTAGCCGAAAACGAATGCCCATTCGAATCGATTCCAAAGGGTATTCCTCATTATTCAAAAAAATTCCGCTTCTTCGATCTTTGGACACAATTCAAACGTCTACTGTGTTTAACATTCATTGCCGATGTTCGAGTTCTGATAGGTGTTTTTGTCGAAACCACTGTCAACTTAATACTATTTGCATTAATCACCAATAAAGATATGGTGATGCCTGGAGGATGTATGCCATTCGATATAGAACATTACAATCAAACTTGTCAGGATAAATTGAAAGATGATCGATTAAATATGACGTTAATTGTGTTTTTAACGTTCATTACGCTTCTTTTCTTAGGACTCAGTATAGGAATGAATTCCTTGATTGCCGTCAATTCTATGAAAGTTTTTCGCCATGAATATCGCAAAGGTAAGACAATGAATGGAGAAAAATATTCTCTAATTTGAACTATTTACTCATAGGTTGGTACAGTTATGCTTCATTGATTTATCCAGTTCATGTGAATGACATGATCACTTCGTTTTTCATCGTTTTAATGTGCGTCATAATTTTGTTTATGACTTGCGGTATCATCTATGTTGATCAATATCAAATAAATTGGCATCGTTTGGCGATTTTAATTTTATTTTATTACCTTATGTTTATGTACGGACAATCATTTGGTTATTTTGTTCTGGCAACTTGTATTGATCAACTAGAATTACTTCTATTGCTATGCCAAATGATACTTATCATATTTATTATGACTAATGGATTATTGGTATCGATTAATATAATGGACAAACCTTTTTATTTGGCTATTTCGCATATAATTGGTAATCGATATTTAATGGATGGAATTATTTATGCATTCTTCGGTATTGATCGTTGTGATCCTCATACAGAATATTCAAAGATATTGAAACAATTATCTATCGATCCAGACAATGTCTATTGGAACATAATGTATCCAATGTTTGTTACAGTAGTGATTCGAATCATATCTGTTGTTGTGATGCGTTGGACCTTTAGAAATGTGAACGATGGAAAAATCGTATCGAAAAAGAAAGTGAAAACCTTGGCGAGAATCCTAACACCTTCAATTGAAATTAATTTCCATGAAAAGCCTACTTCTGTTCAGATGATCGACAGTAATAATAACTTTGAAGTTGATTTGCCCAACAAAAATGAATTTCAACAATTTTGTAATGGCCGCTATATTATCGGATGGCGTCACTTGACATTGTTCGCTACCGAAACCATCTATGAGATGCGTCCGACACCTGAATCACTGGATGATTTTGGAGATAAGTTAATACTACGGAATCTCAGTGGACAATTTCAGTTTGGAACATTGAATGCAATCATGGGCAGCTCCGGTTCGGGCAAAACGTCGCTGTTGAAGGTTTTCAATGGCAAAATGAAAACCAAACTGTCCGGTTCGACACAATTCTATCTCAGTCGTTTCGTACCAATTCGAACTTGCTATATCAACCAAGAAGTGTCAAATCACCTGATACCTGGTTTAACGAGCAAACAAAGTTTGATTTATGCTTCTAAATTGAAAAATTGTCACCAAACACAAACAATTGACCATGAACAAGTGGCAACCAAACTTCTCAACGAATTAGACATGGCCAACACGGCCAACACCATGGTACAGAATTGCTCCGGTGGAGAAAGAAAGCGATTGGCTCTGGCAATGGAACTGACATCAGTTCGAATGCCCAATCTGATCTGTATCGATGAACCAGTCAGTGGGCTGGATTCCAATTCAGCACGGTTGGTCCTTCAATGTCTTCGACGATTCATTGCTCGACATCCGGATATCACTATGGTGGTCAGCATTCACCAACCTAGTACCGAACAGTTGGATATGTTTGACCTGTGCTATGTGCTTGCATTCGATGGTCTGGGTATTTACTCGGGACCTCCAGCCCGAATCAAAAGCTTTCTCAATGAGGTATCTTCTATCGATGATGATAAACGATTTCCAATCGAATCTCTCATTCGATATTCGTGCACTGGTCACTCGAATCCCATCGTACAACGATTAGCTGAAGAAACCAATTATCAAATCCACAAAATCACACCATCGCTGTTACAGGATACGGTTCATATAAAGGATGGGGTACAATTTCATCAAATTCGATTCTCATTGCGATCGGTAGCCATTTTATTCCGTCGTTTAGTTCATTTTTCATTCGGATATCAATGGCCAATATGGCTAGCCTATACAATCATGTATATTTTTATATCGGCTTTATTTCGAGATTTTTTCAATGAAAAAATAGCTGATATTGATGGTTGCATATCAATTAATGATGATTTCCTCGCTATTTGTTCGAATGTTACCAATCAAAAATTTATAGAAGATCTACGTCTTATCAATAGTGTAAATTATGCCCTCTTTTCCAGTATCGCATTCTTTTTCCTATTGGACATGCAAATGATCAACTTGTTCACGTTAGAATTGAAATTTTTTTCAACTCAACATTTAAATGGTTTGTATTTTTGTTTTTTCTTTTTCTAATTTTTTTATTTGAAGGTTGGTATACTTGTGGTGCTTATTATCTGTCGAAATTGTTGTTCGATGCTATCACTATTCTACCAATGGCCATAATGTTTGTTTATTTAACCGATATCTATTCACTGGTTTCGCCAAACAATTATTTCGTCTGGCAAGTGTTGAATTTATATTTATCATCATTTTCTGTTATGGCCATAATGAACATAAGCATAGTGTTACTACGTAAATCACTAATCGCCTTATTCATTGTTGTAGGATTTTCACAAGGTTTTTTTCTATTATTATCCAATATTTACACTGTAATTGAAGATTTGAATTTTATCGCGCGATTTTTTTCATTTTTATCAATTTATCGTTATCAATTTCCATCAACATTATGGCTAATCTATGGTGGTGAACGTTGTCGTCCATATGAAATACAATCATTGATGTATATGTTGAATATTCCAACCAATAATGATGAATATTTTTATGATTGTATGGTGAAACTAATTTTATTGGCCATATTTTATCACACAATTGCATTAATTGTTTTCTGTATCAAATACAATCCATTAATCAATCGACATGAAAGAGTCGAAAAAATCCAAGAATTTCGTCAAAAACGTTTAATTAGTTCTTACAAAAACAATAATCATTCAACCAATTTTTTGTTTTAAATATCATGATGATTAACGAGTAAATAAATATCAAGATTTTTTTTCGCTTTAATCATTTCAAGATCATCGAATCATAGTTATTTCCTCGTAAATGATTGAAAACCTGTTTTTCATTTCATTTCATAAAATTTTTTACCATTACTTTTGTTCTGAAATAATCTGAACATCATCATCAACCAAATATATATATTATTATTATTAGCAACAATCGATTCTGATGTGCTTTTTTAATGGCCAAAAAACTTCCAATTTTCACTCAATATTGACATATGTTTGCAGTCATGCGCTATATTGAAACATTGAATTTAATCTATGAAATGAAAAAAATTCAAAATTATTAATTCATTTTAATTAAATTTTTTCACTCATATACTAAACTAATAATAATTCCTTATATATATAAATGATGAATGTTCAATCATTTCAATCAGTTCCAAATTTAGCCAAAATTGTACGTTTATTGGCAAACAAAACCAAAAAAAACCGGCTAAATTATCAATGATTGTGGATTGTTGTAGTCACCATAATTTTCCATTGATGCTGATGATGATGATGATGTTTGTTTCATTCATTTTGATTACATTTGGTGCATCGATTAACAAACAAACAAACAATGATCAACAGGTTGTAAACAAACAATTATCGAATAAAAATGATAATCATTCCGGAATTATAATCGATAATGATGATCATCGAAAACAATTTGATAAAGAATATGAAATTTCTTTGGATTATAATAACAATGATGGTGATGATAATAGTGATCGTGAAACAAGGACAATGATTTTTTCACCATTTTCATCAAAAACAAATATGACAACAACAAAAACAATGTTGATAGATGATACGTCCATTATGAATGATGCGGATAAATTTATCAATGATGAATTGAATAAATTTCATGTGGAAGAATCACTTTTATGTAAGAATTCATTCATTTTGAATTCATTCATTCTGACGATGAAAATTATTTTTTTTGTTTCTTCCAGCAGCTAAATTATGGATACAAATCATAGTGGCTTCAACGGCATTATTATTCTTTGTCATGTTTATGACGATCACTGCAATTATGTGTCAGAAATTTTTACATAATAACAATGATAGTAAAACTATTCAAACGGTGGATACAACAACTGTTAAAACGAATCGTCGAAAAAATCATGATCATAGACATGGACGATTATCGTCGAAAAAACGACGATCGATCATCATCATCATCATCATCATCATCGAGGCGAAAAAAACATCATCGATCAACAACAACATTACCATCGACCAATAATATGGCAGCAACAACAACAATTTCCGATAGTCAACGAAAATCATCATCAATACGTTATCCACAGCATGATAATAATCGAAAGCTATCATCATTATCATCAACAAAATTATTACAAACAAAAAATATTCAATTACCAATTCAATCATCATCATCATCATCAACAACAACAACAACAGGATTATCGGTATGTTTACCGCCTGTCCAATCTACATCGATACCATCGACAAATGTGCCACGTATATTGACCACATCATTATTATTACAACATAAAGATAATATAGATGAAAAATTATTAAATGATTTGGTTCGACGACGAAAACATGATGATAACTTTATCGATATTATTGGTTTTAATATTGATAATAATAATCATAGACAACAAAGTGATATACAACCATCATCATCAACATCAACGCCATCTACAACAGGTTCATCCAGTATTGGACCAAGAACACCACAATTAAGTCAATAAAGTATTCATTCTTTATGTGCGTGTGTTTGATTTATACATGATTGAACATGATTTTTTTGAAAATGAAATTTTGATGAACAGCTTTTAACGGCAACAAATCTTGATTCACATTGATTATAAAAAAAAATCGAACACACTGTTGTCAAAATCATTAAATTTATCATCATCAGTTTATTCAAACGTTTAAACGAATAAATTATTATTCAATAAAACAAGAAAATGTCATCATTCGATTAATAATGATAAATTTGTTTTACTACATCAACCGAATGATAAAGGATATTGTCTGCATTCACAAATGAAAAAAAAAAAAAAATAATGAGAGTGTGCACCACCAACAATTCACAATCATCAATCCAGTGATAAAAAAAAAATTTCCTTGTAATTTTTTTTTTATTTTGATTACGCTGATTTTTTATATCTGATTTGTGGGTATTTGACATTGAAATTTTTTTTTTATGAATTTCAATGAATCTGATATATAAACATGATAATACTGATCGCATGCTCAATTCAAATCGTGAATTCATTATTGAACATTTTACTGGGTTTGTTATAATTGTGAAAATGAAGTGTGACCATCAAATTATTTAACCAAACGATGTCGAACGAACAACGTTGTGATCAGCCAATTTCTCTTTGTTGGAAAAATTTACGCTATGAAGTTGATGAATGGTGTATGGTCGACGGTTGGAAACCAAGTCGCAAACGAAAAGTGATCCTCAACCGTCTTAATGGTTCAGTGCGGTTGAACAGTCTGAATGCATTGCTCGGACCTTCTGGTGCCGGCAAAACTTCGCTGATCAATTGTCTCATCGGCAATGTTCCAGCCAAGAATATTTCGTCCGACACAGAAATTTATATTAACAGTGAGATAATCGCGCAGTCATCAAATTCATTGGTCAGTTTTGTACCGCAATTCGTCCATGAGATCATTTTGGGACGTTTCACAGTGCTCGAGACTTTGTATTATGCATTCTGCTTCAAGAATCCTGCTCACAGTCATGGCCGAGCGTATCAACACATCCAGTCAACGATCCAAGAATTGATGTTGAATCCGAAAGTGTTGCCAACACGTTTCGAAAATTGCTCTGGTGGCGAACAACGTCGAGTGGCCATCGCTCAAGAACTGATGTCAATCGAATCGAAAACACCGTTTTTGTTCATCGATGAACCGACCACCGGTCTGGATAGTGAGTCAGCATTGGTTGTAATGAAATGTCTACAGCGATTGTCCGAGCAGAATGGCATCACAGTCATTGTCTCAATTCATGCTCCTAGTTCGGACATATTGAATATGTTCGATCAACTGTACATCATAGCCAAGGGAGGTGTTTGCATTTATTCTGATCAACCGGATCGATTGCGGCCACATTTGAATCGAGTCACAGGTATTGCATTGAATGAGGATGATTCGCCGATTCAAGAATATCTTCGTATCGCTAGCAACGGCATTGATGATGAACAAGTGAGGAAATTGACTCAAGAAAGTGTCCAACAAGACCATCAACGACTGACATCGCATATCAACAAATTAGCCGAAAACGAATGCCCATTCAAATCGATTCCAAAGGGTATTCCTCATTATTCCAGAAAATTTCGCTTCTCTGATCTCTGGACACAATTCAAACGTCTACTGTGTTTATCATTCATTGCCGATATTCAAGTCCTGATTGGTGTTTTCGTCTTATGCGCTTTCAGCCTAATTTTATTCACTTCAATCACCAATAAAGATATGGTGAAGCCTGGAGGATGTCTGCCATTCGATATAGAACATTACAATCAAACTTGTCAGGATAAAGTGAAAGATGATCGATTAATTGGGACATTTATTATGTTTTTAACGTTTTTAATGCTGCTTTTATTAGCACTCAGTATAGGAATGAATTCCTTGGTTGCCGTCAATTCTATGAAAGTTCTTCGCCATGAATATCGCAATGGTAAGGCAATGTGTCATCAAACAATCAATGAAAAAATATTTGCTAATTTTAATTATTTACTTCTAGGTTGGTACAGTTATGCTTCATTGATTTATCCAGTTCATCTGAATGACGTGATCACTTCGTTTTTCATCGTTTTAATATGCGCCATAATTTTGTTTATAACTAGCGGTATCATCTATGTTGACCAATATCGAATTAATTGGCATCGTTTGGCGATTTTAATTTTATTTTATTGCTTCATATTTTCGTACGGTCAATCTTTCGGTTACTTGGTTCTAGCAACTTGTATTGATCAACTTGAATTACTTCTACTACTATGTCAAGTGATACTTATTATATCTACTATGACTAATGGATTAGTGGTATCGATTGATATAATGGACAAACCATTTTATTTGGCCATTTCGCATATAATTGGTACTCGATATTTAATGGATGGATTTATTTATGTATTCTTTGGTATTGATCGTTGTGATCCTCAAACAGAATATTCAAAGATTTTGAAACAATTTTTTATCGATCCAGACAATGTCTATTGGAATCTAATGTATCCAATGTTTGTTACAATAGTGATTCGAATCATATCTGTGATTGTGATGCGTTGGACATTTAGGAATGTAAACAATGGAAAAATCGTATCGAAAAAGAAAATGGAAACCTTGGGAAAAATGCTAACACCTTCAATTGAAATTGATTTTCATCCTACTTCTGTCCAGATAATCGACCGTAATAATAACTTTGAAGTTGATTTGCCCAACGAAAACGAATTTCAACAATTTTGTAATGGCCGTTATATTATCGGATGGCGTCACTTGACATTGTTCGCTACCGAAACCATCTATGAGGTGCGTCCGACACCTGAATCACTGGATGATTTTGGAGATAAGTTAATACTACGGAATCTCAGTGGACAATTTCAGTTTGGAACATTGAATGCAATCATGGGCAGCTCCGGTTCGGGCAAAACGTCACTATTGAAGGTTTTCAATGGCAAAATGAAAACCAAACTGACCGGTTCGACACAATTCTATCTCAGTCGTTTCGTACCAATTCGAACTTGCTATATCAACCAAGAAGTGTCAAATCACCTGATACCTGGTTTGACGAGCAAACAAAGTTTGGTTTATGCTTCTAAATTGAAAAATTGTCACCAAGGACAAACAATTGATCATGAACAAGTGGCAACCAATCTTCTCAACGAATTAGACATGGCCAACACGGCCAACACCATGGTACAGAATTGCTCTGGTGGAGAAAGGAAGCGACTGGCTCTGGCAATGGAACTGACATCAGTTCGAATGCCCAATCTGATCTGTATCGATGAACCAGTCAGTGGACTGGATTCCAATTCAGCACGGTTGGTCCTTCAATGTCTTCGACGATTCATTGCTCGGCATCCGGATATCACTATGGTGGTCAGCATTCACCAACCTAGTACCGAACAGTTGGACATGTTTGACCTGTGCTATGTGCTTGCATTCGACGGTCTGGGTATCTACTCGGGACCTCCATCCGGAATCAAAAGCTTTCTCACAGAGGCATCTTCCATTGACAATGATAAACGATTTCCAATCGAATCTCTCATTCGATATTCGTGCACTGGTCACTCGAATCCCATTGTACAACGATTAGCTGAAGAAACCGATAATCAAATCCATAAAATCACACCGTCGCTGTTACAGGATACTGTTCATATCAAGGATGGTGTACAATTTCATCAAATTCGATTCTCATTACGATCGGTAGCCATTTTATTCCGTCGTTTAGTTCATTTTTCATTCGGATATCAATGGCCAATATGGCTAGCCTACACATTCATGTATATTTTTATATCGGCTTTATTTCGCGATTTATTCAATGAAAAAATAGCTGAACTTGATGGTTGTATATCAATGGATGATGATTTTCTCGCTATTTGTTCTAATGTTACCAATCAAAAATTTATAGAAGATTTACGACTTGTCAATAATGTCAATTATGTCCTCTTTTCCAGTATCGCATTCGTTTTAATAATGTCCATTCAAATGATCAACTTGTTCACGTTAGAATTGAAATTTTTTTCAACTCAACATTTAAATGGTTTGTATTTTTTGTTTTTTTCTTATTCTAATTTTTTTTTGTAGGTTGGTATACTTGTGGTGCTTATTATCTGTCGAAATTGTTGTTCGATGCTATCACTATTCTACCAATGGCCATATTGTTTGTTTATATAACCGATATCTATTCACCGGTGTCGCTAAATAATTACTTCGTCTGGCAAGTGTTGAATGTATATTTATCTTTTTTTTCTATTATGGCCATAATGAACATAAGCATAGTGTTACTACGTAAATCACTCATCGCCTTATTCATTGTGGTCGGATTTTCACAAGGCGTTTTTCTATTATTATCCAATATTTACAATGTAATTGAAGATTTGAATTTTATCGTTCGATTCTTTTCATTTTTTTCAATTTATCGTTATCAATTTCCATCAACATTGTGGTTAATCTATGGTGGTGAACGCTGTCGTCCATATGAAATACAATCATTGATGTATATGCTGAATATTCCAACCAATAATGAATATTTTTATGATTGTATAACTAAGCTAGTTTTTTTGGCCATATTTTATCACACAATTGCACTGGTTGTCTTTTGTATCAAATACAATCCATTAATCAATCGACATGAACGTGCCGAACGAATTGAACGTTATCGTAATGAACGTTTAATTAAATCTTACAAATGCAATAGTTATTTTTGAAAAGAATCAACCTGTTTTCGTTCAAAAAATATCATCATGAACTAGTTAATAAATATCAATATAATATTTTTTCTCCATTCAATCATTTGATGATCATCTAATCATATTTATTCACTGGAAATCACTTCAAAAACCTGTTTTTCATTTTATTCCATAGAATTTCGTTATCAGTATTTTTATTTTTCGTTTTAAATGTTTGAATCATCACGTACTATTACTACTAAGAAACTGTGAAGAAAATCTGGATATTCGATGCAATTTATGATAAAACAATCGTGATTGACAATGATGATAACAGATTTTTAATTCAATAATAATCATGCCTTCTAACAACGTTTTCATTGATATTTTTTCCACATGAAAGTTACAAGTCTAGTTGTTGATGTTTATATTTTATATTATTTTAAATTGTTTAGTATGCATTAAATCCAGATTTGTCTTCAATCAATTAAAAGGTTTTTTAGTTTTTTTTAAATAAACCCATGAGGGAGGTACACACCATCGATTTTTGATTATAAATAAATTGTTGAACATTTGAAACTAATACAATTGAGTTAAATGATGATGAGTATTACTAAACAATAAAAAAAACGGTAAAATAATGCCATTTGATAAATAATGTGAATATAATTGATGATGATAATCCTTTTTACTTTTTTCGTCAAAAAAAAGGGGATATTGTATGCATTCACAAATGAAATAAAAAGATAATGTTAAAATAAGAGTGTAAAACCACTAACAATTCACAATCATCATTATAATAATCTACTATTGATAAAAATAAATTTCCTGGTATTTCATTAGTTTGATTACGCTGATTTTTTTCTGACTTGATAGTCTGATATAAATGTATTTGGCATTGAAATTTTTTTTTATGAATTCAAATGAATCTATCTAATATATAATCATGATAAACTCCTGATCGCGTGCTCAATTCAAAGTTTGAATTCATTATTGAACATTTTACTGGGTTTTTTATATTTGTGAAAATGAAGTGTGACTATAAAATTATTTAACCAAACGATGTCGAACAAACAACGTTGTGATCAGCCAATTTCTCTTTGTTGGAAAAATTTACGCTATGAAGTCGATGAATGGCGTATGGTCGACGGTTGGAAACCAAGACGCAAACGAAAAGTGATCCTCAACCGTCTTAATGGTTCAGTGCGATTGAACAGTCTGAATGCATTGCTCGGACCTTCTGGTGCCGGCAAAACTTCGCTGATCAATTGTCTCATCGGCAATGTTCCAGCCAAGAATATTTCGTCCGACACAGAAATTTATATTAACAGCGAGACAATGGCAAATTCATTGGTCAGTTTTGTGCCACAATTCGTCCATGAGATCATTTTGGGACGTTTCACAGTGCTCGAGACTTTGTATTATGCATTCTGCTTCAAGAATCCTGCTCACAATCACGGTCGAGCGTATCAACACATCCAGTCAACGATCCAAGAATTGATGTTGAACCCAAAAGTGTTGCAAACACGTTTCGAAAATTGCTCTGGTGGCGAACAACGTCGAGTGGCCATCGCTCAAGAACTGATGTCGATCGAATCGAAGCCACCGTTTTTGTTTGTCGACGAACCGACCACCGGTTTGGACAGTGAGTCAGCATTAGTGGTAATGAAGTGTCTACAGCGATTGTCCAAGCAGAATGGCATCACAGTCATTGTCTCAATCCACGCTCCTAGTTCGGACATATTGAATATGTTCGATCAACTGTACATTATAGCCAAGGGAGGTGTTTGCATTTATTCTGACCAACCGGATCTATTACGGCCACATTTGAATCGAGTCACAGGTATCGCATTGAATGAAGATGATTCTCCGATTCAAGAATATCTTCGTATCGCTAGCAATGGTATCAATGATGATCAAGTGAGGAAGTTGGCTCAAGAAAGTGTCCAAAAAGACCATCGACGACTGACATCTCATATCAACAAATTAGACGGAAATGAATGCCCATTCGAATCGATTCCAAAGGGTCTTCCTCATTATTCAAGAAAATTCCGCTTCTTTGATCTTTGGACACAAGTCAAACGTCTACTGTGTTTTACATTCATTGCTGATGTCCGAATCCTGATTGGTGTTATTCTGTTGAGCGCATTTGCCATTTTTTTAAATACTTCAATCACAAATAAAGATATGTTACTTCCCCGAGGATGTCTACCATTCGATATTGACAATCTTAATCTAACTTGTTCAGATAAATTAAAAGAAGATCGGTTAATTGGAACATTCATCATGCTATTAATGATGATGTTAATGTTGATTATATCACTCAGTATTGGAATGTATTCAGTGATGGCTATCAATTTTATGAAAGTTCTTCGATTCGAATATCGTAAAGGTAACAAATCAAATACTTCACCTATATTTAGTAATAATTTCTTCATTTTTCTTACATAGGTTGGTACAGCTATTCATCATTAATTCATCCACTCTATGTGAATGATATGATTACATCAGTTTTCTTAATCATTGTATCTATAATAATCTTCTACGTAAGTTCCGGTATCATATATGTTGATCATTATCGTATTAATTGGCATCGATTTGGAACAGCATTTTCATTTGTCTCAGTTGTATTTTTATATGCACAATCATTTGGTTATTTATTGATCGCCACTTGTATTGATCAAAATGAATTACTCATTCTTCTTTGTCAAGTTTTTGTGGTTATTTTAAATTTTTCAAATGGACTGATGGTTATGTTTGATCTTATGGGTAAACCAATGGATATTGCTGTCTCTCACATAATTGCAACTCGTTATATAGCTGCTGGATTTTTATATTCATTCTATGGTATTGATCGTTGTGATCCACGAACAGAATATTCACAACTACTAAAACAATTTTTTGTTGACCAAGAAAATGTTTATTCGAATCTCAAGTATACTGTGATTGCATTATTAGTGGTTCGAATCATATCTGCAGTGTTGATGCGTTGGACATTTAGAAATGTTAACAATGGAAAAATCGTATCGAAAAAGAAAATGGAAACCTTGGCGAGAATCCTAACACCTTCAATTGAAATTGATTTCCATGAAAAGTCTACTTCTGTCCAGATGGTCGACAGTAATAATAACTTTGAAGTTGATTTGCCCAACGAAAATGAATTTCAACAATTTTGTAATGGCCGTTATATTATCGGATGGCGTCACTTGACATTGTTCGCTACTGATACCATCTATGAGGTGCGTCCGACACCTGAATTGCTGGATGATTTTGGAGAGGAGTTAATACTACGGAATCTCAGCGGACAATTTCAGTTTGGAACATTGAATGCAATCATGGGCAGCTCCGGTTCGGGCAAAACGTCGCTGTTGAAGGTTTTCAATGGGAAAATGAAAACCAAACTGACCGGTTCGACACAATTCTATCTCAGTCGTTTCGTAGCAATTCGAACTTGCTATATCAACCAAGAAGTGTCAAATCACCTGATACCTGGTTTGACGAGCAAACAAAGTTTGGTTTATGCTTCTAAATTGAAAAATTGTCACGAAACACAAACAATTGACCATGAACAAGTGGCAAGCAAACTTCTCGATGAATTAGACATGGCCAACACGGCCAACACCATGGTGCAGAATTGCTCTGGTGGAGAAAGAAAGCGACTGGCTCTGGCGATGGAACTGACATCAGTTCGAATGCCCAATCTGATCAGTATCGATGAACCAGTCAGTGGGCTGGATTCCAATTCAGCACGGTTGGTCCTTCAATGTCTTCGTCGATTCATTGCTCGACATCCGGATATCACTATGGTGGTCAGCATTCACCAACCTAGTACCGAGCAGTTGGACATGTTTGACCTGTGCTATGTGCTTGCATTCGATGGTCTGGGTATCTACTCTGGACCTCCAGCCCGAATCAAAAGCTTTCTCACTGAGGCATCTTCCATAGTTGATGATAAGCGATTTCCAATTGAATCTCTCATTCGATATTCATGCACTGGTCACTCGAATCCCATCGTACAACGATTAGCTGAAGAAACCGATAATCAAATCCATAAAATCACACCATCGCTGTTACAGGATACTGTTCATATAAAGGATGGTGTGCAATTTCATCAAATTCGATTCTCATTGCGATCGGTAGTCGTTTTATTTTTACGTTTAGCTCATTGTTCATTCGGATATCAATGGCCATTATGGTTAGCCTACACATTTATGTACATTTTTTTGGCAAGTGTATTTCGAAGCTATTACGATTTAACAATTACCGAAATTGATGCTTGTATATCAATGGATGATGATTTCCAAAGCCACTGTACAATTGTTAACGATCAATCATGGATAGAACATTTACGTCTTGCCAATAATGTAAACTATGTTATTTCTTCTGGTTTTACATTTGTTTTTATAATGATAGCACAAATAATCAATATTTTTTTGAATGAAGTAAAATTCTTTTCCACACAGCATCTGAATTGTCTGTATTCTAAATGTTTTATATTACTTTTTTCATTCATTTTTCTTTCAATTTTAGGATGGTATTCTTGTGGTACCTATTATCTATCGAAATTGTTATTTGATTCAATAACGATCATACCAATGGTCATTATCTTTTTCTATATAACCAATATCCATTCACCGGTTACACCAAATAATTTTCTTTTCTGGCAATTATTCATTGCATTTTTATCAGCATTATCCATTATGGCCCTGACCAATATAAGCATAATGTTTTTACATAAATCATTTGTTGGCTTATTCATTGTGGTTGGATTTTCACAATGCATTTTTCTATTATTATCAAATATTTACAATGTAATTGAAGATATGAATTTTATCGTTCGATTTTTTTCATTTTTTTCAATTTATCGTTATCAATTTCAATCAACATTGTGGTTAATCTATGGTAGTGAACGTTGTCGTCCGTATGAAATACAAGCATTGATGTATATGTTGAATATTCCAACGAATGATGAATTTTTCTATGAATGTATAGTGAAACTAGTTTTATTGGCCATATTTTATCACACAATTGCATTGATTGTCTTCTGTATCAAATACAATCCATTAATCAATCGACATGAACGTGCCGAACGAATTGAACGTTATCGTAATGAACGTTTGCTTAATCAAGAAGAAAAACATAAAACAATTTTGTTTATTTAATAAATTTTTTAAAAATAATTAGAAATCTTTATCATTAATAATTTCCAAATAATCATAATCATCATCGATCATATAATCAACATCCACCAGATTTACAGAATAATTTACGTTCAGCAGCACGACGTTTAACTAAACCTTGTAAAACTTTACCACCAGCATGGCACCATTTAGGAAATTCATTTGCAGCTGCTTTATAATTATGTGCACGTGCATATTTAGCCAATGATGAACTTTCCAATGCACCACAGCCAAGATTATATGCAAATGAAACCAATGCAGCAAATTTATCATTATCCATTTTCGGTACAATACGTTCAACACAGGTTTCAAAACGTATTATATCATGTCGTAATAATTTTTCACCTTGTGCAACAGACAATGGTGGATGGATATTATTACAGCTTGATACAGGTATACATGCATGTCCATAACCGATTGTTTTGACGCCCTAATAATGCAAAATAATTTTTCAATTAACCAATCAATAAATCAATGAATATACATACAACTGAATCATAATAAAAATTTGGACGCCATCCTTCAAAACTTTTGATTAGATTTAAACCTTCACCATTAATTTGTCGTGTACTGGCAATCACCTGATGATTCAATGTCAACAACAACAACAACGATGAACCAATGGTCACAAATTTATTGTTGAAAATCATTTTTGTTGTAAATTGTAGTAAAGAATATCGATTTTTTTTCCTGGTTAGACAATGATTTGGAAATGATTACATACCACACCTTTTATATATAAATAAAATTTTTGTGTGCGTGTATTGTGTACTTTTACCTGTAAATCGGTTGGTAAATCAGAGAGAAAAAAAATTTTTTGTACAAATAAAATCATTTCAAGTGTTTGTTTTTTTCTGTCTGATGATTTGAAATCATCTCATTGGTTTTAATCAGTTTTTCGTTTTTATTTCTGACTACAATCTCAAGATAATCGTTACAAGAAAAAAATGATCAAATTTTTTTTCCATCATTTTTATCGATTTGATTGATTAATAACAAAATTCAATCAAAACGATAACTAATCGAATCCAATCGTACACTGCCATTAATTTCAAGTGTATCAATTGTTTTTGGATCATGACGATGATTATATTCAAAACATGATTGTCCATTGATTATAATCGATACGGATTCCAAACGATTTTTGATACAAATTTCAAACATTGATCCAATTGTGAATGGAAATGATCCTTCCATGTTGGTTTCTTCTTGACCCCATTCACCATTTATCAATGAATTACGAACAATTTTCGATTGATCAACACGTATACTAATATGGATTGGTATATTCTGTTTTTTCATTTCACAATCACCACCGGTATGTGCCAAATTGATAACAAAATATTTATTAAATGGATCCATTATCATTCCATTGATATAGATGTCACAAGGTTTTTCTAGATTTGTATTATGCTCAAAAAATGGTATCGATAATGCAACATTGGTGGTGTGGTGGTGGTTACCATTACATCACGAGTTTTACGTACAATATTATTATCATCATCAGATGGTTTTATTGCATCAGATGATGATAATGATTGTGATGGCTCAATACCTGGTTCACGAAATTCAATCAATTCAACTGTTAGATTAGGTCCTTCAACATGTATTCTACCTGTATCACAAAAAATAAGAATTGAATAGATTATTTGAATGATTGAAAATTCAACTTACCAATATCACTGATTGGAAATCGATGTTTGAATTGATAATGTGGTTGTTCACCACCATCAACATAGATACGAAATCGATCTTCTTCAGTCAATATCATTATACAGAATGATTGTTCCGGTTGAAATGGAAACACTGTACTACGTTCATCTTGATCCCATTTACCTTGATGAAATGAATTCATTACTATATAGCTTGATCCATCCAATGCTTCACCGAAACGTGCATTAAAATGTAATGCAACAATTCGTTTATTAGGATCATAAAGACTTGTTTTACCATCATCATTACTACGACAATGTTGACAATTACTAGCATAAAGATCGATTCGAAATCTAAAAAAAAAATTATCATCAGTTAATTAAATTGAATTACAATTTTGTTGATTCATCTCACCTTCCTTGATTACTTGGACAAGTTGCATACACAGTGATCAATGATCCTGGTCGTAAATGTCCACCATTTGGCATTGGACAACAAGCCGGTAATGTTGGCTGTGGTACATCCGATATCAATCTTGTACGATCGATTATTTCGACTAATTTTAAATTATCCAATAATGCCATTATATCGATTGATTGACGACGAATGAAATTTGATGACGAACAATTCTAACAACTATTCTGTCATTATAATTCTTTTTCTCCTTCATTGCATTCACTCACAACATTCTTTAGCCATTTATTTTTTAGTTTTTATTTTGCCAAATTATTATTGTTGTCGTTGCCAAATAATGTCAGCAATAAAGATGCCAGTGTAGAGAGAAAAAAATGAATATGAGACACACCCTTTGAGTTTCATTGGGTTTTATTTATATATATATGACAATGACAATTAACAGGTTAAATTTAGTGACAGCAGAAATCATCATCAACATAAAGTTTATTTTTAAATTCCAAAAGAAAAAAAAATTTCATCATAAAATCACCAACAATCAAGCAATGGTGAAATACACGATCAATAGATGGCGACATTATTTGTATATTTGTTTTATAATAAAAAAAAAATAAAAAATAAAATCAGATACTACCAATTGTAAACAGTCGTTACTCTGATTACAAATGGCTTGGGTTGTTTGAATTCACAATTATGTAAAAATTCATAAACCCAATCAAGATCATCATTTGCTATCTTGAATAATTCATTTGTTTTGTTAGTTGTTTGGTTCTCCTTCGGAAAACCATTTCACTCATTAGTGTGGATTTGATCAAACATTCTTTGAGCCATTTTATTTTTTATCATGAATTATTATTGTTAACTTATTCTTTGTTGCCAAATAATAAAGCATTTCAGCAATAAAGATCATCATCAACATAAAGTTTATTTTTAAATTCAAAAAAAAAAAAATTTCATCACTTAAAATCATCAACAATCTGTGATGTAATTGGATAACAATCAATGGTGAAATACACGATCAATAGATCACATTGATGTCGGTGTCGTTAGTTTTTAAACCTAACTGAAACAACAAAATCAATCCATTGCTAACCAAGATGATAAAATATTTTGATTCAAATGATAATATTACAGTTTTATTTATTGAAAAATGAATCCATCACCAGGCACATACCACACACACAATGGACACGACATGTAAATCATGACACGAAACACACAGGACACACACACACACTTGTTGATTAACCTTTGATTTGTTTCAAACCAATAAAGTTCTTCTTCTATAGCTAACATTACCATGATAATAAATTATATTTCAAAATATGTTATATTTACAATAAACTTGCATTTTCTACTAAAAAAAAACCAATAAATATAAAATTTTATATACAAAAAAAAATTAATCAAATTTCATGAAAAAATGATGCACACTCAAAAATTCTATTCGATATTTACTGTTATTTATGAATTGATCCATATCATCATTTTTCAAATTGAATTTCAAAATTTTCATTCAAACATTATTTCACAAACTACTACTGGATGGCAGTATTTTTGGAAATATATACATAAATAATAGTGGTATAAATGAAAGTTATGATTTGATTGTTTGTTTCATTTAAACACAAATTAAAAATGTAAAAGTAGTAGTAGTAGTAGTAGTAGTAGTTGTATGATCACGATAAACACGTTTGTTTGTGTGTGTATACAACTACTACTACTACTACGACTACTACTACTAGTATAATAATTTTAGTTGTAGTTGTATTGGGCCCAATTACATTACAACACACACACACAACACAACACACATTATTTTTCATCGTGGTGTTTGTCTTTTTTTTTATGTATTTCAATCATTCGATCTTGTTTGTTCTTTCTCTTTCTCTCTCTCTCTCATTTTCGTCGAATAATGATGTTCATTTCAATAATAATAATAAATGTGTGAGCAACAAGAGGATCCAGAAAAAAAAGATTCCAAACAAGCAAATAAACAATTTATTCAATTTTTTTTTTTTTTTGGATCTTTTGGTGTTTTCATTTTCATGTTGTTGTTGTTGTTGTTGTTGATATGTACCAATATATATAGCGTTTTTTTATATTTTTATTGATCAATCAATATTTCAATCAATCAAATCAAATCAAATAATAATAAACGATTGTGTATGTGTTTGTTTGTGTGAAACAAAACATATACACACACAAACACATAATCAACCATTAGTTTTGAAAATAATAATAATCATCATCATCAAATTCCATCAAATGTGAAAGTTGTGTTTATTATTTTCATTTTTTTTTCTATACTATTTGATCTGAAAACAACAAAAACAACAACAACAGCAGCAGCAAAAAATTCGAGTTTTATACGTTTGAGTTTCTCACAACATTTGATATTTTTTTTTTTTTTGCCATAATCTATCTCATTCAATCTGTCTGTCTGTGTCTGTGAGTATAATATATTACTAATATTGCTGTGTTTTGTTTATTATACTAATGATGATGATGATGATGATGATGGTAAATGCTATGATCATCAAAAATTTTAATTCATTTCAATAAAATGATAATAATGATCTTGTGTGTGTGTGTGTGTGTCTTTGATTATGATGATGATGATTTAAGTAAGATGAAATAATTTGATAAAAAAAAAATAAATGTTTTTCTTTTTTTTTTTTTTACAGAAAACCTATTACCAGCCAAAAAAAACAAAATCAAACGTTTTTGTGGTAATGGTGAGGGTAGTGTGTGTATCGTTATCGATTTTATTGATTTTTTTTTCGCTTTCTCTTTCCATCATTCACTCTTACTCATTAATTCGTCAATCACGATTGGATTTGTTGAATTCATTTTTCATCCATTGTGTATGTGTGTGATTCAGTAATCGAATCATCATCATCATCATCGACAACAAACTGAATATACTAAAACCCAATCAAAGTCATACACAACAACAACAACACTATTTTTTCAACCTTAACCCATAATCGAATTATTTGATTGATTGAATTATTTTTATGGTGGTTGTTGTTGTTGTTGTATACACACACACACACAAATGTAAATCTCCATTTTCAATATTATCATCGAAAATTTTTTTTGTTTTTGTTTTTTGTTTTGTTTTACTGTAAAATCAATCAGCAATTCCAATCAAAAATATATCGCGATCATCATCATTATTATTATGGCTACAATCATTGAGGGCACCCAATATGCATTGAATTCATCATTAGAATTGAATAATAAAAATCAATCAGTCGTATTTGTAAAGCTAACCGATTCAGCATTGAAAGCAATCGAAGATTATACATTGGCCATTTCGAAAGTAAGTTTTTTTTTTTTGATTATCTTATTATTTTTTTTCTTGACTATGTTTTCGTTTTTTTTTAATATCTTCGCACACATATATCAATATTATGATCATGAACAACAAATAAAATCCAATGATGATGATGATGATAATGAGAGATTAGAATGTCAATCGTTTATTTTTCTCTCTCCTATTTTTGATTGATTTATTGATTTTGATATAATTTAATAATGTGGATTGATTTTCATCTGATTAATTGTTATTGGTGGTGGTGGTTATATATATAGTAGTTATCAGATTTTTCTGTTTTTTTTTTTTTTAGTTTTATCTCCAATTTTTAACACTTTTAATGCCAAAGAATTTTTTTTTTTTAAATATTGTTCGCTTATGAGACCGTCACACACACACACACACATAAATTTGATGACATGGCACTTAAATTGTTAAAAACAATATATAATACGACAGTGTGTGTTTAGGGGTTACCATAGTTTTTTTTCTTGATTCCAATTTTGTGCAAAATTAAAAAGTGATTTTATCACAATTGTATAATAATAATCGAATCGAATCTTTTTATAATCGATAAACACTTTTTGTGTATGTATGAAAAAAAAAAAAATAGCAAGAGTTGAGTTCTACCTATGGGCAAAATCATTGGAAATCGATTTCTTGTTTTTCTGTGTGCAAAAAAAAGAAAAACAGAAACAAGAAATTTTTTTTTCTCCATTTGATTGATTTTTTTTTTTTTTTTTTTGTTTTGTTTCCAAAACATGTTTGATGTATATTATTGAATGTTGTTGAATTTTGAAAACTAATTTCCAATTTCTCTTTTCTTTTAATCATTTTTTTTCTTTTTAATTCTCAATCATCATCATTGACATGTTGACCTGAAAATCCGCCCTTCGACGACGATGATTATGATGATGTTGTGTGATGATGATGATGATGATGATGAAAACAACAGGGAAACGTATCACAAAATATTAAAAAACCATTGATTGAACTACAGCCAAACAACTCACAGGGCGTAAGTAGAGTAATATGTGAAAACTAAAATAACAATAATAACGATGATGATGATGATGATGATGATGGAAAAAAAGCAACAAGTTGGTCGATGAAAATGATCATCAAATACTTCCGAGTTTTGTTGTTGTCTGTCATTTTTTTTCTTTTGATTCGTTAATCATGTTGTTTTCTTTTTCACATATATATCTTTATATATATGTTGAAACAACAACAAAAACAAGTTGTTTGTTACCTTGTTTTCTCTTTTCATTTTCTTATTTTTAATTTTGTTTTTTTTTTTTTTTCATGTTTGTTGGCCATCATCATCGTGTTTTTTTTCTACATAAACGGATCTTTTATTCATCATCATCATCATAATAATCATCATTTTGTTTTGGTCGTAAATAACAGATAATAACGATACCGAATTGTAATGAAAATGAACAACAACAGCAACCACAATCAAATGATGATAAAAAGGCACAATGTTTTAATTTTTCCACTAAAGATATACAGAATGATGGCGGTATATTGGAATGTGTACGGCAAACATCAATGTCAATGGAATCATTGGGTAAAATAATGTTACGTATGCAGATACATGCAAATGATGATGTATATCAAAAGACCAAAGTGAAAATGGCCGTTGCTGCTGAACAGGAAAGTAAAAAATATAATACCAAAGTGATTGAATTAAGTGGACGTAAAGTGAAAGCGAAAAAACCGTATACTACTACGGCTAGTAGTGGTGGTGGAAAATTTACTGGAACAAATAATTCAACTTCGACGGGTACAACAACAACTGGTAGCAAAAATTCATTGATTCGTTTTAATAAATTTACAAATAACAACAATAATAATAATAATGTTGGTGGCAATTTACAATCGAAATTAATACCAGCCGAACATTTACGTAAAGTCCGTGAATTATTGATACAATTATTGGTGACAAAATCCTGTAATAAACCAGTGGAATTAATTCCAAAAGTACAGGAACGTTTCAAAGAGCTACCCATCGATAAACAACAGATCATACAGATATTGAATACGATTGCAACATTTAAAGAAGGTATCTATCAATTGAATGAATTGGCCGTTGCTGAAGAAGCGTTACAGCAATTTGGAACGGAAAAACGTAATAATGGAACGGCGGCAAATGTTTCCATCACTGTGAATGGTAGTGGCATTGGTAGCATTAATAATAATAACAGCAGTATTTCACCATTTTCTGATCATTCAGCAAAAAGTATATCATCACCAAATAGTCTGAATACATCGCCATCAACATTAGCATCATCGAATCATAAGCATTCTCCTTATACAAATAATGGTGGTGTTACGGTTAAATCATCAATGAAACGTAGTGGTTCAGATTTTTTGACAACAACCATTACTGCAGTAGGACAGAAAAAATTTAAAAGTGATAATATTGGTCGACAAAACATTGCAACGGCTAAATCAACAATAAATAATCAAAGTGCAATAACATCAAGCTATTCACCATTCGATAAAGTCCAAAATCAATCAGAACAATCATTGCAACATGATTCACCGGATATTGTTCGTGCACAAAATAATTCTTATTTAAAATCAAGCACTCAATTTGATGCAATTAGTCAATTGATGAACGGTAAACCACCACCGCCACTACCATCATCATCATTGTCAAAAGAATCGAATAATAGCCACCATCATCAACATCAACAACAATCAAATCATAGTCATAATCAACGGCATTATGGTAATGGATCAGGTTCAATGAATTCGACTCCAAATTCAAGCCCCGATTCGGATATTAGTCATGTAGGTAATGTTGCCAGTTCTGATTCAAGTCAAAACAATGACGCAGATGATTATCTAAGGTAAGTTCATATTCACACACACGTTTATTCGATTAACGATTTTTTCTGGATTTAGTAAATACCCGAAAATAAAAGACATGAATCAATTGATTCAATATAGACGTGATTTTGAGGCTGAATTTCCTGAATATAAAAAGCTTTATGAATATGTTGAAGGAGTTGCAAGACAATTTGAAGAATTAAAAGAACGTATACAGGCCAAGGAAGAAGAATCCGATGAATGGCATGTAAGTATATTGAATCCAAATGTTTTTTTTGTTCATAATTATTAATTCAATTATATTTAAGGAATTAATTCGGCAAATATTTGACAAATATGATGAAGTTAAAAATCGTTCCAAATATCAACGTGCACAGAAACGACTTATTTATTTACATTATAAATTATTACACATCAAAAATCAGATTACGGAATATTATCGTAATAATGGCGGTGGTTGTAGTGATAAACAACATCTTCATCAAACATCGTTTATCAATAATAAAAATTCTCAGCTAAAATTATCATAATCAAGAGCAAATATTGTGTCGTGAGACTAGTCAAATTGAATTTTGCATTTGTGGGAAAAAAACGAAAATGAAATGGATTCGTATGATAGATGGATAAAAACAGAAGAAATGCGAAGAAAACAAGTGCCAATATTGGGATTTTTTTTTCATTTGAACCTGATAACTAGAAAAAAAACCATTCATTCCAAAATTTAACCATCCAAATTTTCAACAAATACACACACACACCGAAAACAAAAAGTTAATTGGGGTGTGTGTTGTTTGGATTTGTTATATATAAAAAAAACAACATTGAATGACAGTAAATTTCTATCGATAATGAAAACTCATCTTTAATCGTGATGATGATGATGAAAATTATGAATCTCAATTGTGATATTGCTTTTTATTATTGCAATTGTTTGTTTGTGTGTGAGAGAAAGTTTTTTTTTTTTTTTTTTTGATCATGTTTGCGTCTGTGTGTGTGTTATGAATTATTTCCTGTTTTAAAAAAAAAATTTATTTTTCTTACACACACACACACATGAACACAAACTCACATCATTTACCTTGATTGTTTGCATTTTTTTTCGAGCTATATTATATATTATATTATTATTATTGTAATATTTGAATAAAGAATTGGCTTTATTTTTATTTGAAAAGAGAGAGAGAGAAAAAAATTGATTCTGGAAACACGGAATTTAAATCATAGGAATCGATCCACCACACGACCATTGTGTGTGTGTATGTGTTTAACATTTATGTTTCAGTGTGATCAAAAAAAAAAATGAAAATAAAAACTGATCATGATATCTCTCTCCTGTATATGTGGTAATGGTTCATTCATTCATTCATTTTTTGTGGAAACTAAATCAAGTAAAATGCGGGAACAAAACGGGAATTGAAAAAAATGGAAAACGAAACGAAAAAAAAAAAGAAAAAATTAAAATGTAAAACAAACAAAAAAAAAAATTGTAAATGAAAAAAACAAAATCAATCATGTTTAATTGAATGGACACCGGTTGGTGGTGAACAATGACTTACTGGCAGCTTTTGCCTCATTCATGACACGTTTGGCTAGATTATCGATGCCAGGATTATTTTTCAAAAATATTGGCCGTAAAATTTTATTGTATACATAATCGGTACCATTTTTTTCGATCGGTAAATAACACCATACAAGAAATAGTACCTAAATATTATTTGTTGTTTGAAAATGATTAGTGAATTTTTTTTTCTTTTTTCATAAATTTCTAATAAATCAGGTACAACATACCTTTGCAAGCCAATAGAATGGAAACCAGCTGAATATAAAATCGGAAAAGAATTCAATAACAGAGAAAAAGGCAAATACAACCCAATAGGTGAGCCAACGTGTATCATCATCTTTATTACGTGTTTCTAATGCTTTGATTCTAAATCATCAATGGAAAATTATATATGAGAAAATGATGAATCAAAATATGAAAAATATCAACATACGAAACATAGGCTGGATATATGAAACCGACAAAATTGCAGATCAATTGGGCAAAATAACCAAAAATCATGTATAAAAGAAATAAAATCATGACACCTTGAAAATACAAATGAATGTAAATTAAATCAACGTGGAACATGAATAAAATGATGTTTTTGTTTTACCTTTGGCAATATACATTCGTTTGATGCCAGTTGATTTTTCAATCATTTCCATGTAGACATCCACTTTGGAACCAGGTTGATGAAGAAATTTTTCCACTTCATCCATTGTTTTCTGATAGATTTCGGCCATTTTTTTAAAAATTATTATTTCGGTCTAAATGTATGTACTCTGCTCAAATATAGAAAAAATCAATCGATCGATGATGATGATGATGATGAATCGAAAGTCCGAATGTATTTTTTTTTTGTCTGTTGTTCAGCCAAATATATATAATTGTGTAGTGTTGATAATGATGATGATGATGATTGAATCAAACAAACAACAAAAAAAATCGACAATGACAACGACGGGAAATGAATAGAAAATGCAAAAAAAAAAATTAAAAAAAAATATGCATACAGTGGTGGTGTATATATCAATGCGTATTCATTGGAATTTGTAGCCTTGTCCTTTGCTCAATCATAATAATTTGCTTTATCATCAACAGCAAACATAATAAATCGATTATAACTTGAATAGCTGTAGAAAGTCATTCTGCCATCTAGTGGTGAATTTTGGATCAACATGTGGAGGTATGTAAAATCAATCAATCAATAATTGTTGGAATGTAACAGCAGCAACAAAAAAAAAAATTTATTACAAAAAAAATGAATCAAATTTGAATAACAAACACGTATATACGAAAAAAAATATAAATAATTCAAATAAGATAAGATTTTTGTTTCTGGTGCTTCTGGTTTTTTTTTTTTTTTTTTGGTATTATTTCTGGTTTTTCGGAATAAACCCCTGGGTCTGTGTGTGTGTGTGTGTGTATGTTGGTTGTCTCTATATTTATCACAGAACAAAAATGTGGCTCATACACACACACCCACCCACACAAAACGTTACAAAATTGAAAATTAATTTAAAAAAAAAATTAATAATAAAAATTCAACAAAAATTACCAATAAGGATCATAAAACAATAATATAATAATAATATGATGATGATGGATGAATTCCATGGTTATAAAAAAAGGGTAAAAAGAGAGAGAATAGATATGTTGTTGACGTCTGTATAGAATATTCAGTGTGTCTATGTGTGTGTGTGTTTTGTTTTGTTTTGTACATGGTCAATAATTTTGATTCGTTATTATTGATGATTATGATTTTTCATTAGCCAGCAAAAAAAATAGATGATTGATTTTTGTGAGTATATAAAAAAGGTTCAGTAGTTGATTATTTTTTACGTTTTATTTTTCAATTGTTCAACAATCCATTCAAGTCCTTGATATAATCTGTGGAAAAAAAAGTGAAAAAATGAATAATAACCGTTTTGTTTGTGTGATTTTCAAATACATACCCTTCACCTGAAATAGCACAACAAGGTTGTATTTGCCATTTATGTTTTTTAATTGATGTTAAATTTAATTCTTTTGATATCTGTGCAACAGACATACAACCTTTTATATCTTGTTTATTTGCATAAATCAATACGGATGCTTTACGTAGATCTTCATGTCCTAACATACGCCATAATTCTTCTTTACTAATCGATATACGTTCATGGTCACTACTATCGATAACTAGAATTATAAACTATGATGACCATAATGAATTAGAATGATTATGATGATGGTCACAAAAACGAAAAACAAAACAAACCTCTGTATTAGAATAATATGCTTGCCATCCTTGTCGTAATGAATCCTGGCCACCTAGATCCCACATTATGAAATGAATATTTTTCCATACAACTTCTTCAACATTTGAGCCAAGTGTTGGTGATGTATGTACAACTTCTTCCATTAAGCTTTAAATATATAATTGGGATTGGGATTTTTTTTATATATACAAAAATTCATCCATTTGATTCATACATACAATTGATATAGAATGGTTGTCTTTCCGGCATTATCCAGTCCAATGATGACCAATTTATGTTCTGTAATAATAAAATATCAAAATGGTGGAATGGAAAAAAAATCGTCACAAACCTTCATGTGTAAAATAGCTCCAAATTTTCGAGAATAATATACCCATTTTTTTCTAGAATAATTCGTACGTACACACACACACACACCAGGAAAGATTGAATATTATGACCACAAAATTTTCTAACCAGATTCAATCGATTTGATTTGATTGTTGATCAATGTTTGTGTGTGTGTGTGTATTGGTGTTCACAATTCGAGACGTGGCAATAAATGAAAGGTATTCAAACACAAAGAATATAAGAATATCACGTGTAGGCGATACGTGATTGTGTATGGCTTAGTCTTTTTTTTGTCGTCGAAAATTGTCGTTTCGAAATCAGAAAATCAAATACGAATCAGATTGGATTCATCATAATTTCAAGGACAATATGATGTTGATGATGATGATGATGATTGAATATAAAAGGCTATATAAAAGTAGAACATAACAAACAAAATGTGATTGTGTATATAAAAGAGATAAAGGCAATGATGATGATGATGATGAGACAAAAATTGAAACAAATCAACAAAAACAGAAAGTGAATGTTTTGTTATGATGTGTACATCAGATATATGATCAAAACAAAAACAAATAACAAATGTGAGCGAATTTTTTTTTCTTATTCATCATGACGGCCATCGCCATCTATCGATCGAAAAATAATCATTTCATTTTTTTAAAGACGGCCGGAATTCTGTTTTTTTTTATTTGTTCTTTTCGATAATTCGATTTTTCGAACGATGATGATTTTTTTTCTCTCTCTTTTTGTGGCAATCGAACACGTGGATTCGATATCTCTGCATTCGATATTCATTGTCATTACACGATTTTACTTGATCATAAAATGATTATCGTGATGATGACAATAAATTTATTGATAATTATCATGATGATGATGATGATATTTCCATTATTATTATGTAATGGTTTATCAATCTGTCCATTTGAATATTTTGGCCAATACAAATTCAATGTATATGCAGCTGATAATCTTCATAATGGCACTATACGTTTGTATAGCCATCGATATTATATTGATTTTTTATTCTATCATCATTATGATGATTATAATGGAAATTATGGATCAATCATTTCAATCAATGGTCATGAAAATGAAACTAAACGATTAATAATGTTTGCAATGGAAAAACGATTAATACAAGAAACATATTGGAATTTATCTACAATGATAAATTTTATGGACACATTTCATCAACGTATTACGGTATTTACATTGATGAAACATAATTATGATGATGATGATGAAAACACATTCATTATAATTACGAAACGTTCATCGAAATTACATTTGATTGGTGATTTTTATCATATACAAACCAATAATGGAATGGTACGAGAATATGGTTCACTTCCAACACGTATTGAACAACAACAACAACAATCTGATAATCAAACAATAAATGAATCGAATATATTTATTCATATGGATTCAGCATTTCGTTTGTCATTGAATGGTCAACAATTTCTATTCACTATCATTAATCGTCGGGTATTTTTGAATCAATTTTTCTCCATTTTTAAATTCTCATTTCATTTCATTTTTATTGTAGCTATTCTGGACCATTATTATGATGGAACATTTCAATGATAATGATGTTGAACTTGTCAACGATTCTGATGGCCAATTTCATCGTGGTCCAATACCACAAATGACGGCTGCATTTACAATACAATCAGAAAATTTGATTGCATTATTCATTATCAATTGCAATCGTCGTTGTATTGTTCAATGGATTTATAATGAATCTAAATTTGATTTTGGTCCTTGTTCATATCGATCAAATTGGATTCATCTAGAACCATTAATGTGGATGGATAATACAACAGCCAACGATGAACGTTTGAAACGATTTTCAAATGATAATTTAGATTTGAAATTATTTTCAACTAAACAATTTTGGTATGGAATATTTGGTGATGATAGTAATATTGGTGCTGGTGGTATTGGTCAACGATTTCTTAATCAATTACGAAAGCCAATATCATGGATCAAAGTTAATTATCGAATTTTAAGTGGCATTTCCATTATCATATTAGTAATGATGGCAGCAATGACCGGATTTTTATGTTATGAACATCAATTCCGTAATCAAGATTATAATGTAGCCGAACAAGAACGTAAAGAAGAAGAACAACAATTAGAACAACAAGTCCAGCAAGAAGAAGAACCGATGAACAATAATAATAGTGGTTACATTGAATTGAATTGAATGAAAATTATTTTTAATATTTCAAATTTTTTCTCAAATTCTTATTTTATGAATTTTTTCATTTCGAAATTCTTATTAAAATATTTCAATTTTTCATATTCTGCAAAATAGCCTTTTTTCTGGATATGATAAACATTTGCTGTCAAAATAGTCGACGAATTGTCTTTTTTTTCAATCAATAATCACGTGCTCGATGTGAGTTCTTTATTTTCATTTTTGTTTTGTAGCTCAAAATACGATTGCATTACTTTTTTTTTTTGGTGATAGATTGCGTCTGTAAAACACCATTTTGTCAGTTGATTGCCCACCGTCATCATCATTATCATCGGTATATAAATCAAGTAACAGAGAAAAAAATCGGTTATTTCATTTCATTTTTTCAATTTTTTTCTTGTAGTTTTTCCCAAAGTAAGCCAAACAACAAAACGATCTACACTTTTGAAGTGAAAATAAAAATGGCAAATCGTTTACAATTCGAAGGCAGCAATGAGATTGGTGTATTCTCTAAATTAACAAATACCTATTGTTTAACAGCTATCGGTGGTTCAGAGAATTTTTATTCCGTATTTGAAAATGAATTAGCCGATGTTATACCGGTGATACATGCATCGATTGCTGGTTGTCGTATTATTGGCCGTTTAACTGTTGCTAATCGTCATGGATTATTGGTACCAAATACAACCACTGATCAAGAATTACAACATTTAAGAAATTCTTTACCAGATACAGTATCCGTACAACGTGTTGAAGAACGTCTTAGTGCATTAGGCAATGTTATTGCCTGTAATGATTATTGTGCACTTGTACATCCAGATTTAGATCGTGAAACCGAAGAAATACTTGCCGATATATTAAAAGTTGAAGTATTTCGACAATCAATTGCACAACAGGCATTGGTCGGTACATATTGTTCCATATCAAATCGTGGTGGTCTTTTACATCCACGTATCAATGTTGAACAACAAGATGAATTGTCATCATTATTACAGATACCATTGATTGCCGGTACAGTTAATCGTGGTTCAGAATTAATTGGTGCCGGTTTAGTGGTAAATGATTGGTCATGTTTCTGTGGTTTTGATACAACATCAACGGAAATATCTGTAATTGAAAATATATTTAAATTAACCGATCATCATGGACCGAATAAGATACAAACATCGATGCGAATGTCATTAATTGAAAGTATGACCTAATGATGATCATAATTCCTGAATTGATTCATTCGAATGGCAAATTCTACACATAAAAACAATTTGCTTTATTTTTTTAATTATAATTTCTATGAATGAAATAAATAAATAAATAAAAACAGATTATCATCATACAAATAGAATTTGTTGTTGTTGTTTTGGTTGTTGTTCTGGTTGATATTCATCAATAAAATATGATGATGACAATAGATCGATTGGTATTTTTATTGGTTGTTCATCATCATCATCATTATCACCATCACCAAAACAAGAACAACAACAACAGCAACATGAACGAAATGCTGTTATAAAATGATTACAAATATTATCGGCACATTCAATCAAAATGATCATTAAACATTTCCATACGATTAAAAATGATATAATTATATCGATTAAATAGATCATATTTTTTGTTGTTACTAATTGTATGATTGCCAGAAAGAAATATGCACAATTTGGTATCAAATAGATGATGATACCAATCCATAATTTACACAATATGGCAATTAGCCCGAATGAATGTATGATGACCATTACATAACAACATGTACGATACCATGATTGATCATCATAATCATCATCAATGAATGAAGGTTTTATGGTTGTATAATTGTTATTTGGCCCCACATCAAATAATGATTGAGGTAATTTTATAGGATATTTTGCATCCATTTGATGATGAAGTTGTTGTTGTTGTTGTTGTTGATGATGATCACCATCATGGAATAAATCAAGAATTGTACCATTTTTAAACAATAACATTTTTAACCATCGTTGATTTGGATTCACCAGATAAAGTATGGCTATATAGATTAATGAACCTTGCATAATTGTTAATGAACATCGTCGTCCCATACAGTAACTTATGCACATTTTTAGTTGAATGAATAATTTTTTTTTTTGGATCAAAATTGAGATTCCAAAATTCTCCATTCGATATATATATATATTGGAATTTATATATTAGCCTTATCATGAGCCATAGAAAAACATCTCAAGCATCTTTTTAGAAACTATTTTAGAATCTAATCTTTTCTCTGCTGGGTCTGGGTTGGAATATGATTTCCTTTACAGAAAAACATTGTTTTAACACCAGTTGTACCGGCTGAGGATTGATTGGTTCTATTATTATTATAATTATTGTTAGATGTTGAAGGGGTGTTATAAGTTATACTGGGTTATTGGCATTTTCGGCTAAGTAATAGCCGAAAGTAATGCTTGTCTAGTTGTGCTCTATTATAAACCTATTCCTGTTCTGAAATAATGTCCTTCTGAACAGTTGGTTGATTAACTATTCCTATTGGAACATTTCTAGTTCTAACAAATGTTCCTGTTTGGGAACTATTCCAAATTCATCATGCTATGCTGTTCGTGTAAAATAATTCTTTATGTTCAGACTGCTCTATATACTTGAATTTAAGTCATTCAAATACTTGCTAATGGTTGGAATCTGAACCAAATCTTTGTAATATTTGTAACTGCGCAAGTCAGGAATTTCGCTGCTATAGTATAAAGAGTCGGATTTCTGAAATGACCTATTGGTACCACTGGTTTGCTGTGTGTTGTACACATCTTTTTTATCTAACAAGATTACTGCGCGTCGTTTGATGCCCGTGTTCTTAACAGGCGACGCTACCTTGGTTCAACTTCTGTTGTAATGGAAATGAAGCTGAATAGTATCTAGTTAAAATATTATACGCCTGATGATATTGTGGGCCATCGATTCCAGCTATTAGTCCAAGAGAGAAAGTTGGTTTCTCTCTTAACGTAATAATTTGCCCGTCTTCAGCATCAGTTTGATGTATAAGCTGATTGAGATACGTTGATAGAAAGTATGAAAGTTTTCAAACTTACCATCAAATTTTTGGACTTTATCTGCCCATTTCATATTAAAAGATTTTCTAAAAACTGGTTCCATACCTGGTCTAACAAATTCAGACTGTGTCTGACCAGATGTTGATGGAAATGTATAACCAGATGTAAATGGATTGATAGTCGAATGGACTATTGGAATCTCATGATTATTAGAAAACGTAACACCTGGTTGTTCAGGGAATTTGAAATCTAATTTCTTAATCATAGCTGGTGTCATAAAATCTAAAATATTGGGGTAGTAATCTAGGGAAACGGATGGTCTAGCAGAATCATCTATCGTAAATGGCGCAGTAATTGGTGTTTAATCATATCGAGTGGAAGTAGTTCTTACAGTAGATGCTTAAAGCTTCAGCGTAATCAGATCCGTTAGTCTGGGTTTTCTCCAAAAATGACTTGGTGATACTGGCCTGGTCAGGGATAAGGTAACCCAGTACCGTCATCATCAACTTGGTCCTTATCGGTGCTGAGAAGATCTTTTAACAGATCTAGACTCTGAATTGAAACTAAATCTTAGCTATAATATGCAAACAGGGTGGCAATTCGTTTTGGGAGACCCGACTTTCCTTCTTTATCCCATTTCTCAACTTATTGCCATGGTGTCGACAATCATGACACGAAACTCTTTCAGTTGGACATACACCTGCTGCATACGACCGCTGTCCAGTTCTCCAGCGATCTCTTTCTGCAATTCCGATAAGGCTGTGAATACGTAGTCAACCTTCGCCTTGGCAGTCTTAATAAGATCACGAGTCGATGATCTTGTTGTGGCCATTTTGGAATAAATAATAATAAAAGAAACTAAATTTAAATAATAAGACTTACCAAGTGAAGTTTTATGGCGTCAGAATAAATAATAATTGGACTCGAAAAATACAATACACGTGTATAAAATAAACCACAGTAAATGGTCTTGACGCTATGTTTGAATGATTAATGTGTGTTGCAATATTTGGAGTTAACGTTGATATAGCAACAGCTCACAAAGAAAATACTGGAAAAACGTTCGTCTTTTAAGTATTATTGTATGAACAACAGGGGTAGATCAAAATAGAGTGGGCTTATCACCTGTTTGACGTAAAGACTAGACGGAAAGTTCCTTACAGGAATTTTGCAACTAGGTCGAGTTGGTTGAGAAAGATAATATTACTTACTGTTTAGGCCACAAGAGTCGCGTTTTAACCAGAATTTACTTGACTGAAGGTGATCACATTAACCTGAAAATCAAACCATCGTGACACGTACTTGCATTGCTTTGACAAAACAGTTTTATTAAATAGATAAAAGAAAGAATTTTGATTATTATTGGTGATGATTTTATTTTGGCGGTTACGGATCCCAATGATCAATCTGTCCATGGTTTATATACGAAAGAAACAAGGAAATAAAATTTAGAAAAATGCAAAATTATAAAACAAAAAGACATATCAACAATGAACAGAAAACAAAAAAATTCGAATAAAGAATTCGATGAGACTTGACCACCAGATGGCAGCGGCTGTAACATAATTTTATCAAAACGTTAATTATAGAATATATAACTACCGGACAATCGGACAAACAAAATTGTGTCGTAGAAATAAGAAACAAAATTATTATTAGCAACGATAATGAATAGAGAATGAATGAATGAATGGTGTGTGTGTGTGTGATTGACAAGTGAAAGATCTTTATATTTATTATCAAAGAATTTACGATAAGAAATTCTGTAGTCCGAAACAACAATAATAATGATGATGATGATAATAATAATAACCGGAATCGAACAAAATGTCATTATATATCATGGAAAACGCCCCCCGACAACAACAACAAAAAAACATTGGTTATATGATCAGTTGCAATTGGGCCGTTTGTTCGATTGATTCGACATTGTTTTTTTTTCTGACTTTGGCGGCTAGATTGACTGTCGTGGATTCTGAGAAATAAAAATCGAATGTTTTACGAAACACACACACACAGTATTCTTATTCTTTCTCTCTCTCTCTCTCTCTCATGGGACATCATTTGAAGGGAAAAAAAAAATTTTTTTTTGCGTTCCAATTTCTAAAATGTTCCACATATATAAATATATAAAAAAATGAATCAAATTGAATCAAAGTGAATTTGTGGCAGCCCGAATGAAGAAAAAAAAACATCACAAACATCACAAACATTCAAGTAAGATGAAAATTTCGCATGATTAGACTCAGTTTGTGATGTTCTTTTTTTTTTTTTCTTTAAACCCGTTTTTTCTTCCGTTCATCATCATCATCATCATCATCATTTTTTTTTGTTTGTTTGTTTGTCTGTCTTTCTGTTTGTGTGTGAATTGATTCCAGTATCATATCCATTGATGTTTGTTTGAAAAACGAAAAACACAAAAATTCTGAATTGAATTTTTCATTGTTTTCATTGTTTTGTTTTGTTTTCATTTTCCCATAATAATAATAATATCAAATCACTGCCATCCAATGTCAATGTTTAACCGATGGATTCATTGTTTTAAACCGAGCGTAAATAATGATTCCATTTTAGTTTGTATGTTTTGTTTTGTTTTGTTGTCGTTTTTGTTTTTATTTGAATGCTACAAATTTCGTGTGTGTGTATGTGTGAGTTGAAACATGAAAAAAAACAAGAAAAAAAAAATCAAAGCTTACCAATCAACCAGACAAACAAATTGAATCGAATCGATAGATAGATAGATAGACAGATAGATAGTAGCCATAGAATACAAAATCATCATCCACCAGAATCCATTCGATGATTCGAATATTTCTAGGAGAAGACTAAAAAAAAAAAAAATACAGAGATTTCTGTAAGTTTCTTTATTATTATTATTTTTTTTACACCATGGTTTCATATGATCAAATCATTTTGTTGTGTTTACATAGCATTCACGATTAGAATCTTGCTTCGTGTGTCTGTGTGTGTGGTTCATGGGTTTTAACCCACCACCAGGAAGTTTCTTGAATCAGCAGAAAAAAAAAGAATTTCATTTTTTCTTTTTGCAATCGGTTTGTGTTTGGATTTAGTATTCTTATTGGTTCATCATTTAAAGAAATAAAGATGGAAAATGATACCAGCCAAATATGATGATTCGATGATAATGATTATGTTTGGCCACAATAAGAATCGGATATGTAATACAATATGAAACAAAAACGAACAAACAAATATGTCGATAAGCAAGTATTTTTTTTTCCGGTTGAAAACGTTTCATTAAACATATAACGTTTGTTTTGTTTTGTTTTTTTGTTTTGATTCACAGGAAGAATAATCAGTCCAGTGGATGATGTTGAGGAACAAAATACAATCACTTGAATCAAATTCAATTTTTTTTGTTTTCGTCATTGTGTACGCTGGTTATCTTTTGGTTATGTTTTGATTTCAAAAATTTGGAATTTTTTGTGTCTTCTTTTTCTGGTATTACGTGTGGTGAGATTTTTCTCTTGTTTTGTTTCTTGCTCTTTCTGATGATCAACATTGTAAGTGAATATTTATGTGGATCCAGAGAATTTTTTCAATGTGCTGTCAATGTTTTGTATGCGACAATAACAATCACCATGGATTCTGGTTCATGAATTCCATCAAATTCTGAAGCTAATTTGATTTTTTTTTTATTTTGTTGAATTTTCTTACTTGTTTTGTAATGTACAACATTTTAATGTTTGAATGTTCATCGTTGTATTATATAATCATTATTGCTGTTGTTGTTGTTTTTTTTCGACTTTAGTTAAAAAGAAAAGAATATATTCTTTACTTGACTAATATAGGCTGTCCTATTCACATGCACCACCAACATATCAAATATCCAATAATAATTGGATTATTATTATTTCAAGACTATGATGATGATGATGATGATGATGATGATGATAATGTTATATGACGTCTGAATCTTTCTTGAATGATTCTTGGTGAATTATTATTGTTGCCCATGCTAGTGGCTGAGTACACACACACACACATTACTGGTTGATCTAAAATGAAAGAAAAAAAATAATTAAGATGTCGGATCAAACAAAAATTGATATTGAC